TTTTCCGGTGTTTTCAATCTCGGTCCTTCGCATGGCTTACCTTGAGGTCTCTTGTCTACTTGAACGCCATCTTCAGCGTTACCTGTTTCCGGTTTTTTTTTATTTCTTTGTTGAGTGGACGAGCTCACAGCCCACCTGTTTTTAAGTGGTTGCTGGAACCCATGGACATCTACAACGTAAATGCGCCACCCACCTTGAGATATGAGCTCTAACGTCTCAGTATAGTTACAACGGCTGCCCCACCCTTCAAACCGAAACACATTACTGCTTCACGGCAGAAATAGGCAGGGTGGTGGTACCTACCCGTGCGGACTCACAAGAGGTCCTACCACCAGTAAAAAACCGTACACACCGTGACATCCGGCAGTTTCAGATCCTGCAACCTGTAAAACTGCCGAATGTTTAACGGCAACTAATTACAGTGGAAGATATTTAAAAATAATTGTAAATAGACAGACATGCTTTAACAAAAACCGACTTCAAATACAAAAAAAAAGATATTCCTAAACAAATTAATATTAATATACACTAAAAACAATAATCATCGAAATCGGTTGGCGTGATATTGAGCTATTGAGTTCATCTATTTTTCGCGCACGTACATAACGCAAATTTAAGACTTATATGGTTTTCTCATGGATAACATTATCAGAACTGGAAAATTAAAATGGGACCACAAGGGAAGCGTAAGCTTTCTAATAAAAAAAGAATGATCAAAATCGATTCACCCAGTCAAAAGTTATGAGATAACAAACATAAAAACTATTCTGATATTATTCAAAAAAAATCAGGTATAGATGCTTAGGTTAAATCAATTTTTATAGGTTTACTTTAAATCTGAAACTAAATAAGTTTTTCACATCTCGAAAGATCAATCTTACGAACACAACGGGAAAATATTTCAAGAATATTATATAATTTTTTTTTCTTGTATTAATAAAACGCACGCGTTCTGTGCGCAACTGCCTTCTCGTATTATTTTCGGTGTGTTTAATTTTGTCAACGACGTGAAAAGGCTCTTTTACGGCTTTTCGCACGTGGGAACGGCTAAGCGATAAAACGTTCTCGATCGACTGACGTCAATATTTTGTGATGTTTGTTGGGGGAAAAACGTGAAGCAACTCCATCTTGTTTGCTAGTTTTTTTTTTTTCTATACTATCCAGTAATAAAACTGTAGTCTTTTCGTTAGTCTCGCTAAAACTCGAGAACGGCTGAACCGATTTGGCTAATTTTGGTCTTGAATTATTTGTAGAAGTCCAAAGAAGGTTTAAAAGGTAGATAAAATTAAATATGAAAATGCTCGGAATTAAATAAAAATAACAAATTTGTTTTCCCTTTGATGTGTCCCCCGTCGGACGTATTCCTTTTGTTTGTTTTAAGTTTATTTTATACAAAAGTTTAGTTCTTTTATTTATCGATTGAGGCACTACGAAGTCTGCCGGGTCAGCTAGTGCAATATTTTTTGTTGAGGACATGAACATGATGAACTGTAAAGCTCAACAAAAAATGACTTATCAACCACAAAATAAAGGTTTGTATAAATTTTGAAAAATTATTAATATTCAATTATGTGATTATTAAAGGCGCTCTACGCGCATCAGAAGTATACGTAATTAAAAAGTTTATTGGCGATCTAATAATTACACATAATTGTAAAACTGAATTAAAACATTCCATGAAAAAAGTGTACGAGATCTTTAATTAGAGCATTCTACATTTTTCCGAATTTCCAAGAATCAAAAGGAATCTGTCTTAATTAATTTGCGTGATTCAAAGAAAAGGCGTTGTCTCATTTCAAATATTGAATTTGAAAGACGCTTACCACGAAGCCTGATCAAGTAAAAATAGCTTGCCTTACCCAGCCTCGCTAGCTTCCAAGCGATTTGTTTTGCATTTAACGCATAGGTGCATCCTTTGTGCGTCAAACTATACGAACAAAATACGTATAGAGGAGATGGTTATTAACAAACATGTACCAGTTTTAAAATTAGATTTTAATTGGTAATAGATTTAAAATAAACTATCAAACACTTTATTCGATTTTTTGGAACGAAGTTCCTTATCGCGCGTTGTGAAAGGGGGCTAGACGGAAAAAATTCTTACGAAAAGTTGTCACGACACTTTTTAGATCCGTCATTCTGACCAATCAACGTGTAGGCACTTATCGCGTGTCATTGCTCGTATCCGATTGGTCCGCGTAATGAGTACAGTTTCTCGAGATAGCGTTTCAACAATAGTAATTTAGTTCATAGTATTGTTTTTTTCTTCTTCATAATGCCGTAATTTATTATTATAACTTAAAAAAAAAATTACAATTCCTTCACTAATTAATCGAAAGGAACTTCGTTCCATCCGGGTGTCCCTTGACACCTCTGAAGTTTTTTTTATTTGAATAGTTCTTTACAGCCGCTAACAAATAGTCGTGCTTTAACAGCGTTTTACGCTTCTACACTGAGCTTATTTTCCAAGAAACTCAATTTTTACTCCTCTCAAAATAAATAAATGATGATAATGACAGTGTGTACATTCTAACAAAAAGTACATTAAAACTCTGACATCGCTTCGCTGTGTGCCTCTCACGAAATGTTAAGTGAAACGTCTTACACACGAGAGACTAGTAATGACTTAAGTACATTAAACACTAAATGAGATCCAAAAAATAAATTTTAGTCATGCCTAAGCTCTGTAATAAGAACATGAGTTTGATTTAAAGGCTAAAATTCTAAATACTTGTAAATTTCGTAAAATTTGTCGATTCTAATATATTATTTCCTAGTCGTGTTCTGGTGTCACCAAGTCAAGAAACGCTCCCGACAAAACATTCGCTTATATGCCGTCTTAAATCTCCCGGTGGGTTGAACTCAGATGGAAATTTATCTCCGTCGTTCGTTGTCTATGTGACTTCTGCTGAAAACTGTAAATCTTTGTACGCTTGTAAAATCATTCAATACTAAATTGATTGCAGTTTTTTTCTGCACGACAAGTGACAAGTCAGCTTGTATAAAGTTGTGATTAATACGTCAGTTCAAACCTATTTATTCATTTCCCTTCTTTAGATACTTCTGGACTGCTGAAGATTGAAGATGAATGAAAGAAACTTGTCTCTAACAGAACTGTTAGTGAGACGTTTATCTTTTTTTTTTATTGCTTAGACGAGTGGACAAGCTCACAGCCCACCTGGTGTTAAGTGGTTACTGGAGCCCATAGACATCTACAACGTAAATGCGCCACCCACCTTGAGACATGAGTTCTAAGGTCTCAGTATAGTTACAACGGCTGCCCCGCCCTTCAAACCGAAACGTATTACTGCTTTACGGCAGAAATAGGCAGAGTGGTGGTACCCACCCGCGCGGACTCACAAGAGGTCCTACCACCAGTAGAAATTTTAAATTAGTAGAAATTTTTATCTTTTGAAATTTTAAAAAGTAAGAAGATTTTAAACTTTAAGCAGTCCAATGTAAATCGTAAATTATACACAAGACAATTAAACAAGAAAAGGAAAAGACATAAAACCAGATTTGTTGCTTTGTAACCAAAGAAACTACATTTAAAGTTTATTCGTTTAAAATATCTGTTGTTTTAGTTTATTCTGAAAATTATGTTAAATGAGATATCAATCTAAAGAAGTACATCTTTACATATTGTACATATTTAGGTTCTGACCATAGATTATACACTTAATATATTTGAGGTTCTGACCATAATCTATGGTTCGGACACCTGATCGATTTTGACATCTTTGACATAGGTACCTTGTCAATGCGTCATGTACCAACATATTAAGTGTATAATCTATGGTACCAACGCAAGCCAACCAAGACAGGTTTCATTATAGTACTATTTTGAAATATATTCTAGCGTTATTACTAATCTTGTACATGGAAATTTTATATTATGAATTAGCTAAAGAAAGGTCTTACCGTTTAAAGCGAAACACTCGTTTATTTTGCACGGAAAAACAATCCAAGGAAATTTCCGTTTCGTGTCTGTCCTGACCGCATTTCCAACAATTTCAACAAATTAGTGAATTGTGTCATGTGCATCACACGTAAAAAATTGTGATTTAAGAATCATAAACTAAAATATACAGAATTAAAAAAATATATTTATACAGGGCCACCAATTTTGCTTTATAACATAAAAAAACAACATTAAAATATCCTCTTCCTTTTCTGACACGTACACAAAGAGCAATGTTTTTTTCTTTTCTTAAATCTGCATTTAATTGACTATACAGCGACTGTTTTTTTACATAATATATTAACAGTTAAAATTGAGTTACTAAGAAGTGTTATTTATAACAATTAAAAAAAATATAGGTACTAAACACATTCTAAAAATACATGTTAAATCAATATCATCTATGACAAAAATATATATTTTAACTTTTATTCAAACTTCGTATTGATCAAAAAGTTTTAGTAAGCTGCACATTTTTTTTATATTATTTATGAAGTAAATATATATGACACAGGCTTATTATTAATTCGGATTCCAAATATGAATATTAATGAAGCTAACATACGTTCTGTTTTGAATTTAGATGTTTGGGACTAGGAAAAGGATAAGTTTTAGGACTCACTCTGTATTTCGTTGATGCACTATTCAATTTTCTCACTGGCGAGAGTAATATGTGCTGATTGATCAACAAATCACAATTTTATTGTTTTTGCACCGGCACCATGTTTTAGTTTTTTTTACACACTTCGCGCCATTTTCATACGCGCGTAGTATTTCTCGTAGTGTCAACAGATGGCGTGGATAGGGGATTGAGGAAGGAATAAGGAAAAGGAAGTCCCAACATTTTCCCCCACTTGAAATCATTGGAGGATTTCAAAAGATTTTAATAAGATAATAAGCTGTGGTAACTAAGGTACCTAGTGAATTAGAGATAATAATATGCTAAGAATAAAGTAGTAATTAAGATAAAAATAATAATTATGTGAATAAATAAACTATTATATTAAATTAGATAATAGTATAAAGTAAATTATAAAGGTTACAAGTTTTCGTGAATTGGCAAAGGACACAACTTTGTAACTGGTCGGCGCAGCAGACCGTGAGCTGTTTGGACAGTGACAACCCGTACTACGCCATCAGAACCGGGATGGATTATGCTAATTCTGCCGATACGCCATTCCAACGGTGGAAGGTTTTGATCCACGATCATAACTATATCTCCCAGCTTAACGTTACCGTGTTGTTTAAACCATTTAGCGCGTTGCTGTAATGTATGAAGATAATCCAAATGCCAAACACGCCAAAAACTTTGAGTTAGCTTTTGTAGCATCTGCCATCTAGAACGAACTGACATTTGTATATCAGCAAGGAGAGGCTCGGGTAAGCTCACTAGAGGGCTCCCTGTCAAGAAATGCCCAGGTGTCAATACGTCTACCTCGTTGGGGTCAGAAGATACGGAAATTAATGGTCGTGAATTGAGAATAGCTTCGATTTTGGTAAGAATTGTTGTTAGCTCTTCAAAGGTTAATATTTGACTTCCGATTACCCGTTTCAGGTGATACTTCATCGATTTTACCCCACTTTCAAATATACCTCCAAAATGACTTCCGGTTGGCGGGTTTAGTTTCCATTGGACTCCTCGGTTTATCAAAATAGACTCAACTTCAAGATTCTTACTTAGCATTAATTGATGCATCTCGCTGAGATAGCGTTTAGCACCCACGAAATTCGAACCACAGTCCGAAATAATAGTACTACATAAACCACGACGGGACACAAACCTATCTAGAGCAGCAATAAAGGCCGAGGTGGAGAGCTCAGTTACCAATTCAATGTGAATTGCCTTAACCGCTAGACAGACAAATATACAGGCATAAGTTTTATATGTTTTGGCATTTCGTCTGCGACTTTCTTTCACGATAAAAGGTCCTGCAAAGTCGACACCTATATTTTGAAAGCAACGAGCTGCTTGAACTCGGATAGAGGAAAGATCACCCATTACAGGTTGAAGGGGTACAGGATTTACTTTAAAACAAGTGACGCATTTTGAAAGCCGTGATCTAATAAGATTACGAATACCTAGGATCCAAAATTTTCTTTGAATTAAAGATTGTAACGCACGAGGTCCACAGTGTAGAAATAAACGATGGTAATAATCAATAATAATCAGAGAAAGATGGGAGGTTTTTGGCAACAATAACGGATTTATAGCTGATTGTGGCAAGTTTGCATTTTTTAATCGTCCCCCCACTCGTAACAGACCCCGTTGATCTAGAATTGGCGCTAACTTTATTATAGTGCGAGAACAAGATTTTCCACTTTTAATGGCACTAATTTCGCTAGCGAATGTAAGCGATTGAACATGTTTTACAATGGTAAAGAGAGAGTCTTCTAGTTCTGTAAAAGTTAAAAAAGATTTGATACGTTTTTCTGGCGGACGAGTTGCGTTTGCAATAAAACGTCGACACCAGGCAAAGATGCGTTGTAGCCTCAACAATGAAGAGTATTTCTCAATTAACTGAGTTAGAATACTATCGTCGGATGACTCCAAAAGAACATGGCACAAGAAGCTGGATTTTACTTCGGCTAATTCCTTTAGATAAGGTAACTTTTCAGACACCGGCCATGTAGAAGAATTCGAGACTATCCATTTGGGTCCTGTCCACCAAGTGGAACAAGCCACAAGTTGAGAGCAGGTAAGACCACGACTGCAGTAATCTGCTGGATTATCATACGTTGACACGTGATACCAATTTTCGACAGACAAATTATCTAACAGCTTCACGACACGGTGTGCAACGAAAGATTTAAGACGATGAGGTGCTGTTTGCAGCCATGATAGTACAGTTGAGCTATCAGTGAATGCCCATATCTTTGAAATTGTTATGTTTGAGGTTTGAGTTTCATTTAGTAAATTACTAATAAGCTTCAACATTTTTGCTAGTAATACAGCACTACATAGCTCCAATCGGTTGACAGTAAGAACTTTTAATGGAGCTACTTTAGATTTTGCAATAAGCAAGTGAGATGTAATTTCACTGTCGGTAGTTATACGTAAGTACACAGAACAACCATAAGCCTTGGTAGATCCATCACAAAAACCTACAAGTTCGTATGATTTTGAATGAGGAGGTACAATTAGTCGAGGAATTTTAATATCCTTCAGATAGTGAAACTCGGATGTAAATAGATGCCACTGAGACAACATATCTGACGGTACAGTTTCATCCCAGTCAAGCTGAAGGCGCCATAGTTCTTGTAAGGTAAGCTTAGCTATTAGAACCATTGGGGCTAACCATCCGAGTGGATCATAAATTCTGGCGACGTTTGATAGAATAGCACGTTTTGTATTCCCTGGAGTGAGTTCTGATAAAGCATAAGTGAAGTTATCATCAGCTGGATCCCATTGGACTCCAAGAATCTTGATACTTTGTTTTTGTTTTTCATCACAAAATGTTTTTGGAACTTGACTATGTTCCGTTGGTATCTGGGTGATGAATTCGGGTGAGTTGCTACTCCATTTGCGTAATTCGAACTTAGCACGCGCTAACATTTGTATTAACTCTTCTTTATGTTTCAGTGCAGTTTCAATAGATGTAGCACCAACGGTGATGTCATCCATGAAAGTATCATGACGAAGACTAGCAGCAGCTAAGGGCCACTCTTTTTCGTAGTCAGAGGCTAATTGATGCAGAGTACGTATTGCCAGATAAGGGGAACTCGTAACCCCGTAGGTTACCGTTTTCAGCTCATACTCAGTTACAGGATCAGAAGGAGAATCGCGCCAAAGTATATGCTGCCATTTTCGGTCTTCTGGCCTGAGTTCGATGTTTCGATACATCTTACNGCTTAGTAAAGATAGCAAAAACCTATGTTGATATTTACTAATAGTTAGCATTGATCGAGCATTGACCTTTGTACGAATACTACGTACGTGTGACAAGTCATTCATTGTAAATAAATAATCAGGTATATAAAAAATGTCTTTAAACAAACTTGTTGGTGGTGATTGTGGTGGAAACAATGCACTTGTACAATTTTCCAACATAGTGCGTCGAGATACAGGCAGTTTGCAGCACCGATCGGAGTCCGATAGATATGTTCAAGAGTTTTTATCGCAAAATCAAAATATACCTCAGTCTTTTAACATGAATGCATTACTTGGCAATTTACCTCAACACAACACAACAGTCACTAATTGTATACAAAGTCCGTCAACTTCTTTACAATCAAATTTGAATTGTATAGCTAGACCTTCTACATCTTATATGCCAGTACCTTCCATGCCAAGAACTATACCTTTTATGATGCATCAAACTAGAATTGGCCACTCTCAATCTCTTTCAATGGTTCCAAAAACTTTAGTGCAAAATTATGGAGCAATGACAACTTCTGACAATGATGTGCAAAAAAAGGCAACCGAGTATGTCAAAAGCAATCAGAATGATGATGAACTTGGTTACAATCAATTTATGTCATTTATGAAAAGAATTAGTTCTGGTGAAATGAAATTTGGTGAAGATATTGATAGAAACCAGGCAAAACTGTCTAAAGATGAAATTATTGATGAAATGGCAGAAAAATATAAAGATGAATGGGATAAACTCAGTGATGTCACTGATTATTGGAATTCAGAGGTTGCCCATGGTATTCCTAATGAATATAATTTCACTGAGGGAAATGTCATGTTAGAAAATAAAAGTGCATTGGAAATTGGAAAAGAAAAATTGAAATTAGGAGATATTCCAGGAGCTGTTCTTTGTTTTGAAGCAGCTTGTCAACAACAACCAGCCTCTGCAGAAGCTTGGTTTCTACTTGGAACAACTCAAGCTGAGAATGAACAAGATCCATTGGCAATAACTGCTCTTAAGAAATCACTAGAAATTGATCCAAGACAGCTAGAAGCATATATAACACTTGCAGCAGCTTATACCAACGAAAATATGCCTAAATATGCCTTTGTTTCATTATTGGATTGGTTAAAAGCAAGTCCTAAATACAGTGATCTGTTCCCTCATGATATTGATCCAAAGAAGTTAGACTTAAAAGAATTAGAAGCTCATGTTGTATCTTTGTATCTAAAAGTAGCACAGTTGAATCCTAACCAAATTGATGCTGATGTACAAAATGCCTTAGGTGTTGTTTTTAACATAAAACAAGAATATGACAAAGCAGTTGACTGTTTTAAAACTGCATTAATGGTAGCAAGTGATAATGCCAAGTTATGGAACAGGCTTGGAGCCACATTGGCTAACAGTGACCGCTCTGAAGAAGCAGTTGAGGCTTATCATGAAGCATTGAATTTAGAACCAGGATTTATCAGAGCAAGGTATAATGTTGGAATCACTTGTATGAATTTAGGAGCACACAGGCAAGCAGCTGAACATTTCTTAGTGGCATTGAATCAACAGTTCAAAGCCAAAACTTTGTATCCAAATGCACTAAATACTGATACAAGTTCATCAACAATCTGGACAACATTACGAATGGTTTGCTCATTTATGGGCGAACATGAAGCTGCAAAATTAGTGGATGACAAGAATCTTAATGCATTAAATAATTTCTTCAGTATAGAATAAAATTTATCTACAAGCCATTAATTACCCATTATATTTTTATTCCATCAAGGTACTAACTGTACATTAATATTTTTGTGATATTTAGATTAATTTATAGACTTTATAAAAGAAATGAGGTACGCTAGCGTTTTGGATAATTTTAGAAGTTATTATAATATATATTGGGTGCAGGGGAATCTTCTCAGAAACAATGATTAGTGGAAAAAATATGAAAACACTGCATTGGACCAGTGGTTATCGTTAAAAGAGTAATTTAATGCTCAGCTACTAAACTGGATATTTTTGTGGAACGGGTACTCATTCTTATATTTTTTGCTAAAAATAAATTAATTAAAACTTCATCTTTCTTATTAATTTATCCTTTACTGTGTAGGAAGCTACAATTGATGCTAGACAGGGGACACCCTTGAGGATGGTTGTTGTGGAACCAGCAAGGCTTTACTTGTATTTTTGTGTCAATTATTTTTTGTCTCTTTTGAATAGTAATCACTTGGTCTACTGTTTTAGGATACCTCAACTGCACTTTACCACCAGAAACAAGAAATATGTTATGATTGTTCTTTAATAAAGTTTGCAAACCCCCACATTCAGATTTAAGTTTAATAAGATTTTGCTTTGGAATTAGTGAAACTAGTTCACTTATTTCAACAATTTTTCCAACAGACCATTGTTCATTACAGTCTTTACTGCACCCTTCAAGCAAACAGTCTGTCACTATTTTTACTATTGACTCTATTAGGTTTTTATCCAACTGTGTACAATTCCGTACTTTCTGTGTAGATTCTCTAGCTTTAAAATCTGCCAACCAGGTGTCATTTTCTACATTACCACGTGCATGTTTCTCTTTGAAAATTTTAGAAATTTTATTAATACTGTCTTTATAAGTGTCTGGACTGTACATTCGACCATTGCTTACTAAACATATTCTCTTCGTACTTGGTATTTTAAGTCTGTCAAGATCAGTTATAAAACCACAATCTTCACAAATTTTCTTTACGTGTTCTAAATATTCAGTGTATTGACTTTTTTTAGAATCCACTCGTTGGTATTTGGACCCATCAAAGTTGAATGCACAACATGGCAATAGGAAAAAGTTGCATTTGTAAGAACTCTTAGCTGCTATGACAGGAATCCAAGGTGTCAATTCATCAGAATGGTTACCAATAATCCAATCAGCATTTGGAAACAGATTGCTTTCTGAGGGTACAATAGTTTTCATCTATAAACAAAACAATCATGTGAAAATTAATACAATATTGTAAATAATAATTATAACCATACTGAGGGGTGAAAGGCTTTTTGGTTTAAGCAAAATTTGCAACTTTATAGGAGAGTCATTTAAAGTTTAAAATTTGTAAAATATGTCATGACAAAAAAAATTCTTCAGCTATGTGAAGAAATTGAAATGTTGATGCTAATACCAAATAAAATGGACCTTTAATTACAAAGATAAATGTTGTGTAATAAGTAAAATGCTGCTTAAACCAATAGCCTTTCACCCCACGATATTTATTATAAAAAATTACCTTCAATTTTACCTCAGGCGGATACATATCCCAAATTTCTCTTTTTCTTACATCAATTCCAAGTCCTGCATGGCCCTCTTTACATAATATATACACCAATAAACCATTGCCACATCCAAGATCCACAAATGTTTGTTTCTTTACTAAACTTCGGTCTTCCCAAAGCAGGAGCAAATAAGTTGCAATAGCAACATCTTCATATACAAACTTTGTAGGATCAGTACATTCTGGCCAAATCTAAAATATTAAATCTCTATAAGATTTAAAGTTTTATATTTCATATGCTTAGACCAGGAGTTTGCTTTTCTGATGTAATAAACAAAATTTAGTGCTTAAGTGTTCATTAAAATTTCCACACGAGACATGTGACTGAAGTCTTAATTGTATTGGAATTTGCCTAGCCTGCACTTACTTTTTTGGAGAAGAAAAAGACAGGACTGCAATAGCACTATGTTAGCTTACATCATTAACAAACAATCTATTTCTTATCAGTCCCTGAAAGCAAGAAATAAGTTAACAGTTTGACTCTTAAGATTTTTTTTTGTTCTCTTAGAAATTTTAGTTTACTTAAAAAGTTATTTTGTATTTCTTTTTGGAATCCCTTTAGTACATTATATATGCAAATTACTTTTCCTACTTTCATTAGTACTGTTTTCCATCTCTGTTCTTGGCAATCACTTACTTGGTGCCTCATCTCAATACTTACAGAATCACTGTGCTACATTTAGATCCAATGTAGAGCTTAAGGTTTTAGCTCTCATGTTTTACCATAAGTATTTATGTACTATCACACATTCATAAACGACACATAAGTAATAATCTTATACCTTAACCAAGTCTTTCCCATACTTGAGTTTTAGTTCATTATATTTTTCAAAATATTTACTACTTGATACTAAAGTTAAAGAAGCTGTGCAGATTTTCTTCTTTCCATTATTGCTTTCAGTTTCAGTTGTCCATTTGATAAACTGTGGTAAGAGCTTATTCTTGAGCCACATGTATGATTTTGAGTTTTCATCTAAAAAATGTCATTAATAGGCTTTGTGTTTATAGTATAAATTAAAATGATCTAAAACTAAGGGTGTACTGAAATGATTTAACTTACCATCACAGTGTGCATTCAAGACAATCATATCATTCTCAATATGAATACCATAAGTAAATGAAGGAGTTGTATTTTGTATTACTTCACTAGGTGTTACATTATAAAATATTATATAACTTTCAAGCTTGTTTATGATTATTAATTGATATGATGCCTTATCAGCGTAGTTTTTAGGGAACAATTCTAAGATATTTATTTCAAAACAATCTGAAATAGAATCACCATCACACTTTTGAAGTTTCATGGTATTATACATACAATCTATGTACTTTTCGATTTCTGGTGTACTCACACTTTCTAATTTATGAATGTGATTTGGCCATGTTACTGTTTCCTCCAAACTTATACAATTATGTTTTAACCATATCTTACTACCCCATAATCTCTTATTGACAACATGGGGTTTGGTTATTAAAATTTGAACGGCTTCATAAAAAGACTCCTTAGACGGAGAACAAGAATATTTTGTTGTGGCAGTCATTATATTGCTGTGTTTTTTATAATTTAAAAAATTTAATAGAGGCTATGTACGTATGTATTTATTTTTAATGTTAAAATTTGTGAATGCGAATGCACCATTTAAACTATGTAGTAGGGATGCGATTTGAGATCGAATTAGGGATGTAAACCGATTCGAAGAAAACCGGAGAAAAACCGGTTTTTATACATACCAATAGATACCGGTTTTTATTTAAGAATACCGGTTTTTTACGCTTTACATTCACAGTTCACACCAGTGCTACCAGATCAAATATACAAGCTACAAATATAAAAAAAACCGTGTTTCAGAATCAAATTGCCGTGCATTACATTTAAAAAATACAGTGCAATAACCACAATATGGTTGGTAGACTTTTAGCGTACGAAATGAGGACCGTGACCCAAATATCCACATATCTGCACCCAACACTCACCAGAGCACATGTTGTCTGCAAAAGAGATGGTGCATCGTGAACTAGGGAATCTTCTTGAAGAATTTTCAACTCTCGCTTTATCATCGGAACAGCCAGAAAAAACCACAAACAATTTTAAAAAGCCTGGTATTCTGGATTTTTTGCATTCGCGAAAACGGGATATTCCGAACGCCACGGCGGCCGCAGTGAATATAGTGCGAATGTATATTGAGACTGAAGCCGCCACAGTAAACCACACCGAAATTGCTGGCACGTGCTAACATCCAGAAGGAGCAGGCTTCTGAATGACGCAGTGGACCAACTATGCCTCTTACATCAAAATTTTGGTTTAATACAATAGTATTAAATCAAAAATAAAAAGCTTTTTANAAAAAATATGATTTAAATTGCCAACATCAGCGCCGCAATCACACATATTGTTATTGACTATACCCAATCTAGTCAAATGAGATGGAGTGCAAGCATGACCCAGTCTCATCCGGATTATGATAGTAGTCGTGATCTTACTAAATCTAAAATTGTAAAACCAAGGCTTGGTAGGAATGACAGATTGTATTTGGGCATAATTATTTCCTTTATATTGACTAGAAATAGCCCATGGTTGTCCCCAAGATTCGCGCAGGTCTGAATTCGGAAGACACAAAAGATCATTTATGAAGATTTTGTATGGATAAATATCTCCACAATCCACAGCATCATTAGCAAGTTTATCAGCAAATTCATTGCCAGAAATACCCACGTGACTAGGAATCCAGGCAAAAATTACATCGAAACCTTTTAAATTACATTCCCACAGTAATTTTCTACAATCTACAATAACAGGGTAATTGGCGCAAGATTTGAAAGGAAATTTCTGGAGTGCCTGAAGCGCACTTTTGGAATCAGAAAAAATAACAGATTTATGTAATTTCATCAAATTAACATATTCTATAGCTTTAAATAATCCGTAGCATTCCCCAGTAAAAACAGAGCTTTCTGGTGGAAGTTTAATTTTTTGGACAATTTTTGATTGTTGATGATAAACTCCATAACCAACGAGACCAGAGGAAGAATTTTTAGATGCATCGCTATAAATGTAATGTCGATCTGACCACTCTCTATCTAAGATGATATTAAAATCGATATTGGCAGAAAAAATGGATCGAGATATATCTAAGGTAAAATGAATTTTAGGAACAAGAGTTAATGCTTCATATTCAGCAGAAAAAATAGAGAGACGATGAGACATGTGAGTGAGGGCAAGCAAAGAGGAAAATTTACGAAAACTCACGACTAAACAAGGTAGAGACTTGTGCCTCCAGTAGGGGGAAGATGAAACTAAATGTGATAAAGTAGATAATTTGGTATGAAGGGGATGCTTGGTAAATTGTAGAGCACGGAACAGAAACTTGTCACAAAGATATTGACGACGGAGTCGCAGAGGAGGGTCCACACACTCAACTTGTAAAGCATTGATAGGACTAGATTTCATTGCACCGGTTATTAAACGGAGAGCTTTTGATTGTATGCCATCAAGCTTATTTAGTCCGACTGCATTACATGGTTCAAGAAAGTAAGTACCATAATCTAAAATACTTCGTATGAGAGCGTTGTATAAGAGCTTTAGATTATATGGATGTCCACCCCACCAGACTCCAGTTAAACATCTCATAATATTCAAAACTCGTTCGCATCTAGCTATAACGTAATAACAATGTGATAAACCTGATTATTTGGCGTCTAGAATAACTCCTAAAAATTTTATTTCATTTTGAGATGGAATAAGTTCATTATCAAAATATACGGAAACAGGAGGAGGAAGCCGCATTCTAGAAAATAACACAATGCAACTTTTTGAAACAGAAAGATTAAGAGCGTTGGAGTTAAGCCAAAATTTAAGTTTGGACAGTGCTCGACTTAAAAAGTCACTTAATTCTAAAACAGATCGCCCTGAAACGTATAAAACTAGATCATCTGCATATTGTAATATAGACACGTTATTAGAATCACCATTAGGTATTTGAATTACTTAATCTAGGTCATGTGTGTAAATGTTATACAAAGTAGGGCTAATAACACATCCCTGGGGTAAGCCCTTCCATAAAGTTCTAGATTTATGGTTTGAATCGCCCGTATCCATAGTTATTACTCTACCAGACAAGTAATTAATAATAAAATTAGTAATCAAAAAGGGAACATTGAGCTTAAGAAGTTTTAGCTTTAATATGTGAAGATCGACGTTATCGTAAGCAGCATGTATATCTAAAAATGCTGCAAGTGTTGATTCATTATTACTAAAGGATAATCTAATATCAGTTGTAAATATTCCAAGACTATCCATAGTACTCCGACCTTTCCTAAAGCCATATTGGTTCGGAGCAAGAATATCATTAGATTCAAGAAACCATTCTAACCGATTTTTTATTAGATGTTCTGTTAATTTTGCGAGAACAGATGCGAGGGCTATTGGTCTATACGAGTTCGCATCAGAAGGAGGCTTATTCGGTTTTAAAATAGAGATTACTTCTTGCAATTTCCACGAAGTGGGGATATTGCCAGAAATCATAATGGAATTTATCAAACTTAAAAAGTAAAGAAGGCTAGAATCACTTAAGTGAGAGAAAAACGAATACGGTATACCATCAGTGCCAGGGGCAGAATCTTTAACGTATGCTAAAACTCCTTTCAGCTCTGAAAGGCTAAAAGGAGAATCAAGACTAGTTAAGCTGTTGGTATTAATTACTGGGGAAAGAGTATGAGAGATAAAGAAATTCGGTACTAGCGGAGGGGCAATATTATCTAAGAAGTTGTCTGCTATATCATTAGGAAGAAAAGCTGCACCAGGTTCCTTAAAAGCTGATCGAAACCGGCGAATATTTTGCCAAACTACAGAGGGTGATACGTCAGGAGATAGAGACGCACAAAAGGTCTTCCACCCTTCCCATTTCTTTACTTTAAGAAGCTTTTTTGTTTCAGTCATTACACGAGATAATAAATCAAAGTTTTCAGAAGTAGAATTTTCTTTATATATTTTTTCTGTTAGCTTTCTTTTTTTAATAGCTAATGAACACTCATTATCCCACCAAGGTGGAGATGGTATCATTTTATTATGATTGTGTTTTTTTACTGGGAACACCTTTTCTGCGGCTTGTATCAAAGACAAAGCAAATGCTTCTGCGCAAACTTCATGGTTGTTTTTCGTGATTATCGGGAGGTTAGGAATAACCTTTTCAACTTCTTCTTTAAACGAAAACCAATTAGCATTTTCAAGTTTAAATTTCATTCTCGGGGAGCGACATTTAGTACGGGACGATGTTGCTATAGGAAAATTTATCACAATTGGAAAATGATCGCTACCATAACTAGAAGATAAAGTATTCCAGGAAACGATAGAAGCTAGATTAGGAGTACAGATTGAAAGATCAGGGGCACTGATTTCTTCATGGGGTTGTGTGCGACGAGTTGCCTTACCAGTATTTAAAATACACCATTTATACTTATCGACCATATCCAACAGTCGAGAGCCATAATGATTACTAATGGAGCTGCCCCATGCTACATGTTGAGCATTGAAATCTCCCATGATTAAGATCGGATTGGGAAATATAGAAAAAATTGATTCTATTTCATTATACACACTAGAAGTGGGGTGTGGAATATATAGGGAAACGTAACATATGTTGTTAATGGTAATGGCAATAATAGAAAAATCAGAACTATGATTTGGAATAGTAAACTGAGAAAAACTAATATTATTTTTAATGAGAAGTGCTACACCTCCATATCCATCTGACCTATCTTCACGAATACAAGAGTATTTGGGAATTCTAAAATTAAAACCTGGACGTAGCCAAGTTTCTTGTAAAGAAATTAAAAAAGGTTGATATTTATTTGCTAAATAGATAATGTCACATTTCTTAGAGCTAATGCTGCGACAGTTCCACTGAATTATTTGTGACTGATCCATTATTGTTGTTAGTTACAGATTTATCTGTAAGAAGAGTGGCAGTGTTGGACGGTAAAGAATGTTCAGAAATTACTTGTGAAGATTGAAGAAGAAAATTCATAAGAGTGAGAATTAAATCACGAGTTGACAAGTTTTGAAGTGAGTGGTGATCATATCCTGTTCCAACTGTTGGTAGTGGAATATCATATTCATTGGTTAATTTTGCATGAGCTATTTTGTCAAAACCTTTACTAAGCTGCACTGGTGTTTTAGGTTTGAGAAAAACTGTTTTTTTGTAAGATTTATTGACATTTTCAGACTTTGGATTTGAAACTTTAATATGTGATATAGGAGGAGATATTGGAGTAGACAGAACATCTGAATATGATCTACCAACAGGAGGATGTAATTTCAGGGCTTCTGCATATGATAGACAACTTTTGGCCATAGATTCTTTGATGGATTTTTGTCTAAAAAATTCAGGGCATTTGCGGCTAGTGGCGAAATGTGATCCAGAACAAAGGCAACATATGACATTTTCCTCTTCAATATTACAACTGTCCCCTGAGTGGCCATTACCACATTTAAAACAACGGGGAGAAGACCTACATTGTGATTTAATGTGACCATATCGACAGCATTGAAAACACTGAATAGTTGGGTATATGTACAGATCAACAGGTAAAGAATTATAACATAAATATACACGTTTTGGTAAGACTTGGCCATCGAAGGTGAGCACTACTGTTTCAATTGGAATAAAATTAGTGTTACCATTATTAATTTGTTTTTTATTTAATCTTCTTACTTTAAGAATAGGTCCACATCCAAATGGAACATTTATATTTTTTAAAATCTCTTCTTCTGTCCAGTCCGTTGGAATTCCTCTTACTACACCCATACGTGTTACATTATTAGTCGGAATGAAAGTTTTAAAATTGTTCTTAATTACTGCAGGATGATGTAGGAAGGCATTAGCATCTTCAAAATGGCTAAACGCAAGTAAAATTCTGTTTCGACCAATGCGCTTCAGGCTACCATTTACAATATTTTTAAATGAATTTTTTTTTAAAAACTGCCCAAATGAAATTGGGTGGATAGAGGAGTTATCATTTGGATTTTGTTGTATTTTTTGAACATGGACTATAAAAGGCGAGGCATCTGACGACTGGTAAAGAATTCTACCTATAGACTGCTGTGTCCGCTTTTTGTTTTCAGTAGAAGATTGAGACGCTGAATTTGCATTAATTATCGATTGAGAATTTGACTGCATTGGGGTATCAATGGTTGCAGGAGGGGCTAAATCACATCTACAGTCTGATTCACAACTATCAATAGCAGATTTTAGATGTTTTCTTTTTTTCTTGTTGCAATGCTTGCAGATCTTACTAGCATGTGATCTTTTTCTTTTGGAGTTAGTTCTAGTTTGGTTAGAGCAATCGGAATCTAGTACGGATCCCTCAGTATCTATTCCAGAATTAAAATCAATAGTAATTTCATTCGACACCTGGGGGCCGTAGCCCCCAGGGTCGTCCGGATCAAACATTAATACAATCTAAGAAATTATAAGAATAACTTACCAAATCAAACGAAGAAAATAATAAAATGTGGATTAAATAGATACAAATATACTAAAATATTAATACTATATTACCCAACTGATCCAATTAACATCAAAAATTAATTTTAATTATAGATAAACGACCAGCACATTCGAAGTTTCCCGCGCTTTTTTTTCCAACATGAACTTGGTAGTAGTAGCAGTTCTATTTTTCCAACTGGAAAGGCAAAGGTATCATAACCATATATCCTAATCTTTTATCACTACATAGTATAAAACAAAGTCACTTTCTCTGTCCCTATGTATGTTTAAACCTTTAAAACTACGCAACGGATTTTAATGCGGTTTTTTTAATAGATAGAGTGATTGAAGAAGAAGGTTTATATGTATAATAACATCCATTAAATAGTGGAGATATCAATAATAAATTATAGTTTCCGAAGCGAAGCGAGGGCGGGTCGCTAGTATATTTTATAATGAAAAATGATAGTATGGAGGCAAAATGAAAGGAGGTCGATTAATTTGGAACATTCATCACTTGGCATGAAATTAAATAAAATGAGATATGGGATGAAATTTAATATCGGTAAAATGGTGTTTATTTAATGACTTTTAGTGGACTTTCTGGAGAATCCCGAGAAGCTACAACATGAACTTGGTTTCATTTCAAATTTATTTTTAATTGTACAATGGTACAGGCCAAAGAAACAGCTCATACAGTTTAAGTACTTTGTTGTAGAAGGTCAAAACACTTAATCTAAAGGAAAAGTGACATGAATGTTAATAAGAACTAAGCCTATAGCGTTAACTCTTTCCTTCTTTCGAGTTCAAAAAGTAAAATTGACAGCATTATTCAATCACATTACTCTGATACCTCTGCAAAAATGATTCAATCTAGGTTATTGTCATTATAATTCAACTAGTTTCTTAGTTGAGAAAAATATGATGACCTCGAGCAGGGAAAGATGGCAAGACATCGCAAACGTATACATCAAATCTGCCCTCCCCAATACTATTTAACAATTACGAGTAAAGCATATTTTATATCCGTTTGGGAATGTTATTCTAACCGTGTATCTGTATACCTAATATATTATACTGTTTCTGGATGTTTCTGAAAAACAAATTAATTACATCACTTAAGTAACCCGCAATTGGTCAAAGGTTGAAATGAAAATCAGTTTTTTTTTAATTCCTTGAACTTCATGCAAATCTTCATCTATTCCTCTCCCTGATCTTTCCCAAGTCCCTGACTCACGATACGACTGAGAATTACCAGATTCTGTCGCAAAAATTTTTTAACGGTGGTGGTCTGATAAGGCAGTTACTTATACAAATGCAACAAACACTTCGAAGTTTTTTTTATTTATTGCTTAGTTGGGTGGACGAGCTCACAGCCCACCTGGTGTTAAGTGGTTACTGGAGCCCATAGACATCTACGACGTAAATGTGCCACCCACCTTGAGATATAAGTTCTAAGATCTGTAAAGTATAGTTACAACGGCTGCCCCACCCTTCAAACCGAAACGCATTACTGTGAAGTATTTCGAATATTGAAAAGATAATGTAGTATATCCCCGCACCGAACTCAATATACCGAAAGATCTAGATGAAAAAAGTAGTGTCGAGTATTGAAATAAAACAACTTATATATACTTTGTGCATATTATAATTAAATGCTTTAACAATTTACTAAATAAAAATGTGCTGTTAGATGTGGAAGTATGATACTAATGTTATTTATCCCAAAGTATAAAATACACCAATACTGCTTTAAACTCTGAAATCAAAATTAATTAATCTTTTAAAAGTTTTTAAGAGAGCAACGTAAGAAAACGTCGCCTATAAAAAGAATGTAAGTGCCGGTGATTTACGGATACGAATAGGCATAAAATCGCAATTAGAAGATTATTTTTAAGAAAAAGCATTTTGCATTAGGGGTACACACGTGATGTGTGACTTCACGATCTCGAACGATGCACGAAAGAATCCACTGGCCGCCTTCATTATGAATTGTTCACGAGATATCAAAATTACAAACAGTACATAGTTGCATTTCGCTTAAACGTGAATGTTATTTACCGCTTTGTTACGATAGTACATACCTCTGTTTGGCAATGTTTACATTAATAACTATAATTATACAAAAGACAAAAGCAAATCTCCCAAAAGATACGAGTATGTCTGTTTTTGCCGCCCTCTATTGTGGCAGGGGGATACCTAACGGACCCATCTCCACGTACGTTAGGAACTAGTACTGGTACCACTATCTTGTTTGTTCTGGCGCATAGCAGTCATGCATTCAAGTTTTGAGTGATCCAGTCGTTATTACATTGTAATTTAGACTTGGACGTCACGATTTAAGATCACTGACAAGATTTACCTTTAGGGTGACCGTTTAATACGGGTTGCAGACCAAGAGCTAAGCTAAGGTAGTTTAGCTTAGCTCGCATAGCTGACGCAGTTTTTCATACTTGTGTGCAGACCGCAAGCTATGCGAACTAAGCTACCTGAGCTAAAAACATGCTAAGTTAGTTGTGTAGGCCGATGCGCAGCTACACGAGCTAAGCTAAGCCCCTCTCGCCCTCCCCGTACGCCCTTCGCACATCCTTCGCCAGTGCTGTCCAGTGTCCTTTGTCGTAGGCACGGTCGTTTTGTTGCGAATATGGAGCAATTTATTGAAATTGTTAAACAATTTCCTGTACTATGGAACTGAAATCTCGTAACACGATAACATAACTGAAAATGTTCATCATCTAACTCTTAAAATACAAGTTCTAAGCTCTCCACTTGTGGGCCGAGATTGAATGTGTTAACATATCCAAAATCTAAAATGTCCTTTTCTTAAATAATGATAAGTCTGTATACATCTTCTTTTTCTATGTGTACTGTATCATCATCGGAACTTTCTTCATCGATTATACTCACAGCGAGCGTCGTCCGACTAATTGAACTTCGCAACACTGACTGAGCTTTGGCTTAGCTCTTGGCATGCACGCCATTTATTTCTAGCTTAGCTTAGCCTAGCTTGCTTATTTTAGCTTTGGCATAGCTTAGTTTTCGGTCTGCAACCGGCTTAAGACATGGTGATGGACCTTGAATCCGTTAGACGATACACGCCCATATAAACAGCATACTTGAAATAAGAGCGCGTTTAACCGAATGATGGTGGTGAAAAAAACATAAACAATTATCACCTGATATAATAGATGTCCTCACTCACCACGGACGACTGATGTGTCATTACGTAACACTTTAGTCGGAAGCACTGCATCATGTAACTCGCCAGAATTTAACAGTGACGTACTTTCATTTTTTTTAACACTATTCACAAACGGTGTTACCACGTCCATTTCATCCGAAGTCATCTTTTTTAGTATATTCCCCTTCTTCGTTTCGGTTGGGTTGTCTTGTCCATTAATTACTTTACCGTGAACAGCATCCTTAACTACGTTCTCAGCCAGTATACTACATTCCTCCACATCTTTGTTTATTTTAAATTGTTGATTATGTTCCTCGTTGTTTTCTATTGTTAAATCTTCTGTGCTCTGTCCAGAAGAATTATTTGCATTAACTTCATTAATCAAAATTTCTTTTACGGAATCAACATCTTCACTTAGCTTCCCACTATTATTGCTTGGCGGGGACACTGATTGGATAGCATCTTCTCTTTTAAGCTGTTTTCTAGGTTCACTCTTGTTATAACCCAGAGGGTGTAAATTTACTGACGAAGGAGGACTGCCATCCAAAGATAGCTCCATAGATGTCAGAATACTTTCATCTCGACTGAGATTAGATACAGCTCCGTCAGGTACAATGTGAATATTTAACACTGTTTTACACTTTTGTGCTTCAGTTTCATTGTCGTGACGTGCGGAAATATCGGAATTAGGTACAGAATTACTTGAGAGTGTATTATTAGATTTAAATTTGTTTCTAACCAGAAATCCTCGAACGTGAGCTTGAATAATTGTAGCTGCACTTGATAACGTGGAAGAGTCGTCTGTAGATAATGACAACGATTTTTCTTCATTTACTGTTTGAAGAACAGTGTCCATTCTCGTTAAGCCTATGCCTCTTCTGTCTTTAACGATATTCAAATTAGAAAACTCATTTAATTCCTGGAACGCAAAACTCGTTTAATTAAAAATTTACATTCCAAATTGGCAATGGCACTTGTCGTCTCTTAACTCACCTTTTTCTCACTATCATCTTCGAGCGAATTAGTTCCATCGTGTGAATCGCAAGTTGATGCTCTACTTTTGAAAAGAAAAGAACGAAAAACCTTTTGAATGGTTATTGCTGCTGTCTCAAGATCCATACTTGTATTTGGCTCAACAATGTCCACATGAGAGGTGTTATCTTTCATTGCTTCACTTTCAAAGTGTGTCACAGTATCTGTTCTGTCTGTCGGTTCTTCCAAAATTTTATGAATTTTTGATTCAATACTATCATCGTTCTCTTTTACTGCAGATAAATTTTCATGCGATTGTAATTCGTTTGTTGTACTGGAATCAATTATTGAATTTTTTTCTAAGGCAGCATTAGGAATTTCATTTTCAACTGTTATGTTGTAGTTTTCTGATAGATTTATTTTCTCAGAATTCGTGTCACAAGTGTCTTCAGAAATAATTGTTTTTTGTTCACTTTCTGTAATAGCGTTTATAACTTGATGAGATTCATTGCCTTCTTTCGATATATTTGTACTCGATTCACCTTCAATTATAGTATCTGCATCAGAAAGCTCAGTACCAGGAACTTTTGAGTTGTCATTTGGTACTTCTTTTGATCGATTTTCCTGACCGCACACGTCTTCAATATTTGTAGTAACAGGCACTACAACTTCAGCCATTTTATTTGCGCATTCAGACTGTTTAAATTCATCTTGAGTTTTAGGAATTTCCATTTTTACTTCTTTGTCCAGTTCCTTCATTTCACAAGTTATTTGATTCATACTTTGCATTTCTGCTTTATCATTCGAATGTTTTGAGGACACAATATCACTTGTCAATTTATGGCTTGGCTCATTTTCGCCATTTTCATCATCCTTTCCTAGTGCATTAGTGGTATCTAAGTTATCACCTTCAATCTCATAGATTTTTTTTTCACAATTAAGTACACTCAACTGTGAAATAATTTCTTTATTTGACGAATCTACATTGATATCATCTGATTTTATTTTTGTTGGTTTTTCATTTACTTTATTGTTCACTGAACCTGAGATAGTTTCATGTAAGATTTCCTTTTTCGAATTTTCTACTGAAATCAATTCATCATCATGTGGAATGGGTGATGATAGCACGACACATTCTGCTTTAGTTGGTAAAGGTTTTTCTTCAATAGAAGATGGCGTAACTGACTCTGAAAAGTTTTTATCAATTATGATCTTTTCAGTCTTCTCACTGGCCTTATCGTATCTTTGTCGACGTTCATGGGCTTTTTGCCTCATTTTTTCTTGCACTATTTGAATTTTATCATTTAAGGAAATTACATTTTTCACGATTGCTGAAAATTTATTTGATTACTTTCTTTTTATAAATTGAATTTACTAATTAATAATTAGAAATCGATTTACGTACAAGTTCCATTCCTAATTTCTAATAACTTTGACATATGAGCAGCACAAAAATCATAAATATTTTCTGGATTATTTTTAAGAACTTCTTTGGATAGGTCTTCCATAAGTTCGACCAGACCTGAAGGCATCTTAGGTACCGGAGTTGTTCTAGAGTAGGCACGGGAACCCGTTACCCGCATTATGACTGAAAATTTTAATATTAAACTTTGCTTATTTAATTAATGGTAAATTATTAGTATTTTTAAACACGAACCTGTTAAATCGTTCAGTACTTCACACTGTCAATGCCGCAGCAAGACCGCAAGAGTTATGACTATGGGAAGGGATAAAGGAATGTTTGGCATACGTCGTCATGGCGATTCGCCATTAGAACTTGATTTTCTTGGCTATAATTATTGATCGGATTGAAGTTCATTGTACTATAGGGTGCAAGGTCTAGTAGGGTTGATGACTTGTTAGTTGTTACTAATAATAAATTACTCCATCAAAGTTGAATTCAAAACAAGGTATATCAACTGTTATGTATTCTATTGTTCTGATAATGTAATTTTTTAATTATTTTTCAATAAATTAAAATGAAAAACGATGAACAATGTAAATTTTTTGTGTATTTTTCACGTAATTTGCGCAACTGAGTTATCTCTAGGGTAAAAGTCAACACCGGGGGACAGCATCAAACAGATAGGACGAGCAAATTTAGCATACGCTACACGGCCGCTGCAGGGCTTCTAACTTTACAAAAAGTATACGTAAAGAATTAAATTCTGTGAGTCAACTTTTTTATTTTCATACTGTGTTCTATAATAGTAATTTATATATAAGATCATATATAATTTTTGCAATGTTAATACATTTTACATAACAAACATTTCCATAGTGTACATACATACACACGCAGTGGTGCTAGTTCGCGGCGCGTATCGGTATATACAGAGGCGCGGGCGCCGTAAGGCCCGCGTCGCTCTACAAGTGATGATAGAAAAAAAAATTACTACAGTAATATCATACAAATTAATGACTATTCCCTTAAAAATTATTATATCTACTTTTAGCATCTTTCTACTCCAATATGATCAAATAAACGCTTCAGTATAACCGAGCCGCGTGCGTGACACACGGATGGTCTCAAGCTCGATTCGACGACTCTGTCCGATCACGGTGTCCTATTCCCGCAACTATGTATAAAAATCACACTGCTATAAATTTATAATAAATAAATGCCTATTTACACTATGTAACTAACTATACAAAATGATGGTACGTCGAGCATCTAATTTTGAACAGAAATTTGATACGACGATCTACAGGGCATCGGCTCGAGCTCCGGGCTCGTCGCCGAGACTCCGAACACAGCACACTAGACGATACAATTTTCAAATTTCTTAACAATTTTTGTACAATTATTCAGCCAAAGCCATGTGCATGATTAATACATTTTATCCGTGATCATGCATCAATTATACATTTAAGTTTAAACCTATTAAACGATTTAACAACATTGAAATCCGTAAATAAACGCACGGGGCGGTTCTGCCCTCGCACGAGGACGAAGCGGAGGACGCGGAAGATGCAGAGGATGCAGGATGCGGAGGACACTAAGGACGCGGACACACGAGCACGAGGCGCCCCGACTGAACCGAACGCACCGACACATCGGCACACTCGAACGTACGAATCATCAGAGGTATAAAAAATTAATAACGTCGTTAACAAAAGTGTAATCGAATAGAAAATATCAATACATAACTGAAAGTAAAAAGGATCGCATTTAGTAAGACGCGGATGGAGGCGCGGGTGGGGGCGCGGTCGGCGAGGCTATCACTTGGCGAGCGGCGCCGCGTGTTGCTGTCGCTTGTGGCTGATCTCCAGCTCGCCCAGCCGCTTCCACAGCTCGTCGCGCTCCTTCTCGCGCTTCTTTTCTCTGCGCGAACGTTTTATCAATATTAATATCACATTACATTTTCTATTCAAGTAAGCTAGTTCAGAAACAAAAACAGCAAAGCTGTAATGCCTACGAGCGACGGTGACCTTTTACCATGAGGCGGGTTGCATTCTTGTGCACCTCGTTTAACGTGTTGAGTATGTCGTAAAAATATATATAAAATACAGAATATAAATTTCTATTTTGGACAGTTTTTTAATAATATAAGTTAATTTATGGATCATTATAACTAAATAAAACCAGATAATTGAAATTTAACGCACTTCTGCCTTTCTGCTTTGTAGCTAGCTGTGAGTTCGTCAAATAGTTTGGAATTCATTTCCATGAATGTTTTGAGCACATTGTAGACTAGGGCCACGATTGTTTGGTTCCAGTGCTCCTTGCTGATTCGGTACAACGCTGGGAACATTATAGGCATGATCACATGGTTGTTCTCTTCCATCAACGACATTATATACTCGTTATTCCAGAAATACAAAGCCCTCTCAGCTACCTGTAAATAATTTCACAACATAAAATAATATTTTTAAATAAAGTATTTTATTAAATTATAACAGATATAAATACCTGAAAATGAGGGCTGGAAACACATTTTGCAATTTGCCGGAACAGTGGTTCTTGGATTTTAGCAAATTGTGCAGGCTCAATTACATCCAATATTTCTTCAATCTCGCCCAAAAACATTACCTTCATAATTAATAAATTAAAATTACTATACACTCAAGTTATTTATACATATACATAAATAGTAAAGTTAGATACAAATGAACATATTATTATTCATCTATTCCTTTTGTAGGAAGTGTACAGAGTATAGTTTCTGAAAGGAACACTAGCTGTAAAGTGGCAATTATTGGATTTTCGGGTTATGTATTATTTAGATAACTTTCATTTCTTTATGTAGAGATGGGTAGCTGAGCTCATGAGAGAAGTGGTTACTGGAAAATAGAGGCCATGGGATTTCTTTATTCATGGGAATACTTTACACTCAAGCCATCTTTCATGTCATCCTGCATAATTCTTCGAAATATGACGGATCTTTTAAAATATAGAAAAACCCACGTGCTTGTTTCGTAAAAAAGTCATGCAAAATAGGATAATCTCGAGAATCATTACATTTCATTGCATAAATGAGTGATCGAGCTTACGTCCACCTGGTAATAAATGGTTCCTAGACCCCATAGACATTACAACATGACTGCTGCAATCATCTTTGTGACACGAAGTCTCAATATTATGGAATAATAACTATTCTACACTTCAACCCGGAAAGAATGACTGTCTCGCGGCAGAGATAGGCAGGCTCTTGGTAAGTAGGTGCTAGTTTACAATGCGCCTTACTACCAGTAAACACAAGTTGACAGTCGCAGTAAGCAGGTATAACAGTCAGAGAATGCTGCCGCCTGTCTCCTCGGCGAATCATTTTGGACACCTTTCGTGATACCGACATGAAAAGATGGGGTGGTTCTATTCTAGACGGACTGATTATATCTTGGGTATGATTCCCCACGCCCAGTATCCTAATGTTTTTTTTTATTCTGTTTGTACAATAACAAAAATAGATAAAACCACATTCGAATTCCATTCGATTTGAATAATAATGTGTTACCTCTTTCTGTGAACAAGTCTTCGGCCAAAACTTGAGTAGTCCACGCACAACGGGCTCCGTGAGCGTAGCGTCCTTCTCGAGGAACTGAACCACGCAGTAGGCAAGCTGAGCGTGGTATAATGACAAGCACTTCACCTTGTGCAGAGGCAGTAGCACCTTCACCAAAAATTGTTTGTGCTCACTCTTCAACGGTAAGGCGAATCCGTTTATTATACTGTAAAATAAAAAAATTATTAATCTCAGGGAATGATCCAAAATAAATTATTTATGATTAAAGTTTTACAGTCATTCAGCATGTCAATTTTGTTACATTTTTGAACCGAATTGCGATGAGCGCAGTCTTGTGCCCCGAAATTGAATCTCAATAGTTTATTTTGTTTAAACTACTAACAGAAGTAAATTTACAATATATTAGGTCCTTAAATATGAAATTAGAGTTTTGTCATACTGACCACTCTGAGATATCTCCTCTTTGGATAAAAATTCCAAATTCAAATTTATAAATTCATTTTTTTTTTTTTTTTTATTGCTAGATGAGTGGACGATCTCACAGCCCACCTGGTGTTAAGTGGTTACTGGAGCCCATAGACATTTACGACGTAAAATGCACCACCCACCTTGAGGTATAAGTTCTAAGGTCTCAAGTATAATTACAACGGCTGCCCCACCCTTCAAACCGAAACGCATTACTGCTTCACGGCAGAAATAGGCAGGGTGGTGGTACCCACCCGCGCGGACTCACAAGAGGTCCTACCACCAGTAATTACGCAAATTATAATTTTGCGGGTTTCATTTTTATTACACGATGTTATTCCTTCACCGTGAAAGTCAATCGTGAACATTTGTTGAGTACGTATTTCATTAGAAAAATTGGTACCCGCCTGAGATTCGAACACCGGTGCATCGCTCATCACGAATGCACCGGACGTCTTATCCGTTAGGCCACGACGACTTCGAAACACTTCGACTTAGCTGGTACATTTGAGTTTTGTAAACGATCATTCATTTGTTTTTTCCTCGGTATTTTTTTCTTTGGCGTCGCTTATTACCGCACAATGGAAAACATGAAATATCGGTGTATTTACGAGTACGATTTCTACAGTGGCACCAGTGCTACAGAAGCAGCTCGAAGGATTAATGATGTGTACTGCACTAGTATCGCAAAAGAAACCACAGTACGTTTTTCACGTCTAGTGTGGAGGCGGATCAATCACAAAGCACTTCAGAGATAGCTGCAGGTTTCGGGGTAAGTGATGAAACTGTATTAATCCACTTCAAGCAAATAGGGAAAGTTAAAAACTTGAACGATGGGTACCTCATGAATTCAGTGAATCGAACTTGCAAACACACGTCGACTGCTGTGTTACTTTGCTCAACTGACACAATAATGAAGGGATTTTAAATCGAATTACTTGTGATGAAAAGTGGATACTGTACGATAATCTGAAGTGCACGTCGCAATGGCTGAACCCTAGAGACCTAGCCGAATTCTGCGCTAAACAAAAATTGACTCGAAAAAGCTACTTGCGAGTGTTTGGTGGACTAGCGCCGATGTCGTTCACTACAGCTTTCTAAAATCTGGCCAAAAGATGGCGGCTGAAATCTATTGTCAGCAGCTGCAAACCATGAAGGAATAACTAGCTGCTAAACAGATCGGTCCGAGATCCGAGATCGATCAATCGCTCTAGGCCACTGCTGCTTCACGACAACGCAAGACCACACACTGCACAACAAACCACTAAGTTACACTACGATGAACTGGAATGTCGGCTACATATCCACCATGCTCCCCAGACCTTGCTTGATTTTATTCTCGGCCCCATGGTTTTTTTAGTAAAGGGATCAATGAACTACCTATGAGATGGCAAAAGTGCATATATAACAATGATGCATACTTTGATTAAATAAATATATTTTACAAAAACATAAATATATTCCTTCCGTACAAAACTCCAATTTCGTGTATAAAGAACTATAATAAATAAAAAAAATTCATAAGATTACAATTTGTTTTCAATGCTTCAATCGCGTTAATGATGAGATTTGTTCTTATCAAATATGCTATGGGTCAAAATTATGCTATCTGCGTGGACGTTGTTGCATGACCTTTTTTTATCATTATTAAAATCAGTTTAGGTAAATTGGATTTCAAACTTGTCTTAATCAGGCGTCATCTGTCATCTTATTATTTTAAGTAAATATATTAATTCAGTGGAAACTGAACACGACCGTATACTTATTTAATTATGATAATGAAACGAAAATTATGTGTTACCATAAGAAACTTTTTCATCTAGAGTTGATTACACGGTGCACGGTGCACGGTGCTAGTATGTAAAAATGCTACCGTGATATTTGCAAGTGTATGTAAATTTGTTTTTAGATCGTACATGTAATATGTTGGAAAACATCTAAACTAACTTGGTAACGACTTTGTGAATAAAAATTGAGCTTAAAACCATGTTTTTTTCTTTATTATTGTCCCTCTTCTACTAGGAATGGTCAGTGCATAATATATCTGTTGTAGTTTAAATTCACTACTTTATGGTTGATGCCAGATATTAAACAAGGAGTATTAAATAATAAATTAGTTGATATTAATAATACTTTTAAAGGATGGTTATTAGGTAATAAAACTAGCCTTAGCTAGAGGCAGCAAGCAGTCTTATACCAGTATCAACATTTGATTGATAACATACCAGACAAATTAACATACCTATAGCGACAACAAATATTGCTAGTATTTTTTGTCAGAAATATTTTGTATACAGGCATTAAATACGTAATGCTTTACAAAAATTTGTGCCTGTCAGAGGGATTTCAACCTGGATGATTGTGGTTTGAATCTAGTAAGCCGTATGTCTTATCCTTTAGGTCACGAAGACGTTTATGAAATTAATTCAAATTCAAAAAGTCTAATTTTTAAGACTTTTTCTTATTACATACTGGTGTATATTTTAATAATCATTCGAAATTTGTATATTTTTTGTGCTCAAAAAAACTTTCAGTGTAACCTATAAATCAAAAATTTTAAGGCATTTATTTTGATTTGAGTTATGAAAACAGTATCATTAATATGCTTATGAATTATATACATTGTAATATTACAAAAAGGTGCATATAAAAATTAAATATTGATAAGACTTATATCAATTTTTGTAGGCATTAAAATCCTGCTATTGTCATAAATTCAGATTTTTGTAGGTCTACATTGATAAATTTAGAGACTACTTATAATAAAAGTATATCAAACATGATCAACTTCAATAAATATTAGATATCATTACATCTAAAAATAATTTGAGCAACTAATACCCTATACTCTCAAACAGATTTTTCCAAGGAGTTCCTGCAAATTGTTATTATTGTGTGTCGAACACAAATCACAGATATTATCAGTTCTGCTATTTTATAAATAATATATTTTATAAAGTATATTGTAAATAATTTATTATTTTATAAATAATAACTTTTATAAAGAATTTTATTACAAATATATTAACAGTAAAATATTAACTAAACTAACCTTCCCAATATTTCTAGCAGTTCACCAACACCATTGAAGTGTTCAGTTTCATAGACAAATCTCAAAAATATATTATTGATCTGTTTCCGTATAAATGCTCGCAGACCCAAAAATTTTCCATAGATGCGATGTAGCACGGTTTTCAGAAAATCGCGCTCGCGCGGATCTTCAGAGTCGAACAAATCTAAAAGCTAAGAAACAAAACATTATTAAGCATTCAAGTAAAACATTTCAAATTTAGATTATTGTCATATACTTAAATTCCATAAAGACTTTATGGTAATGATATAAATAGAAAATTCTGTAGGAAAGTAAGTTGTTATAAATATATTAAATCGTCTAATTAGAAGTATATGTTGTAAACATGTAATTGTATATGATAGTTTCAAGTTTAGTTTTTTCCAAACAAGCTATGGTATATTTTTTATTTAAATTTACCAAAACATAACAGATCTAAATTTTTACATTTTTTAACAATAAACGATTACTTGTTTAAACGGAAATGACCATTAAAAAAAGGATTTGAGTTGCAAGATTATTTAAAAAATAAAGTTACAGTATAACTTAAATTAAATTATTGAAGCAGTAGGTAAATAAAAAACTCACTAACAGCTTGAAAAAAGTTAGGAATTCATCATTATAGTAGTTAGTTCTTGCTAATGAAATATGGAATTGATTTAACAAAAAATTTAGAGGTTTGCTAATAGTAGACAGAACAAAAGATCTCCTTTATTAATTTATAGCTTATAGACATCACAGCATGAATGCAGCCAAACACCTAATTCATATGAAATCAAAATCAATTACATTACATAACAGCTGCCTCCTCCTTGACGATGGGAGGTATGATCCACAACAGAAATAGGCAAAATAGTGGCACCTACCCTTAGGTACAAAAATAAACGAAATTTTTCTTGAGCATAAACCTTTAAATTTTCTGTAGATTAAAAGATCAACAATTAATGTTTGTATTTTAAAAAGCTTTTCTTTTTATTACATTTCTACTTATTAAAAATAGAGTGAGAAAACCAAATTTAAAGGTATTTATAAATCAATTTAGAAGATCATTCGCAGCTGCTTTTTTTATAGTTACATACACTTCACCAACTAAGACCATTACTTTTTTGGTAAAATTAATGGAATTTATGCAATTTTAGCTGTTTCAATAGACTTGGTAATTGTGAATTGTGAATAAATAAAGGTAAACTTAAAAACATATTTCAAATGACAATACCTGTAAAACAAATTTTTGATCGATAACCTTCTTGCCTATAGTAGGTTGGAAATCAGTTGACTCAAGGAAGCGCAGGAAGAATTCGTAGACTAGTTGAAGATGGGGCCATGACGCCTCCAGAGTCGGATCATCCTCTTCAGGATCAAAATCAGGGTTTTCACTTGGAGGCAGGGTACGGAACAGATTTGCCGATATCTAAGTGAGAGAATGTGTTAATGGTTCAGTATACATGTTAACAGAGTTACAATTCATGAAGAATTTTTCATCTTGTGCTAGGTAACAAACATAGCTTCACAGAAAAAAAAATGATTACCACCACCTAGTTTGTAACATTGTCAATCTCAAGTGATAAGACAGACATAAATACATTATCTGCAAAATATGTTTTTTATTTAAATATGTTAAATATGTTATGTGTTATAGCAGATCTACTAACTCTAGCAGAGTTACTACTAACACTATTAAATTCACATTAGGAGCGTTAAAAAACTGTTGATAAAACATCACTTGCCTAATTGTGGACAAGATACATTAAAATTTCACATTGTTGGAAAACACTAGAGCTATAATTTTAGTGAAAAAGATGATATTTATAGTGACACTAATGGTACCTACTTATGATACCACATACAAAATGTATTTTTGATACATTTTGAATTTAATAATTGTAAGTTAATTTCCAACAATGGCATGTTCTTTTGTTACTTTCGAAGGCAGTTGTGCTTATAGCCCACCTTTTAACAAGTGGTCAGTATTACATGTAAACATCAACAATTCAAGGGCCACAGTAGAATTGCTGGCTACTGCTGAAGAATTTTAAAATTACAGAACACAAGGAAGGTATATCAAAAATGTCAAGAAAAACAGAAAAAGGATTGCCATCTAGAGTTAATTGGCTTATACCATCTACCTCTCTATGCTATTAAACTTACTAATGTTTCTCATTGTGGACAAATAGTTTTAAAAATATCTTGACTGTGAGAAAATTTCTGACAAAGTCCTCACTTAAATAATTTTATATAAACTGGAATTAAATTTCGTTTGGCAACACTTCTTGCTTTGTTTGTAATGTGAATTCTGAGTTGATGCATTACTTTAATACTCTTTTTTTAGCCCTGTTACCATTATAATAATACACTTACTAGTATATTGCTACACCTAAACAATTTTTTATTGACTTACCATTTTTATAATTTCTGGATAAACAGGCTCTGTAAGTACACCGCGGCCACCATGAATGTACTCAACAAGTTCATTCAGTGTAGCACGTTTGATCTCTTTGCCTTTCAAATCAGCAACAGGATCCATGAAATCAAACGCCACACAACATTGTCGGAGTTTACGGATGAACAATTCCTCTTGTTCACTGCTTGGGACATCTGAAATTAACATTATTGTACACTAAATAATATGCAGACTACTATGATTTCAGTTCCATTTTTTTTTACAAAATCCATTAGCAAAGATAGTTAAGCTACATGTAATGTGGGGTTGTTACCAAAGCCCAACATCACAATATGAATGCCATCTGTTTTAAGAGACAAGTCAAAGTCTCAATTACACAGGAATAATTGCTATTCTTCTTTTCAAAGAATAATGCCTGTCTAATGTGACATAATTAAGCAGGTCAATAACGCTAACCCATACAAACTAACAACACAACATACACAATCACTAAGAAATCCACTCCAATCTAATAAGCCCACTTTACCAATCTTCAGATTATCAATCCCACTTCCCATAATTATATTCCCATAATACTATGATTACAATTTCATCTAATAAAAATAATTTCCTATGTTATTAAATAATATTATTTGTGTTTTTTTTATTCAAAATATATTCATACGTTGGTTTATTTTAACTTAAAATATTAGTTAACATATGAGAATAACTACTATTTTAAACTTCTTACGCCTATGGTTTAAGAATTGTGTGATAAAACATAAAACAAACAGTTCAGATTGAGGATTCCAATAAGTTTCAGTAACCAGATAATTAATTAACCTTTTATCTAATGAACTGTAGGATATCACAATTTAAATAAATCTCTAGTCCTTTACTAATTTCACTTCTTAATAGACAAATAATTGTTCAGTTGTAAATAGTTTGATGTAAACATTAGAAAAAAAAAGTTATGAAAGTGCAACTCAATAATAACTTAAATGAAAAACTAGGTTATTACACACATAAACTTACCTTTTAACAATGGCAATGCTTGTAGCTCCACATCTTGCGTATTACGATAACGAGAGGAACCCTGAGACTTCTTAGTCTTTTTCTTCAGTNTAGACAAATAATTGTTCAGTTGTAAATAGTTTGATGTAAACATTAGAAAAAAAAAGTTATGAAAGTGCAACTCAATAATAACTTAAATGAAAAACTAGGTTATTACACACATAAACTTACCTTTTAACAATGGCAATGCTTGTAGCTCCACATCTTGCGTATTACGATAACGAGAGGAACCCTGAGACTTCTTAGTCTTTTTCTTCAGTGATCTTTTAGCAAATGGATCAATCCTGTCCACAAACGTTCCCGAAGACATTTTGGCAATACGAAAGCGTCCCAAACGACTAAAGCTACACGGTGATCAATGCAAAAGATTTGTTGTTTCCGATTGTGTCATGATCTGGCCCAGTATACGAGATGAACGCGCACTTCCCGTAAGGTCGCAGCACAGTATTAGATCCTAAACAAACATTCCTTCGTCACACATGACGGTAATGGAGTGGTCACACTCAGGCCATTCTTTATACACTTCAAGATTCCACAACAGTTACGTAATTTAAATAGTTCTATTTCATTAATATTACACAAATAGAGAAAAAAATAATTCGGTTCACAGTTTCGGTTTTAGTTTCTAAGGCGTGTCACGAATAGCAGAAGGTAGAAGTCATATACATACAAGCCTCGTGTAATATCAGCCGGTCAGTCAATGACAATTATTATTTCTCAACAAAAATCACGAAAGATTATCCAAAGTTTTACTAGTAATAACACACAAAGTAACGAAACAAAAAAACTGTGGTTTCTCGTAAGTGTATTCAAAACTGAAGCTATGATGACACGATGTAAATTTTAACACCAAAAATCCATCACCGTATTCTCGCCATCGCTCACCATCCGTTTCGACAATGAAACAGAACGCATTTTATCGCTACACTCAGAATTAATTTAAGATGTGGCACTTTATTATGACAAATCAAAGTTTATGAGGCGTTTTTCACTTTGTGAAGCGATCAATTTATAATTTTTTTCAGTAAAAGATTATCATCACTGGTTTGCTGCGAAAACGCTACACTCTTAGAAAAGTACCTACTTCTGAAAATAGATGGAGATAGAAAATATTCTTTTACTCCTTTTAATTACTTTTAATGTTATAATCGATATATTTGGGACAATACAAGAAATATATAAAAGTTATTATTATTTTTAAATATTAATAAACTATTTTAGGATAATTTTTAAAGCATTTAATGATAGTAAGAAATAAAAAAATATTAAAACTTTTAACGGCTTCCGGTCACAGATTATAGTTTGAATGGAAAATTGAAGCAGACCATGAAGAATGTTCGGTTTCTTATTAAAAATTTGCAGTTTCCGATTTTGCAATTATGCTTTTTTTCCGCAAGTAATTTCTAATGTAAAATTCTAAGAAATATTTTTCATTAGAGAACAATGAAATAAAAATCTATGGTAGTTTTGGTATTAACTCTATGGTCTACGCTTTAGACTGATACCTGGTAATTAATCTAAATTTATGTTTACTATTTTACTAGTATTCTATAGTAACACTAGATGGCTGTATTATATACTCGTCTTGTGCTATTATATAACGAGTGGCTTGTGCGTTAATCGGCAGGTGCCTAATCTACAATGGCAAACTATACCAGCCAAACAGCACTGGCGATGATATTGGTATAACTTCGATCTCCATTGTCGTATACACCCTAGCAACTCTCACTACTTTCTCGATAAGCGAGAGGCGTTAAATTATTTATGCCTTCACGTGATGATAGCTGTTTCTGATCAAGACTCATTTTTAGATCATATCTGGCACTTAAACTTCTTCCTTAGAATTAAACATTACCATAACATGTCGAAACCATGCAAAGTCGTCTTTCCAGAATACTAGTATCTTCCTATATATGTATATGAATTACCATTCTGCTGCGGCAGTATTAATATACTTTAGCATTTTTTAGCTTTCAATATATAGTCTGTTTAAATATGTGTATTGTAAATTCAAAAGTAAGTTAATTTGTTTGTTACGCTTTCAAGTCTTAACTACTCAAGTATTTTTTATGGAATGTTGCATAAAAGTTAGCAGGGATACTTTACTCGGGATTTTTTTTACATTACAGTGAGAGAAGTCATAGGTAAGAGCTAGTATTAAAAATAATACATAATTGGAAAGAATTAACTAACTGTTACCTGGCCGCAAACTAGCTTTCTCGGTCCTATGGGTAAAAGAATCATAGGACGGGATAAATATACGAACGAATGAGTAAGATACGACTCGTATGCATTTAAAAAAGTAAGATAATATGAATAACTTTAACACCGAAATAAACAGAACAAAAAAATATTTTATATTTTTTGTTCTATCATTCTCATAATTTATTTTCACATTTTGGTTAACTCTTTTTGAAAATCCCCGAAATTAGTTGGATTCCCTTTGGGCGGTGGTAGAGTCTGGTTCTTCGTAGTACTGGTGGGTTCGTTGCCACCGCATATTCTTCCTAGTTGTATGAATATTGACACCATCGGTTTGAACAAATCTTCAAAGTAATGCTTAAAGATTGATATCCCCTGTTTAACATCTCTATGAGAGTTAAATCCTAACATGTGAAGGAAAAAGGAATTAACATAGAGTACCGCAATGTTACAAGATTGCTCTTTTAATACCTACATCACTAGGAAGGGTTGGTCTATAATTCCATAAATGTAGTCTGTGGGCGGTTGGAGGAAATCAGCTTTCTAAATATTTTTACTAATAAGCAGGTTTTACCGTTCAAAAATTTTCGGAAAATTCAGTGATATAAATTTACATTTCAAAATCTCAAGTGTCGAACAGATATCTCATTTAGCAAATATTGTTGGTCAATGAAAGTTTTAATTTAGAAAGCAACATGGAAGCGCTGACAGTTCCGCCATGAATGCAAAATAAATAGAGATTGTGAAGGTGCGTATTTATGAAAAAGAATTTTAGTGTTTTTAAATTCAAGAAATTACGATTTTGATTTGTTCGGAAAACATACCTGATGACGTTTCCTATAAATTATTTGCGAGGAACAACTTCGTGTAGGTGCCTATCTACTATTGATGGAAGTCTCCCGCAAATTATTATTCCGTTAATTAAATGAACTTTCTATTTTGATATCGCAGGCTTCCGTTTCATAATATGAGTGGAGTGTTATATTTCATAATTTTATATAAACAACAAAACTCAGGTAGGCATGGGATGCATTTTGTTACCGATTTTAGGATTGATTGTTTGTAATTGCAGGGACTGGACTTCATCTAAGCAGGCTAGAAACTTCACAATGTTGAGAGGTGGGCGTGGAGGCCGTCACAGTCCGGAGCTGTACCCCCACACACTAAAGTGCTCCAACGCTAGTGATACTAGCTCCGCATACAGTGGCAGTGACACTATGACTTCAGTACATAGCTCCCTTGATATGGATATGGAGGTTGATCTTTCTGGCCTCCTCGAGTCTATTGTTGATTCTGATGAGGAAGAAGATATGGAAGAGGAAATCCTTATAGTAAGAGATGCAGTGCGTGAATGTCTGGAAAAAGATCCAAGTGAAAGAACTGATGATGATATTGAGACTTTGTTGGAATTTACTCGACACTTAACAGCATTTACTAATATGACTCTTACTGTAAGGCGTGCTCTTTGTGCTGTAATGGTATTTGCTGTTGTGGAGAAAGCTGGTACTGTTGTAATGAATGATGGAGAAGAACATGATTCATGGTCAGTACTCATTAATGGTCATGTAGGTATTGAGCATGCCAATGGAGAAATTGAACATCTTAATATTGGGGACAGCTTTGGAATGGCAGAGGCTACTCTGGAAAAGTTATACCATCGGGGTGTAATGACAACCAGGTGTGATGACTGTCAGTTTGTTTGTGTAACACAAACTGATTATTACCGTATACTGCATCAAGGAGAAGAGAATATCAGGAGACATGAGAATGACAATGGGGTTGTAGTCTTAGTAACTGAGTATAGAGGAGTAGCAGGTGAGTCTGGACGCCAACATGGTCATGTAGTAATAAGGGGAACACCTGAACAGTTGATGTTGCAACTTGTGGAAGACAATTCACGTGATTCTACTTATGTTGAAGATTTTCTCTTAACACATAGAACTTTTATTGAAAGTCCATTAGTAGTAGCGAAACAGCTACTAGCTTGGTTTTCTGAACCTTCTGTCCGGGACAAAGTAACCAGAGTGGTATTATTATGGGTAAATAATCATTTCACAGATTTTGAAACAGATCCAAATATGATGGAGTTTCTTGAAAATTTTGAAATTTCACTAGAGCGAGAAAATATGGAAAGCCAGCTGAGACTTTTGAATATAGCTTGTTCTGCAAAGGCTCGTACCAGGAGTGTCACATTATCTCGTCCATCTAGGGATGAACCCTTATATTTTACTATTTTGGGTGGTTATGAGAGAGGTTATGGTATATTTATTTTTAAAGTTGAAAAACACTCTAAAGCAGAGGATGTAGGATTTAAAAGAGGAGACCAAATTTTGGAAGTAAATGGGCAATCATTCCAGCATGTCAGTCATGCTAAAGCAATGGAAATTATAACAGGATCAACACACCTGAGCATCACAGTTAAAAGTAATTTACTAGCCTTTAAACAAATGTTGTCTATGCCTGAAAATTCTCCAAGACAACGAGGTGGTGCAAATATAGTAAGATGGCAGACAGATCCTAGAGCACGTCTTTCAACTGCTGAGCTGCTCACTGATGATCCAATAACTCTCACGCCTAGTTTCTCATCACCAACAAAAAAGCCTCAACAGAACAGTACTAAAAAAGAAACTCAAAAAAATTTCATGACCCTTGGTCCCAAAAGAAAACTGCAAAAAGCGTTAATGAAAATGAACCTTCTTCCTAAAAATACAATAAGTGATGGCCTGCATACTGATGACAGTGTACTATCTAATACTGAGTCACTAAATAGGGCCAACACCAGCACATCATTCTATAGTTCCCATAGTAACCCTGACCTAATATCCATTTGTTATGATGAATACCACTCCTCAGATTATCCAGAACATGTACTCAAAGTATATAGACCTGATCAAACCTGTAAATATCTTTTAGTTCATAAGGAAACAACAGCCAGAGAAGTAGTAATGTTATCAGTAAAAGAATTTGGTATCTCTGATCCTAGTTCCAACTTTTCCTTGTGTGAAGTATCTGTTGCGCAAGGCGGAATTATCAAGCAACACCGCTTACCTGATCAACTCCAGAATCTTGCTGAACGTATCGGTTTGAGTTCAAGATATTATTTAAAAACAAATGGCATAAGTGAAACACTAGTTCCAGATGATATGGCTCCAGAGCTTTTGCGTGAAAGTGTGGTGCATTTTTTGCAGTTGAATGCAGTTGAAGTTGCTGTACAGTTAACTTTACAAGATTTCTGCATTTTTAGACAAATAGAGAGTACTGAATATGTTGATGATCTGTTTGAACTGAAGAGTAGATATGGTACTCCAATGTTATCACAATTTGCAGAACTTGTAAATAAAGAGATGTTTTGGGTGGTAACTGAGGTTGTCAATGAACAAAATCTTGTCCGTAGATCCAAAATAATAAAACAATTTATTAAAGTTGCAAGACATTGCAAAGAATGTAAGAATTTTAATTCCATGTTTGCTATCATATCAGGATTAGGTCATGGAGCAGTATCTAGATTGAGAATGACTTGGGAAAAATTGCCTACAAAGTATTACAAATTGTTTACTGATCTACAAATGTTGATGGATCCTTCAAGAAATATGTCAAAATATAGGCAGCTGGTTACATCAGAGCAAGGACGTTCGCCTGTAATACCTTTCTACCCTGTTGTCAAAAAAGATTTGACTTTTATTCACCTAGGTAATGACACCAAAGTGGAAGGCATGGTTAACTTTGAAAAACTTAGAATGATTGCAAAGGAAGTAAGAACCCTAACAAATATGTGCAGTTCACCATATGATCTCTTGACTCTTTTAGAATTGGGAAATCAACCACCTTCTAATGCTATGGTGGCCCTTAACCAACTCACTACTGGAGTACAGCAAGGTCAAGTAACTGTTAAAAGAAGAAAAAAATCATCAAATGCACCAAATCAAAAAAAGATGTTTGAAGAAGCTCAAATGGTCCGTAGAGTTAAAGCCTATTTGAACCGTATGCATGTTGAAACGGATGAGGAAAGATTACATGCACTATCGATCGAGTGTGAAGGGGCAGGGCCAGCTCCTACTATGCCGCGACGACGCCATCCTTCTCCTTCCTTATCCACTACTAGTAGTGCTTCCTCAGCCAGTGAAAGCAAAAAAAGTTTTACCGGTAATAAATTTGGTACTGCATCCCCTCAAGCCGTAAGAAAATTGTTAGCATTATCTGAACCTGCGAAAACGAGGCCCCACCAACCAAGACCACCGCCACCCCCCTCGGGTCCGTCACCTAGTTTGCATCGCCGTGATGGACCAATGCCTGGTATATGCTGCCCTCGTTCAGCTCACGAAAGGTCGCACTCCGACACACCCACACCCCTTCCTGTTGATCTTTCTGCAGAAAGCAGTAGCGTCACATCTCTTGTAAACTTGCCATTAAAGAAAACTGGCTCGGTGACTTCGAATGATAGCGGCCACGTCTCGTGCACGGTGCAGAGCTGCACACGACCCGTGCCGCCACCGCGCATGCCGCAGCCTCAGTACATGCCTCACACGCTGGTCACGCAAGTGGCGCGTCTCGAACGGCTTAGTCGCGCACACTCGCACGAGGGCGTCACTCGTTCGTATGATTACTATCATGACCATCCTGATGATGAGGATGACGATCAGCAAGTTTCAGCCGTTTGAATACTCTACTAGATCAATGCCTGATTATATATATTTCATTTTGTAATCTCACTTAATGAATAGAAAAACGCACGAGTCTATATAAATTTCACTTACTACGTTTTAAATTATGTATTTACCCTTATGACTAAGTCTAAAGACTGTATAATTATAGTGAGGTAATTTCTTAGTGTTACATATTGTAAAATTCCACTTATAGTTTAAGTCATGCCTCTTATTTATAATTAAAATAAAAAATGACCCACCATTTCCAGTTTTATCTAGAAAATTTTGATGTATACCAAATAGGTCATCTAATGCGTATCTAGTATTGGTATATTAACATTCCGTTATTTGTATGTAATAATAATAGTTTTCATTATTTATGAATTGTGAAACTTAGACCAAATAATAATTAATGTACCTTTTAACACTTATGATTATGATTGTTTTTTTTATATTATTTTNTGACCCACCATTTCCAGTTTTATCTAGAAAATTTTGATGTATACCAAATAGGTCATCTAATGCGTATCTAGTATTGGTATATTAACATTCCGTTATTTGTATGTAATAATAATAGTTTTCATTATTTATGAATTGTGAAACTTAGACCAAATAATAATTAATGTACCTTTTAACACTTATGATTATGATTGTTTTTTTTATATTATTTTGTGGTAGCTTCGTGGACCAATATGGTTTTAAATTATGGTCGATTCTAATTCTGTTGACATAATTATCAATCATGATGTTTATTACAATTATTGTAAATAATAAAACTATATTAATTTTATCTCAATTTGTGTTTATTTATTTACAAAACATTGAATTCGTTCACTGTATTATAAATTGCGTTTAAATATTTACTATCTAAATTGTGAAAGATAGTCTAGTTCGAGCGGATGTAAATTGGGAGCGGGGATGACGAGGCTATGCAGAGGCGGCCCGAGGTCCGACATCTGCATAGCTTCCAGTGTCATAACAGATATCCTTTGGTCAGGCGCTCCCACCCTTGAAAGGCCCACTGCTGTGCAATCACGTTGTATACCTGTACAAATAACAAACTTTAATTATTAAGAGATAATCAATTTTGCTTCTTCTGAAAATAAAATCTTAAAAATATTTCGTAGCGGTTTTTTTTTCAACACTACTTGTACCAGCTGTTAATAAAATGTTAATATTAACATATATTTCTTGTAATAAGTAGTTACAGTTAATTTAGATGACAACGAACCTCTAATAGAAATCTAAACTGGGATAAATAATGTGTAGACTATCAGAAAACGCTTTCTTCGTATCATAGATGTATGGCATAGGTGGCTGACCTTACTTTTGCTATTTAAAACAATCTGTGGTAGATTATTCAAGGTGACAATACAGCGCATTGTGTAATTTAAAAATGCATTTAGTTATTGCTATTTCTTTTCGGAGTTATGTGGTTTTTGTGACGCCGCATCTAAGACGGCCGAGCGGAGCGCACCACACAATAAACGGTAGATATAGCTGAACTACGCCTTAAAAAGTGACTTTTTCCACGAACTGTCACCCTCGACAGAGGGATGAAATTCCGCCTTCACATAAAGACGGTGCGCGACCGAGCCGCCTCCACACTAGGACGCCTCTACCCGATGATTTGCAAGCGAAGTAAATTGTCCCTTAGAAATAAGGTGACACTCTACAAAACTTGCATACGCCCCGTCATGACCTATGAAAGTGTAGTGTTCGCTCACGCGGCTCTCACAAACTTGAAACCCCTTCAAACCATTCAATCCCGTTTTTTCAGGATAGCCGTTGGAGCCCCGTGGTTCGTCAGAAACGTCGACCTTCACGACGACCTGGTCCTAGAGTCCATCATCTACAGTCGCTATCAATGCGCCATTTCGGTAAAGCGGCACAAGCGGAGAACCGTCTCATCGTGGCCGCCAGTATCTACATAGCCGATCCTGCGGACCAAATGTTAAACAGTCGACGTCGCCCAAAAAAATCTCGGATCCTCCCGATTCACTAATGGTCAGCAGCACCGGTCATCGTTTACGTCCAACCCGTCGCTTGCGACGAAGGGCTCGGCGAGTAATTTAACCCACAGACACAACCCAGTGAGTTACTCGTCGGATCTTCTCAGTGGGTCGCGTTTCCGACCCGGTGGTAGATTCTGCGAAGCACTGCTCTTGCTAGGGCCAGTGTTAGCAACACTCCCGTTTTGAGCACCGTGAGCTTACCTACTAGCCCGGCTACGCTGACATGGCCTCTCTAGACCGTCAGCTTTGGCAGGGAAAAAATAATCAGACTTGCGACTGATGTATAGTCATTTTGAGAAGCTTATTCGACAATAACGTTTTTGTGTAATAATATAAACGTGGGAATGAAGTAAAACGACGTATGGGGATGACAGCTATGAACAAATGAAAAAGATGCCCTTATCCCGTATTAAAAGAATATCGAATAGAAATATAACAGTCAGAGACTAACTTTGATTTGATCTGTACGAGCTCTCGTTTCCATAATTTTTATAAATAGAAACGTGGACTGTACGAGAAAATAAAAAAAGAGGATCAATACCGATGGAAGATAGTGTTGACAGAATAAAAATGAATAGACAGAATTCCGAATAAATGTATACATTGTTAAAGAACTTGGCATCAAATATCAATTATCTACCAAAATACAATCTTGTATTCTGAAGGTCACCTTTTAGGTAAAACCATGACTACACAGAGCGGTTTGTCTTCCAGGATAGAGTGGGAGCAACCAAATCACGAGAGAGTTGAAAGAGAGAAAGAAAAGTCCTATGCGTTGGACCGATCGGATCAAGTCAGCTGTGGGCGGACTCTTATGCCGGCCACTGACATGCGCGCAAATATTTGTACATTGTACGAATGTTTGCGCGCATATGAAGGGCCGTCAAACATTCATTCGCAAACCTAGCGGCTGTGCAAATGGGTTCGCATACTCAATTTGCGAACCCGTTTGCGCTGCCTCGGACGGCAGCGCTGCCGTTTGCGCTGCCTCGAACACTTGTTTACGAATGTCTCACGCATTTCTCCTCTTTTTTAATTCGTCAATAGAACATTGAAGAGAAAAAGAGTTTTTAATTCTTTCCCAGACATCATTAACAGCCATGCTGTTTTTATGGGATTTCTTTTGATGAAGATACGCTACACAGTTGACGTCACGAACTATGAAAATGGCGTATAGTATACGTCCGTTACCTTCGCAATCGTCGGCGCAACTGGACAAGCGAATGTGTGGGAGACTACGCGAAGGTTCGAGGTTCGCGCGCTTTGATGTCTGTTGAAAAACCGACACAGCTTGGAAAACCACGAATGCAGCGAAAACTTTGCATAATCATTCGTAAATGTCGTCCTACACTTGTGGGTTTGCGTATTCGTGCGCATGTGAGTGACCGGTGTTATACGAGAGCATCAAATTGTCCTCGAATCGTAAAAAATGGCGTATTAACATTCAACGAGTAACACCTGCACCTGACAGCACTAACAGTTACCCACGAACCTTCTGCATCGAGCTCTACGATTGAGAAGGATAATAATTTAAAGTAGAAATAGGAAGCCTAGATTTATCAATTCCTAATATTGTCTTAGATTTGATTGTAATAACTATATCGCAATTTTATAATTACTCATTATAATATTGTACTAAGCCTATACTTTATTTAGCATCGAATTGACATGATTTCTTGCGAAGGGGACTTATGGACTGGAAATAGCAAATAGCCTACTTTAATTCGCTGAAATACAGACATTAGTGTCATTATTTTTTATTAGAAATAGAATCGAGGTGATTTCGCGATTTTTTTATTGCTATGTATAGCAGCTGGGCATTAGAAAAGACTTGTACACTGAGTACTACTATGCCAAAATTTTCACACATCATTTGAGTTGCCTATGCATTCAAATTTGTATGTGGTTGATTTAGTTCTGAATGACGTCACCTTTAGGACACGGTTCATAATTGCAATTGGGAATATCCTCAATTATAATTAAGTAAGCCACAAATAAATGTTTGCCGACCACTCGTTTTAGAAATAGACGCTTTGTACCAACACGTATTTTTTTCAGTTTAAAACCGCGTAATCACAATACAGAAGCGATTAACAATATTTTCATGTCTAGAGGATAACTATAATTAAAACTATTAACTATTATATAATACTTTTTACAGTTTAATATCGCAGACTCAGTCGTCCGTGACCACGATAACTGTAAAACATTCGAGATGTATAAAATAATGCAAAGACAACAAAATAGTACGATCAAACTGGCTGAGCTAATAAGTCCCCACATCTGTTAGATAACTAACCTATGTATCAGTGCAGGCATATTTCCTACAAAACTTAAAACGGCTGTCGTGAAACCACTTTTTAAAAAAGAAAATAGAGAGCTAATATAGTTTTATAGACCAGTGGCTCTGCTTCCTGTTTTCTTTTAGTAAAAAAAAAAACGTAAAGGTAGTTTTAATTATAATTGCACAAATAGAGAAAGATGGAGAAGTCTCTCAAAAGCCGCAACCAAACATTAAGACTTACGTAACCACGATCACTCCGCCAGGAGTGAACGACTGAAAAGAAAAAGTTTTAATTATGCCTTCAACTCGCGAAGACCCAAGAAAATACTTAAAGTATGTTCGAGTTTACTTTTATTTTTATTAGCATCGATAAGCACTCTCTTGAAAGTCTATCAAAGAAAAGAAGTAACTGGAGCTTATAAAGACCATAATTTGACCATTATTCACCAACGTTCAAGTTGAAATTTAATTATTTTTTTGTTATGGTATGTGTGATCTGATCAGACATGATGTCTTGATTGTTTCTAATAGCTCTCTTACTAATCAAACTGTCATGCTCAGGAATTTCATAGGTAGGTGTCATAGGTCGAAGCCCGTGCTAACTCACAATACAATCAGATGTTATGATTTTCTTTTTAGTGCTTAACGGGATGGACGAGCTCACAGCCCACCTGGTGTTAAGTCGTTACTGGAACCCATAGACATCTACAACGTAAATGCGCCACCCACCTTGAGATATAAGTTCAAAGGTCTCAGTATAGTTACATCGGCTGCCCCACCCTTCAAACCGAAATGAATAAATTGAACCGATATGAATCAATTCTGAAGTTCCGCAGTTCAGATAATGATTGAGACAGTTCTCAATCAAGATTTCAATGACTTGTTTCGAGATGTGTGGAATAAACAACGGGTTCTCTATAAGACCCTGTGACCTCAATACGAAGTGCATTTCTACATACAAAAAAGAATAAATGAAGTACAGGTAACTCTATAATAGGGTAGGCACTTCTACAACACGACAACAAGATTTCTGATTAAAATTATTTATAAAATTACATTACGCACTATGAGCACACGATATATGGGAATAATCGAAATTTTACTGTATATTTTCATGTATAAATAGTAAAACAATAAAGGCACAGTTGAGATGTTTCATTAAAAAAAAACTTCTTTTTGTATTGGCTTCTATTCTCATACATATTAGGTACAGGTTTTGCACAGCACGAGGCTTTGTAGGAATGTACCTACCGCATAATAGGAGGGTTACCTGTATTCGTTTTTCTTATAATGTGGTATGGCTAGTGTTAGGTTTACACTAGAGGTATCAGTGTCTAGGGCGACAAACTTTAGCGAGGAAGCAAAAAATTTTTGCGCAAATATCCCAGTTGCAAAAACTTTTTGTTTATTTTTTTAAAGTACACTTTTTTTTCGTAGCTTGTCTTCATTTCATTCATATGGGTACAACCCGAGTAATGGGTTGGCAATGTCCACGATGCTTTAGGGCGGCGCTGAGGCTAAGTCTGGCTCTGAGTACAGGTATAATTTTGGAGTAACTTTAAAATCATTAAGCTCAACTCATATTTTTTAACTAATGTAAATTGGCTTGTTTACACTCGATCTCTATGTCAAAAAACGTTCATTAAAAGCAAATTAAATAAATATAAATACGACACTACCTGGAATGAAAATGTTCAGATTGGTGGGTAGTAGGTATTTCTAAGCTAGGATAAGTCAGGGACGAATATTTTAAGATGGCTTTAAAGTATGTAGCAGGAATCCCGGAGAAAATACATACGTACGGACTATATGTGATGTTAACATTACATTAAATGAACATTAAAAATCAACCTCAAGACCCAATGGGATTCTAAAACTACTTGATGAAGAAACCCGCATGTTGAAGATCGGTTGACTATGTCAACAGAGCCGCTTGGGTATGTTGCAATACATTATATTTATATTTTCTAAGCTATAAAATAGAAGTTCAGTTACCCTGTTTAACAATGATCATTATTAACATAAATAAGATAGGATGCGTGTTGGTTCAACTTGTGTAGCAGAGGTTTTAGTTCGAGCTTGATTGTATAATAATACATCGCCGCCGCTCCAAGATGTAGTCAAAGATTACCTTTTTTTTTTTGCATTTGTTATTATTCCTTAGAAGGGTAGAGTTCAGTTCTACAGTACAACAGCTATGGTTTTTTGGGCCGAGGTCCCGAGCGCGCGGTGCACAGGAAACTGGATGGTTCGCAGATGTTGGGAACCGCAGGCCCAAGGAATGGCATTTAGAACCCACTAAACGTCTCCTCTGCACTCTTTCATCCGAAGTCCGATCTCCGCTCGGGGTCAGAACCCGGTCAGAATGGAAGGCTCCCCACGATCAACACTACAACCAAACTCGCGGCGCCACCCCGAGAGCGTCCGACCGACGGGTCGTCAAGGCGATCATCGACGACCAATGACGCCGGTCTCTGCGGTATGGCGGCCCGTTAGGCCGCCGGGACGGTGCGGCTGGTGTTCCGGAATACCTCGCAGGGTCAGAACCAGCCTGTCAGGTCTGAACGCGATACACCACCGACCGGGGTGCTATTCCATAGTATGTTCGGCGACGACAGCGACGACCGCAACGCGGATCGTGCCTAGTGCAAGCACGCTAGAGATATACAAAACAATACAATACCAGTGCACTGAGCATCTTATCTTTTAGGCCAAGACAACTTATTAACTAAGGCTGAGGTTTGGGTATAATATAGACGTATTTACTAGATGTGAATGTTAAGATATTTAGGTACCTACCACAATCAGGCTTAGCATCAATGATCTGCACCAGCTGTATAGCAGCATCTTTAACAGACATAAATTTTGGATCCATGTAAGTTCTCACCTTCTTGGTCAGGGATTCCTCTGTGGGCTCCTTAACTTTGATATCTGCAATAACAAAAGTTTAAAACTAATTTTCTATTATATTGATTACTTCGTTGCTCTCATGATTACTGACATATTGCGATTTAAATATTATAATGACACATTGGGTTGTAATTGATTACTTTCCTTTTTAATAAAACAACAGCACTAATAAATTTACTATTTTATCCCTTGTTCTATAAATATTCATGTTCATGTTTTATCATTCATTAAAATGAAAACTAAACTTAATTTTAGAAACATTTTTGTGTCAATTGATTAACTGACACAAAACTTCTAGTATTGATAATTTATAATTAGTTACTGTGACAAGAATAATTGAGTATAAGCTTATAGTTTGTTCTAAATATTCATGGTTATCCACATTATAAACACACTTATGTAAGAGCCAAAATTTTAGGAACTGTATTTTGAAAATCCTGGTAAGAGCCCGTAGATAATAGGGTTTATAAATTACCGAATGTTAAAAGGTAATTCTCAATTTCCCTAGTTTTTCTTAAATAGGAAATTAATAAAATTAATATTTGACAAGTAATTCATTAATTCAATATCATATTAGCATACCTAAAAGACATAAAGTATGGAGATTTCTTGAGTAATTAGCTATAATTTTTTCGAAAAAGCTATCAGGTTTCCATGTATCAGTCCAGAAGGGTATTGATACAGTTTCTCCAAAGTTATATAATTGCAATCCACAGCAACTGACCGCATTCATAATTGATGCATTGTGTACTATCTGAAAGATTAACTTATATATATAATATATTCTAAGGTGGTTTTTTTTATGTGATCTATTAAAATATGCTCTTGTATTTGTTTCTAAGCCCCAGAAACTGTCAAAATGACCATGACATGACAGATTTGTTGCATATTTTTTGTTACATAATATGTGTTAATAGGAATGGCGCAGGATAATTCAGAAGAAAATTGTTAAAGAAGGCCACAACCCTCAGCATTGAGGATTATCAAAGCAAGGAGGAGGAGATGTGTTAATAAAGTCAACGATTTCTATTCGATCATGCACTTAAGTAATATTAGTAAAAGATTACTGTTTCCTTAATGTTGAAGTTATTGGTTAACTATTATAAGGACAATGCATGTAAACAATTGTTTAAGACAGTATTAGTAAAGGTAATTCCAAACAAACTATTACTACTTTTCTACTATAAATAAAAGTATCCACTGTCTCACCATTCATTTCGGCCTGAGCAACCGAATGGGGTGGAGCTTTATGTTGTTATTATTGTACACTTGAAATTCAATAAAAGGAATTGTTTGGAAAGGTATGTGTTAATTACTCTCACTGTAGAAGGCAATAATAATTTATTATACAGCAGGATTATAAATAAATATATTATCAAAAGTACCTGTGTTTTAACTCCCAATTCTTTTGCACGAAGCAACATATCGGTATGTGTTGTAGCCCCAAGAGGATCGCCAACTACTAATAATGCAATTTCAATATCTTTAGCCTCTTTGAGGATGTCATCTATATTGCTTTCACATAGTTCACGGTCAGCTAATGTTAATGTTCTCCCATAAAATGTTTCCTGAAAGTATGATACATCAAATGACAATATTTTGGAATTTGGAAAGTAGAATTTACTTTAGTCCAAATGCAGGAGGGTGTCTGAGAGTCATCCAAATAAAGGCTGCATATATTATAGAAAGCAGTGCAAAATACAATGTATCAGGTTTTTTAGACTGGACAAAAATGAAACAGGATTGATTTATTTGCTTATTACAAAATAATTGAATTACTTTATACTAACTATAAGCAGTACCTAACAACATCTGACCACTTTGTCAAGACTCAGGTTATAGAAAATAAATGGTGTGCTAAGACCAGAACAGGCGACCTTTCATTAAAGAGGCGCATATGGTACTGCTGTCACTGAGCCACGACATTATAATAATAAATCTGTAATGTGATTTTAATAGTTGTAATAGGCATCACAAACATTACTTTTTAACTTACTAAAGCTTCTTTTCCGATAGTTAATATTGAAGTATATGCCTCTAGATACACTTTATCACATTTCTTTACTATTTCTAAGCCTTTAACTGTAATATCTTTTGCGTCGCCAAGACCTAACCCAATTAAATAAAACATGTTTTTAAATGCTCCAGGTTTATTTATTGTGATTTATATGGTGTGTGTAATCATGCCATTAAGTGTTTAATCTATGATCATGCCATAGGCCTTTTTTTAGTACAATTTTTCCTTATAAGGAAAGGCAAGGGAATCTAAGCCCATACAGCCTTGTCTGGTTATGCCATAGACCTTTAAAGTAAATCATGCTGGCATGGAAATATACCATAGATAATAAATACAATTAATACTTATGAACAAAAAAAGATGGCTGACTGAATTTGGCCCCCCTTTTTGATTTTAGGATTTTTTTTATTTTTAATTATTTGTTCGTCGTTTCTTCGTTAATATTCGAATGTAAAAATCTTTCCTCTTTATAATATTAGTAAAAATTTTTACATTCGAACATTAACGAACAAATAATTAAAAATTAAAAATAAATCTGAAAATCAAAACCGGTGCATGCGTAATGTAGGCGGGTGATGGTTTGCTTATTAGATGTAAAATAATTAATAATTGGGAATTTAATTGTTTTTATGATCGAACAATCACCAATAGTCGTTAAACAAACTATAATTGATCAAAATTAATTAATCTGTGCGACAAAAATAAAGCTATCTATTAAAGGGGGCCAACTTAAGGGTGATCATTTGTTTAATTAATTATAAATAAATAAAAAACGAACAAACAATTTTTACATTTGAACATTAACGAACAAACGACGAACAAATAATTAAAAATTAAAAAATTCGAAAAAAGAGAGGCCAAATTCAGTAAGCCAAAAATATTACACATTTAGTGTATGTTTGTTAATCTATGTAATTTAAACTATACATACCTACATCATATTCATAACACCTTGTGTGGTGGAATCATGAACTATAAAAATCGCTTTTCAATTCAAGTGAATTGGCGGGAAGTTATTGAGAATTCAACGGATCAAGTACAAGAACCCGAGAAATTTGTAATCGCTGCTGCAAGAAAAATACTTCAACTACCGTAATCATAATGATTTTGTGTAGATTCTTTTGTTTGCCAATTAAGTTAGTAAATTCCTGAAATTGAGCAGCATGGATTGCTTGAGACCCTTAGAGTTGAAGAATTAAAAAAAAATCTTAGTCAATATGACATTCACAACGTTGTCAAATTTCAAATTGTCCAAATCTTAATTTGTTTTCTTGTCCCCAAACCCAATAAATTGCAGATTATTTGCAGCACAATTGGATGTTACGTTATGTCGGTTTTTAAGTTCTCAATCAATTATCATCATCACTTGCAGTTTTAAATAATAATAAAAAAACGATTGAAGAGAAATGATATCACGAAAAGGTCAAAAAGCTGTAAACGAAGGCGTAGTTGGCAAATACATAAAAAAAGATACACCNTTCTTGTCCCCAAACCCAATAAATTGCAGATTATTTGCAGCACAATTGGATGTTACGTTATGTCGGTTTTTAAGTTCTCAATCAATTATCATCATCACTTGCAGTTTTAAATAATAATAAAAAAACGATTGAAGAGAAATGATATCACGAAAAGGTCAAAAAGCTGTAAACGAAGGCGTAGTTGGCAAATACATAAAAAAAGATACACCGCCAGGTTTGCCGAGTAAGTTCTAATGAAACTATCATCAGTTCGTGATCATTCAGATCGTTCAATCTAGTAGTATTGCACTACTTTACAAAAATTTGTTTTAGTAATAAATGTCTGGACAACAGAATATAACAAAAGACCTCGCAGTCAACCTTTTGGTGTCAACGATGGGATTTCACAGAACCATGAAAATAAGTTTGGTAAAGCTCAAACGATGAGCGGCCACGCCGGAAAATATACGCCTAGTGAATCGGTTCCTAATTTAACGAATAGGTGAGAAACAATAATGTATAATATTCCCTAGCCAATCTGACGCGACAAAATCGTGTTAAATGCAATTACAATGCATAGTATAAAAATGAATTTCACCACAGACTGGAGTACAGAAAGAAATTTGATTTAGATTAAAAATAAAACATACTTAATCCTGACTTACACTTTTAACCAAGCCCTATTGTGCCTGAACAAAGTTATTACAACAGTATCTTTATTGAGCCTATAATTTAAGTAAACATTTCTTAGTTCCTTGAGGCTGCCTCATACCTTAATAAATATCAATATTATCGTATATAGTATATTGGAATCGAAAGAGAACATGTATTTATCATAATTTTGAAGAATACAATATTATCATTAATATAAAAGAGGTCAAGAATAGCAAACTAGCAGTAGGTAGTGATTACGGAAGTAAGCTGAATGATAAAGTGCAGTGTAGGTTAAAAAAAATTATGGACTATAGGTGTAACTACATGAAAAACAATCATGTTTGCCATTGCATTATATGTTTACATAAGCTTTATGCCCACCTGGTGACTCATCATTGAAGCTCAATGACACCAAAATCTGAGTGATTTACGAAAGTACTGTATTATTTAAAAAACTTATCTATCAAAGTATGAAATTTCACTAATGCTGTCTGTTCATTGTAGGTTTGCTAGTTTTTCAACGAGTGAAACACCAAGCACTGCAAATAATTACAACTCACAATATCATCTGGACACAAATGTGGTAACACTTTCTTAAAAAATAATTTTGTTAATTCAAATGTATATTGTCATCCTTTTCAAAAGACTATTTTATTATTAACAGGCATCACAATCAGTATTGAATGACATTGATGAGTCATTCAGTAGACAGACCAGTTACAGATACTACCGGCATCAGCAGGAAGATCCTATATATCAAAATCAACAACAGGTCTGGTTTTTTTTCTGAACTTTAAAAAAGGCTGGCCATCCTTTTCTGTTTGGTTCTTGTAGGAAAGTCAGTACTGTTGGTCATAGACAGTCATGCCTTTGGAGTCAAATGGTTGCTTATTAGAGAATTTTATTTAAATAAGTAATTATTTTGAGTTTGTATGATGATTAGTGGCTACTGAAGCCCATAGACATCTACAGCATAAATGCCACTATCCATTTTAAGATATGAGTTCTAAAGTCTCAATATAGTAACATAGCATTACTGCTTCACGGCAGAAATAGACAGGGTGGTGGTACCTACCTGTGCTGACTCACAAGACGTCCTACCATCAGTCATCACACAAATTATAATTCTGTGGGTTTCATTTGCATCCATATGTTATAATTGAACAGTATGCTATTTATGTATAGAATCTAAACTTTACTACAACATCCATTTATCAATAGTTCAATGCTTCATCTATCAAAAAAGCTAGCAATCTGCAAAATCTCTTGGAAATTGTGTAACATGTCATCTAAAAGTGGTACATGCTGGATCCTTTCAAAATTCATGGAGAGCCATGTCATTGCTCTCTAAAATATCAGTCACTATAGAGAGATACATAAAATCATCTTAAGGCCCTGGAGTTCTGAAACATCTCCCAACAGTAATAACGGAGTTCAGGTGCTAGAAGGACAACAAGCAGTAGTACAAATGTGCCCATCAGGATGAATTATCAGTGATAAATAATGTGCAGATTGACATTGAATGTTCAATTACAGGTTCAACAGCAAAAACAACAGTATGGTTCAAGAGAGTCAAGCATTCCTCGGTTATCATCAAACATGAGTTTGACTCCTAGACTACATCCACCATCTCCTCATTCCATTCGCTTACACAACTGTACTGAAGGTATGAATTATAGTCAGGATATTAATCGGACTAGAACTCAAACAAACAATAGACAAACTCAAACTAACAATAGACAACCTCAACATAAGTAGTATGGTGTGCCTAGTGCAAGTTTTTTAACATTCTCAGTAGCGTAAAAGTTAAATCAAATTGGTATGGAATTGGAAAGTTTGCCTACGTTTGCCGCTAAGAAACTCATACAAACCACACTGATCAATAAAGTTTAGCATAAATATTTGTCTTAGTCTTGACTGTTGATGAATAGATAAGTTTTCGCCTGTCTTTTACAACGAAAATAACATTACATAACCTTCATTTGAAGATTGATTAGTACTATTTCTATAATGATAGCTTTTGCTATTATATTAGAAGTAGGTATTTATTTTCTCTGACTTGAATTTTATTATTAAACCTAAGTGTTTTTTACAACAAAAATTTTAGTTGTTCAAGATGAGTTTACAATATGTCTTTGCTTCCTTTATTGAATTTGAGGGTGATGTAACTCTTGGTACATGCGTCTCTCGTACGACATAATTAATTTGACCGTTTAATATCGAAACCGTGTTTTAAGTACTGTATTATACCAGAGACGTCTATATTTGTTAAACGTTCATAGTCTGTCAGTGGGCAATGGACAGCAGGTTAGACCCTCCGGTAGGCATTCTTTTTTTAAAATTGATTTTATGTCCAATAACACTACCTATTTCATTGTTCCAGCTTTCACAACAGCGAGTCAGTCTTCACCCATTTATTCAAATTACGTTAATACATCTGCTCTCTCGTACCATAACAAGAATCATGGCAGCAGCATCATATCCAGTAATCAAGGTTAGTGGTGAATTATAAATTTCCTTCAGTAAAGTGTAATTGGATACAAAAAGTAATTCAGATCAGATGTTGTGCTGAAAGTAGCTAGATTCTATTTAACTAGACCAACCTTTTTTACAAATGCCATTCATTTCATTGCCTCTTAAATAATATGGAGATTTTTTTACCAAAATCACTATTTTTATTAATTAGCTTCAACGTTTAAATTGTGACGTAAATCATTTGATTTAATTAAATTTTCACAATATTAAAAACGAAGCATTTTCCAATAATTTTTCAAACCGCTTTTTAAGCTATTGCATAGCTTTTATCGCGAGCCTTGAGCGCGGCGACCGAATCATGAAATTCCGTAACGAAAAAAACCTAACACCCCTCACTCCGCCTACGATGTAGTTCGCGTTCAACACATTCACACGTTGCACTTGTGTAGTGTTTGTGAATAAGCGCGTGGCGTGACGTCACACTGCATGCGCATCATGAAAAGTCTGCCCATCTCTCACAGTTAATGTTTTGCTTTTATTAATGTTTAATATAGCGTGGTCTTGATTTATTATTGTTTTAATATTAAATTATCATTGTCTAATTATAATTGCATAAGTTGATAAAATGCTATGCACTAGCTTTATCGCGGCAGTTCCCGAGTGCCACACGTTTTTTTATTTTTTTATTATTGTTGCCTTTGTAGGCAGACGAACATACGGCGCACCTGATGGTGAGTGGTTACCGTCGCCCATGGACTTCAGCAATGCCAGGGGCAGACCCAAGCCGCTGCCTACCGACTTTTATGCTTAATGTACGATAAATTCTATTAAAATACACAACGGCTGTTTTGTTTAGGTTCGGACGAGTGTGACCTGCCGTTGCCGCCGGGATGGTCGGCGGACCGGACTCTGCGAGGTCGCCGCTACTACATGGACCACAACACGCAGACGACGCACTGGACGCATCCGCTCGAGAGCGTTCCGCGGCCGTGGCAGAGAGTCTCCACGCCACACCATGGTGTTTATTATTTCAAGTATGAGGCCTCTGTTGTTTCTATAAGCGGTGATAAGGNCGAGTGTGACCTGCCGTTGCCGCCGGGATGGTCGGCGGACCGGACTCTGCGAGGTCGCCGCTACTACATGGACCACAACACGCAGACGACGCACTGGACGCATCCGCTCGAGAGCGTTCCGCGGCCGTGGCAGAGAGTCTCCACGCCACACCATGGTGTTTATTATTTCAAGTATGAGGCCTCTGTTGTTTCTATAAGCTGTGATAAGGCGCGAAATCGAAGAGCGTAGTTGTATGAATTGTTTTATTATTTTTATTGTTTATTCGAATTTAAATGTTTAATAATGGTGGTTTGACTGTTTCGCCGAGGGTAGATGGTTCGATTAGCACATCGGGCAAAAATTGTGTGATGAACAGGCTGTCGTTTATTAACTGTATATGTATATATTTAAACGTATACATTGTTACGCGCCGGGGTTCGGGGTAAATAAAATTCCACCAAAGTACAACTAAAAACTGTATTCAACGCTCAGAACACTTAAAACACTCAACAAACACTTTAAAACTCTCAATTCGCTTCTTTCGCTTCGCTTCAGGTGATCCATTCGCTGTTTCGCTTCAGTAGTTCCGATTACTGACTGACTGCGTGCCATCTCTACAACGCTTTTATAGCCGATACCTCATACCTAAAATTATCGAGTATATTCCACACATCTCTAGTAGCAGTTTCCGCTATCTGAAAATAGATGGCGTTGTACTTCTCGAGCGTTCTAAGTGCTACTAGGTCCTTCGATATTCGGCGATAGGTGGCGTTACTCTTACCGGCGTAACAATATGTATGTTAGTCTTTGGTATGAATAGCACAGGGAATCCTAAATTGGGGCCGTATGACCGTGCGTGATTTCTTGTTGTGTCGTTATTATTATAATTAAACTTGTTTCAGTGAAATAACAAACCAAACAACTTATGCGCACCCGTGTCTAGTGGGAGGCTGCTATTTAGTGAGTCCGTATGTTCCGACGCTCGTCCCGCCCTACTTGCTTGAAGAGATACCACATTGGTTAATTGTTTATTCTAAAGGTATTTTGTTCGTAATGTTTTATATACGCTTTGTAAGCGAACGAGCCCCTGGCCACTTGGTGCCGATTGGATACCGCTGTTTGCACATCACAACGCGAATGTCGCCACCGTCTTTAAGGTCGAAGTCTCAAATGTATTTTGATTATCCAACTCTTCAACCGGGATGTACGATTTCTTCGTCTAAATCATGTTTTTTTTTATTCTTCAATTAGATATCTTCAAAATTTTTAAGAATGTTAAATATTAACAAATGACAATAGCTGGAAAATAAAAATGGGAGGATTTCAAAATTAACTAAATCATCATAAAAGAAGTTGCTTACTACAAAATTGCATATAATAACTCGAATAATCTAGAAAAAGAAACATGAAATAATGTAAAATATATTTCAGCCGATCAAGAGTTGGACCATAAGTTGCGTTGGGACATGTTCCGTCTCAGCGAATTGGACTGTTACTCGGACATGTTGACTCGCCTGTACAAACAAGAATTGCAACTAATCGTAATGAAATACGAACGATATCGGTGAGTATAAATTAATCTTAATAAAAAAGGACTTTGGTCGCTCATCACGTAAACTAGCCCACTGAGTTTCTCGTCGGATCTTCTCAGTGGGTCGTGTTTCCAATCCGGTGGTAGATTCTGCGAAGCATTGCTCTTGATAGGGCCAGTGTTAGCAACACTCCGGTTTGAGCCCCGTGAGCTCACCTACATGTCAAGGCGAAGCTGCAATAGCCTCTCAAGGCTATCAGCATAGTAGGAGGAAAAAAAACACAAATTGATTAAAAAAACTCATAGACAATTATGAGTGTTAAGTAATCTAGCTATGGTAAACTTAACTACAAATAAATAAATATATATAAAATCCCCAAGTTATACGAGTCTACAGTTATCATCATTTTACCTATTTCTAACGCGAAGCAGTCATATGAGCCAGCGTGTGTACGAAAACAAATAAAAGAACACGAAAAGAAACATAAAGATCCAGAAATATTTTTTATTTATAGGTATTGTCGTAAAGTATGCGAAATATCGAAGGTAATATAATTTAAATAATTAATGCGAGATTACACCGTAAAAGTAGTTTTAATTGATTAATAATAAAGTCTAAATTTCGTTCTATTGTAACGAGATTATTTTTATTTTCTTTCAGATCAGCGCTATTGCAAGAAATTGAGAGAAGAAGGCATGGCGGTCGATCGATCGCTTACCGTCCACAACATGCGAATTGATAAAATCTTAAATTAATTTTCTTACATGAACTGTGATCTTATTTTAGGTAGAACGTGATACGAATTGTTTTAAACTTTCGCGGTTTATCTACATTAGAAACGCTATTATTGACTATTAGTGGGTACACAATGATTTTAGTTTAAAAATAACAGGATTTAATTAAAATAAAAAATCGTAGTACGAACCCGTAAAATAATAGTGTTTATAATGAAGAACATGTTAGTCACAAACCCAGAGCTTTTATACCTATAAGAAAGATTTTGTCAATTTTAATTTAAGTTAAGTTTAAAAAGATATAAATCATAAAATACAGAGGACATTGTGAACATTTTCGTACCGAAACGTATAAATACAGCTTCATGGTACAGGGTACAATGTAGCTTTAAAATGAAAAACAAGACGTATTAACATTAAAATAAAACATGAGTGCAATTCGCACGCGATAAAACTGGTTTTAGTCTTATCGCGTGAATGTTTATTCAGAGGTCATTTATCACATTCTCTCACAGTAAATCCTATAGATATGTGTTTGTCTCTTTTGTTACACAAAAAGAACAAATCTCTCGAGGCCTTGCCGTTTGATTGACTTGAATATTCATCTTCACGATTAGACGATCTAATAAGCACCGACTGTCTTTTCTGATAAAGATTGGATTTTACTTATTTTTTAGTGATTATTGGGATGCTGTAATTTTTTTAACGAAGCTTCAACTCATTGGGCATTGCCCATTTTATTTTTCTTTATTTGAAGGAGNACAAAAAGAACAAATCTCTCGAGGCCTTGCCGTTTGATTGACTTGAATATTCATCTTCACGATTAGACGATCTAATAAGCACCGACTGTCTTTTCTGATAAAGATTGGATTTTACTTATTTTTTAGTGATTATTGGGATGCTGTAATTTTTTTAACGAAGCTTCAACTCATTGGGCATTGCCCATTTTATTTTTCTTTAATTGAAGGAGTAAACTCCTTACAGAAATCCAATTTTTAATAAAAAATAATATTTATTAACCAATATTTTTAATCAAATATACTTGGCTTTTATACTCCAATGACGTCTTTGCTTTATTCAAACAGACACTAACCTATATTTTTATTTCTGTGTACAACTCAAATGCCAGTTTTGTTCTGATTTTATGGATAAGTTCAAAACACTTATAATTTCACCTCAAAGTAGTCATGGCAGATGAAGGTAATCATGACTTTTTAACACTTTTAAGGCTTGAAAAGCGAAGACAATTTCAATTATTTGAATATTTTTTTAAAGAATATGTATCTATTTTTTTGTTATTAACTTGGTCTTTATTTTTCAAAAATTAAACATGCATCTTTTTTATTCAACCAATGTCAATTGAACGAAAATGAAAATGACACACTGAAGTTGATTAAACCAGTATAACTATTTTTATGATTTAATTTTGTTGCTTTTATCCTACCACTTGAATCATTTAATAACATTCCAACACCATTGTCTCTGGAAAGATTATTACTTACAACAATAGCAAATGTTATCGAATTATTTAAGATATTTTGATATTTATTAATTCAATTATGTACTGGGTATATTTTAAGCAATATTTGCTAAACTAACCTGAAACTTCTACTTCAATCATTTCGTATAGTAAGCGGCACGTAAGTTGGCAAGGTTTTGGTGTAGTGGGGTAATGTCGCGCATAGTGCACATTACAACAAAAAATGGTCACTTTTATTGCCCGCATATAATTTAATTTAATTTTATTTAATTTTTTATTTGCCATAATTTGTTTTTAAGTCTGTGTGTTTAGAAGAAAGTTAAAGAAAAGAGAGGAATTCGTGAAGTGTATTAGGTGTCACAAATAAAATACAATTAAAAGTTAAACAGTTTATTTAAAAAAATATACTTAATATTAAAAATTATGTGACGCCGTCGTCACTATCATTTTCTAATAGTGCTACCCCTTGGATTAAATTTATGGTAGCACCTGAGCTGGTGGAAGGAGTTGGCTCCTCATCGTTGACATAACAAAGAGTCGCTGTCGTCACTGGCGTAAATAATAAAACGCTCAGTGACTGAATCGACTATATGGTCATTGATATTTGGTCCTGGCATTGCAAACAAATTTAAAAGAATAACACTCGTAACAAAAACTAAATTTAAAACAATAATAACAACTCGTAACAAAAACTAAATTTAAAACAATAATAACAACTCGTAACAAAAACTCAATATAAACAAAGGGTTCCTACAATTTAGTAGGCGCATGTGTACTCAGGAGCGAACGGAACGTGAACGCGGTGCGGGAGGGGAGGGTCGACTGACTCACCAATCGCGCGCTCGGAACGGTGCTACGTCTTTCCCCGCGTCCCGCTTGGCAACCAAAGAGACCTAAAAAACGACTTCTGCGCATCTAACGACTCTTGCCAAGTTACGTGCCGGGGACTATACCAAAATGTGAATATTCAAGATGCACATAAGGCCATACTTTTTTGTTATACATTAGCAGGACATACATTAGTTTAGTGATAGCATACAAATGTAATGTGTCACGCGATCATATCCCCATTATGCTGAGCAACTTTTTATGAAATTTGGTAAGAAGTAGTTAGTTCTAACGAAATTTGTTCGCTTTGTCCCATCTCTTAATTTAATATTTAGCATTTTTGTAATAGCAGCTTATGAAATATGTGCAATATATCTAAAATGGTATTTTTGATATTTTAGATAAAAAGTAAAAATAACTAGGCTTTTTTATTATTTTACAAAGTGAATGCCGCCACCCACCTTGATATATGAGTTCCAAGGTTTCAGCATAGTTACAGCGGCTGTCCCACCCTTCAAACCGAAACGCATTACACGCTTCACGGCAGAAATAGGCGGAGTGGTGGTACTTACCCGTGCGGACTAAACACGTCGTACCACCAGTAATTATGCAAATTATAATTTTGCGGGTTTGATTTTGATTACACGATGTTATTCCTTCACAGTGAAAGTCAATCGTGAACATTTGATAAGTATGTATTTCATTAGAAAAATTGGTACTTACCCCCGGGATTCGAACAATGGTGCATCGCTATATACGAATGCACCAGACGTGTTATTCTTTAGGCCACGACGACTTCAAAACTAGGCTTGTGAAACATTTTTGAATAAGCAAAATGTTATCATTAGTCTTTGTTTAAATATATAATATAAATCTTAATATAAATACAACTTTTAATGTATGGTGCGCCGAATAGAGATGTTATGGAAGAAAATACTCTTCGGTATTTAATGTTGGGTGCCCGACTGGCATGAGACTCTCGAGTTGTCAGTTCCTGTACCGACCGGGGACGCGTGTTTGTCGCTTCAGAGTCTGGCCGCACTCAACATTAAACTGGCGCCCCACGTTGGGCGCCAGTTTGATGTTGGGTGCCCGATTGGCATGAGACTCTCGGCTTATCAGTTCCAGTATCGACCGGGGACGCGTGTTTGCCGCTTCAAAGTCTGGCGCGCACTACTAGGGGGTGCAATAGATGCGCGGGCGCGGGTAGTGCGGGGTGGGTCGTCGCGGCACGGACCTGAGTCACATCCCCTTTGGCTAATGTTGCTCCGCGAAACGGAACGCTGCGTTACAGGTATAATTTTTGTTAAAACAAATAAACAGCGGAATTCATTTATTTCCCTGCTCTGACGTTTTGGAACCCGACAGCTGAATATGCGGTCGAGTCCAGAATGTTAACTAGTCGGTGCTTGAAGCAATATACACTAAGCCTCTGCCAACGGAGTTAAAACAAATGGACACAAAGCAGAACATAATATCGTCTGTCAAGATCCAGTGAGACGAATCATATAGACCCGTATTTTTACGCGATAGCAATTCCGCATATTAAGCAGAGTTGCAGAGAGTAGACCAACGCTTTTGTGTAAATGTGTACCTAATTAAAGTTACTAACACAATAAAAAAGCAGTTATGAAGTTCCAGATATTGTAAACTGTGCCTCAATGTTCAATCGTTGTTTTGATTCCCTTAATTTTCAATTGAATAAAAAAGGGCTTACAGAGGTGAAACGTCCTGCGACAGTGAAGGACGCAGGATACCTGCGGTCCCGTCGTTGACCTTTTTAGCTAAGGTGAGCAGACGAACTCACAAGCCACCTGCTTTTAAGCATTTCCCTATATAAATAGATACCAAAACACGACTGACGCTGCAAAATCTTTTTTATTCAGGTTGATCTTTTTAAGAGACTTTAGATCGCTTTGGAGTTTCATCACCAAGAAACAATTACATTTACATACGTCGACACACAGAATTCCGCTTCGCGATAAGAGGTCGGGACTATTAGCGTAATCCGTGCTAAAATTAGAATTGTGGGAATGCTGTTCTACTAGGTGTCGATGATGTGCTAAAAGTAAGTGTGAGGGCTGCACTTCTGTCAAAGGTCATTAGTTCATAGGTAAAGAAGGTTCAAACAGCCCTAGAGACTATTATATGATAAATTGTACCCTGGCGCCTGGTCATTATCTTTAAATTTAACAAACAAATTATTGATTATCTGTAGGTTGCCCATGTTGCGACGTAGTCTCAATTCGGTACAACTGAAAAGTGATAAATCGACGATACGGCCTAGACAAATCTCATAATTTTTATGTAATGTATTTATTGTGTTTTTATAGTTTTGATAAATAAAAAAACTTTTATTCATTCACTATCTATTTTATTTACATATCTACAAATTATATCAGAAAAGGTATTTGATCAACTTTAGACACAATATTGAAAAAAAAATTATAATAACAATATTAGGCTAAATAGAATAAAAATAATCATAAACATATTTCAAGAATTGTTACTTTTGTAGCTTTCAAGGGCAGATGTGCGTTCCAACTACTTGATTGAACAGATTGTGGATCAATGCTGTAATGCTGTGCAAGTTATCATCAAAAACAATTCCTCAGAGAATTCTGATAGAGTTTACAGTCCAAAACACACGAGAACGAAAATTGAGATTTTTTTATCAGAGGTTTTAAACAATATCAGTGGTCAATATTATTGAATTCAAGCAGCTTTCTTTGGTAATAAGACAGGAACAACTGGTACTTGAGAACTGTGCTTTATAACTGATCTTTTTGATTACATTTGCATACTCAATTCTGAGATTTATCCACTTCAGGCATAAGTTTTGATCACTTCTTTTTTACTATGCTTTAAGAGATCACCATCTAGCTATTTGTACTATCATCCCAATAGTAATGATGATAATAATATGCTAAATGAAAAGTGTGGGAGAATACACCCAAATTTGGGGAACACCAGCATTACTGCTTAGTAATGTAAATGCATCAACAGTAAGAGGTGATGCTCTAGATACACAGTAGTATGATTTACACTATCTTTGAGATCAAGGAAGTTCTCATAATAGGCCTATAGTTCGAAGAACCTTGTTGGAGATAGAGTGAACTGAGTCTAATCTTCCACAACATTAGAACTGCATCAAGCGCATCAGAAAATGAAAATCTAATAAAACAATTTAAAAAAAATGTTTTGTCATTATTATGATATAAAAGTTTCAGTTACAAATTTATAAAATGTAAAACTTAAAAAGAACTGGTTATTTATGGAAAAGTGCATAATGTCGATCTTTTTCTGCATAATGTTCTTTTTTTTACATTTTAGGTACTATGTATTTGTTTCAACTTTATCTTTAGTAACCATCTCCCCGTCTACAATATCATATTCATCAACCTTCTTGAATCCAGATATTCTATAAACTTTAGCATTTTTTATACCAAGAGTATTAGCCCAGGCATAACCTGAAAAGAAATTTACATAAAGTTACTGATTTCATAAACTGAGTTATGTATCATAAACTATTTCACAAAAGTTGTATTTTTAGCTGGTCTGGAGTGAATTCCGTACTTCAATTTCCTGGGTGTTGTGACATGTATTTTAAATGACGTTAATGAAGTTTATGTTGGTGAGCAGTGGCTTTAAGGTACTCTTGGCATTACTGATCATGAACACCAGCGACCACTCACAACAAGGTAGCGGCCTATCTATATTATTATTCCTTCAAAGTAGTTGAAATTAAGGTGGTTCTTAAAGTTTACATATTTACCTGGAGGTATGGATTTTTCTTCGTCACTTTTAATTCCATAGTAGTGAGCCCAATCAGCCTTTCCTTTATAAGCACTATAAACTACTAAACCAAAAGCATTCCAGGCAAATAGAGCATAGGCAAAACTCAATCGTCGTTTCCATAGAATAGCTTTGTCTTCGGGAATAGGTTTTGTCCGCTTACGAACGAACGCATGCCACCATTTATAAATCATTATTGAAGAAGATAAAATAAAAACGGCCGAGTCCGGCCGGCTTACGTTTGACTCTCAAATAATAAAGTGTATAGTTTAATAATTTAAAATAAATTTTTAGAGTAGACAGTAGTTTTATTTTTCCAATTGGAAAGGCAAAGGTATCATACCATACAGCCTAATCTTAGATATTTTTTTATATAAAAAATAATATTATGAAATGAAATCATATGAAATGAGATGAGATGATATGGGATGAAATATAATCCCAGTAAAATGGTGGTATTTACTGAGACTTTTTCAGTGGACTTTTTAGATAATCTTTGACTTGGCTTTGATTTAAAAAAAAGTTCGCGACAGCATAATAATGTGTCCATAATTAAAGGTTGGCTCACTATAACGTTTTTTATGCTAACCAAATTTGTTCTAAAATAAAGCATTATTTGTGAAGGTGTTTTTATAAAGATTATATTAATCCCTATACAAACAAATACGTTATTCATTACAACATTGAAACACCCAAATCACTTCAAGATAGGCTTTGACAATTATAGATATTTCTGGATTTCTCCAGGATCCAATCATCAGGTCTACAGGACCATTCGGGAAGTCTACCCTTTCGAACAAAAAAAAGGGTGCGTGTACTTATGTACGCGCGTAAGAAGTTATACTTTATTTTTATTAAATTTATTTCTTTCTTTTATTAAATATTAAATAATCAATAATAAATATTTAACGTTAATAATTTAATAATATTTAGTATGAATTATATTAAATAATAATTTTGTCATTTATATTACTAAATAATACATACGGATAGTTAACCTTAATTGTATTGGAGCACTTGTGGGCAACTTCATTTCTATTAATTTTGTGTCACGGTGCGCGTGCATCGTAAATTTTCACTCTCATCAATTTTTCATAACGCGCCTAAAGAAGTATAACTTCAAAAAAAGAAAAAAGAATTATCAGAATCGGTTCAAGCATTCTCGAGAAATTTGTGAACATACATAAAAAATTATGGTCGAATTGATAACTTTCTCTTTTGAAGTCGGTTAAACAGTGTGATTTTGGTACCATATATAGCTTCATAACATTCTATTATTTAAAAATATTTTCACTTTCTACGTAAATGAAGAAGCGAGTAACTCGAGTAAAATTTAGCGTTATGCCAAAGTAACTATTCCACGCGGACGAAGTCGCGGGCAAAAGCTAAAATTCATTTGAATTTAGAATTTATTGGGTTGCTCGGAAAGTAATTTCGTTTTTTTTTGTGAAAATGAACCCATACATCGAACTACGAAGATAATCTCAGGCCTTTCAAGTGGTCATAAACTGTTGAATTTGATAAATTTAATCGATCTCACGTGTTGTTATTCGCCGGTTCGCATCAACTAATCGCCTTCATCGCGTCTTTATCAGCTTCAACCGGCCTTCCCGAACGTGGTGCATCTTCGACATCAAAATTGCCGGATTGAGATTTAGTGAACCAGTTCTGGCACTGGCACACTATCAACACACCTTCTCCATACACATCGGTAAATTTATTTCTGGCTTGAACAGCATTTTTACCCTTTCTGTAGTAAAACAGTAAGATATGTCTAAAATGCTGCTTAACACTCTCCATATTTATACTTAAGTTACGTTTCAAATGGCCATTGTTGTAAAACGGCAACTTTATAGGAACTAATATGAACTTAAGACATGAATTTCATACAAGCAGCTATTCGGCCTTTTTGGGTTAAGTATTAAGTACGGTATTGTTTTTCTTCTGACGTTTATTTGCGATATTGCCTACCACTCTTTTTTAGGGTCAAGAATATCTATTATTATTCACTCAAGTATTCTAATAGAAGCTAAAATATATATTTTAGTAATATTTGAAGAACTAGAGCGAAATGCTTTCATATGGGAAGTTCGCAAATTTAAATATTTTTACTCTCGAAGGGATTACAATGTAAGTAGGAAAGTCACAAAAAACTAAAGCCCACTTCGATAAAGCGGCACGACACGAGAACCCTCTCATCGTGGCCGCCGGTAACTACATTCCCGATCCTGCGGACAGAATGGAAGGCAGTCGACGTCGCCCAAAACACGTCATCTCGGATCCTCCCGATCCACTAACGGTGCTTTTAGGTACTTCAAGCACCGGTCACCGTTCTCGTCGAACCCGTCGCTTGCGACGAAGGGCTCGACGAGTAAATTAACTCTCAGACACAGCCCACTGAGTTTCTCGCCGGATCTTCTCAGTGGGTCGCGTTTCCGATCCGGTGGTAGATTCTGCGAAGCACGGCTCTTGCTAGGGTTCGTGTTAGCAACATCGTCAGGTTTGAGCCCCGTGAGCTCACCTACTAAAGTTAGGGTTACGCTGACATAGCCGCTAGGGCTATCAGCTTAGGTAGGAAAAAAAAAAAAAAAAAAACACAAAAAACATGAACTGGGTGATCGGTCCTTCTTTCTAAGCGTGTTTCAAGTGGTTATGTTAAATTGGTACCACAGCAATAGACATCATAACGTAAATGCTACTTTGTCTCAACGGCTGTCCCGCCACTCCCGCCTTTCAAACTAGAACGTATGACTTCTTCGCGGCAGAAATGTGTAGGTGTACTGAATTTTTTTACATTGTCATTAAAATTGATGCGTCCTAAATTTTGTATAACTGCTGTCTCGTACTTGTCGGAAGGCATGACTGCTTCGTGACCGAAACAGGCAAGATGGTGGTAGCTCCCTGTGAGCTTATAACGAGCTCTACCACCGGAAAACTCCGGGTGGTCATCACATTATTCAGTGTATAATAATTCTTCAGTGGTTAATAATTAACTTAATTTAAATATTTTCTAACAACAAACTTTTATATACTTACGTCCGTGAGTAAGGTCGATGAAGGTCAACTGACTAGAATAGCGTTATGTTAAGCAATATCGCTGATATTGACCGTACCACGTGAAGCCTAGCACGGCAGGTGAACGTTCATACTGAGAGCACTTTATTTAATCTAATAAGTGGTGTCTAAATGAAACAAATATCTCGGGAAGGTTAGCTTGACGTCCAAGGGAAATTTAACTTATGTGATATTTGGTTTCAAGCTTTTGGTTGTTTTGTTTTTGTCCCTGTGTCGAAGATCGGTTAACGACAAATTTTTACTTTACGGAAAAAGAGCTGACACCAAAGTAAGCAATGTAATGTTTAATGGTCTAAAAATCAAATCTTGGTAGCCTGGTACAAGTTATGCAGCATATCTCATATCATCCGCGACTATTGAACCGCGCTTGAAGGTAACGTTTTTAGACTACCCACATCCTACGTCGGGTCTTGGCGAAATTTCTTTCCGAGATGGATTTTTTTTTTTTTTTTTCCTTCCTAAGCTGATAGCCTTGAGAGGCTATATCAGCGTAACCCTAACTTTTATAGGTGAGCTCACGGGGCTCAAACCTACGTTGCTAACACGAACCCTAGCAAGAGTCGTGCTTCGCAGAATCTACCACCGGATCGGAAACGCGACCCACTGAGAAGATCCGGCGAGAAACTCAGTGGGCTGTGTCTGAGAGTTAATTTACTCGTCGAGCCCTTCGTCGCAAGCGACGGGTTCGACGAGAACGGTGACCGGTGCTAGAAGTACCTAGAAGCACCGTTAGTGGATCGGGAGGATCCGAGATGACGTGTTTTGGGCGACGTCGACTGCTTTCCATTCTGTCCGCAGGATCGGGAATGTAGTTACCGGCGGCCACGATGAGAGGGTTCTCGTGTCGTGCCGCTTTATCGAAGTGGAGATGGAATGGAAGTTCGCATAGTTACTCTGTAACCGTCACTCTTGTATCAAGACCGGAGGCACTATTTTGTTTTTTACTTTAAATTTCAAACACTCATATGAAACATTTCTATTTTTGTTAAGTATTTAGGTAATTGACTATCTACCTGATAAATATTAATTTTCTACAATAATTTTTGTGAGAAGGCTAATTTCGGATAATTCGTAAATCTCATAGTCTGTACATGGAAAATTTTAACAGATATATCTTCTAGGTTTGGAGGTTCGTATTTATTGTGACTTTTGCAAAAGCCAGGGTCATCACGGCATTTCTGTTCCGATCGCGACTGCGTGACATTGCGCCTCTAAACAAAATATAAACTTTAAAGTGAACGAATGGGGAAAACGGAAAAAAAGTTCGCTACAATGTACATTCATTAATATATTTTTAAGTCAGCATAATTGAAATTCTGAAATTAATTCTGATTGCAGAATAAAATCGGAACGAATTAACGCACTCAGAAAACAATATGACGCTTTTCTTGAAGAAGATAAGAAAAGAAGGGAGCGTAATGAATTCATACTGGACAGATTGGATAAAATACGATATTGCACTGCTACAGTTCCCTATCGCAAGGTGATTAATTAAGACATTAAGTTGAAACACTTATTTCGTTCGTATTATTATCACTTTAAACGACATAACACTATGGATGATGAAAAAACGGTTTTCGTTACATTTATTTTGCATTAGTTAAGTTGTCATTTTTTTTACTTATGTTCCAAGAAATATAAATTTTAATGCTTCTACCGTAATATGTTCCATGTGTACTACCGTGCTTCAGGGAATAGTTGAAATCAACTTGTTTTTTTTCCTTTTAGTACCTATTACCTCGGACCGCTGTATTTTTCCGTATTATGTCCAAAAATCATTAAACTCTGGAATTAACCCACTATTCTCAAATTTATCACGTACCATTGAGCTCGAGAGAAAAACCCTATCCGCAGTTTGAAGTAAGCTATGTGTCGTTCTTCGAACGAGGGATACAGTATCGGTCTGATTATGCCCCTGGAATTGCAGATGAGCTACGGTAAACAATTGACAGCGGCGTCTGTAGGGAAAACAGCCAAAATCTAAATTAACTCATGGATTGTTCTTGTTAGGAATTTGTCTTTATGCAAGAAATTATACATAAAGATGTATAAACTAATACATAGATAATTTATACTGTAGTGGATTCCTGCACTGAAACCACAATGAGTTGCCACGAGCGTTCGCCACTCAGACATAAATATTTTCGCGCATTTTGTCCAACGTGAGATTTTTTTATCGACACTTTTTTTTTCTAGTCGAACGTTTCCAATCTTCGCTCACAAATTCAATTTTCAAGAAACCAAGATATTCAGGCAAGATCAACAAACGAAATACTAGCGTATTTAAATTCTTTTAGTGGTATTGACGATACAACGATTCAAGAAATATGTAAAAAGTTTGTATTGATTCCTAAAGTTCCTTCTAGTGTACCGAATATGAATTTCATTGAAAACAGATATAAGGATTCGGAGCCGAACGATAATGTTGATTGGAAAAGAAAATACGAAATCTTAAATCAATTGAAAAATATCGAGAAGGGCTTAGGTTTGGAAAATTCTGTTCCGAAAAATGAATTGCAAAAAAATTGTGGAAGCTTAAATACAAAAATCGAAATGGTCAATACTGAAACAGAGTTTAGACAGGATCTTCCCGAAAAAGATGTATCTGACGTTACATTTCATAAAACTGTAACCAATAAGAATTATCATAACGAGCTTTCTTTAGAAGAAAATCAGAGTGAACCAAATTTGCTTATGCCAGAAACATCAAACTTTTCACAAGACAATGAATATAATGAAATCAATGTAACACAATCCACGCCCTTAGACAATACGGAACCCATTATTGCTGGAAATTCAAATATGATCCAAAATCTGAATACAGAAAATAATGATTCGCAAATTTTTAATCCATGTCAAGATTTGCATAGTGAAATTGATCAAAAAACATTAACCCCATTGTTGGATAATACAGATCACAGCAAAACACATTCACCGCAATTCCAAGAAACTGTTGATGATAGCAATTTAAATGAAGGTGAATATTGTTCTACAACCAATTTAGGTAGTAATGAAGTACAGTTGGAAAAAACTGAAATCCTCAGTAATACTGTAGATGGTCCAAATGAAACTGTGATTTCTCCTTTATTAGTAGATGATCCTGAAAACAGAGATACTACGAGTCCCGAAACAGTTCAAGTAAATGAAACCGATGATTCAATTCATCATAGAAATAAAGAACACGAATCACATAAACATAATGAACAATTTGAGCAGCAAGCAGATTCAGATGTTTCGGGTATTGAGGCCTTTAACGCAGAGCAAAACGAAATGTTTTATACAGAACAAACAGATGAGAATTATGTTTATGATCAAGCAGTGGAGGGTGCACAATACAACCAAGGATATGAACAAAAGCCAGATTATGAACAGAATGAACAGTACGCATATTATGAAGGCGATCAGCAGCAAGCTTACCCGCCTGAAATNGCAGATTCAGATGTTTCGGGTATTGAGGCCTTTAACGCAGAGCAAAACGAAATGTTTTATACAGAACAAACAGATGAGAATTATGTTTATGATCAAGCAGTGGAGGGTGCACAATACAACCAAGGATATGAACAAAAGCCAGATTATGAACAGAATGAACAGTACGCATATTATGAAGGCGATCAGCAGCAAGCTTACCCGCCTGAAATAAATGAACACGAAGAAACGATGGAGCGCTACGACCAAAATTATGAAGAACAGTATGCTGCATATGAACAAGGCGATTACAATCAACAACAAGAATACGAGCAACCAGTGGAACAATACGAGCAACCAGTGGAACAATACCAGCAACCAGTGGAACAATACCAGCAACCAGTGGAACAATATCAGCAACCAGTGGAACAATACCAGCAACCAGTGGAACAATACCAGCAACCTGAAGAAGAGGTACAGGCCTTCCAACAAGAACCTCAACCGGTAACAGAATTTGAACAGCAGCCTTACGAAAACCACGATGATGCAATTCACGAACTGATTGAACAGAAAATGAACAATGAAGAAGGGTTTCTTGAGAACAGAAACATTGAAAATACTACAACAACTAAACCAGCAGTTGAAGAAAAGCTTGCTGATGTTTCAACTACTTAACATATTCTGTAATTTTATATGCAGTAACTAGATAAAAAGAAGTTAGAATTATAGTTCCGAGACACGTACTTCAGCACCATAACGTAAATCGATTATAACTCAGCTTAAATTTATGATACGACATTATACAACACACTTATGTTACACACAGTTGTAGCCAGGAGGGTTGAGGAAAATAATCTTAGAATTTTGTTGGTAATGTACTTTATTTATTTCCAAGTGGCGCAAGACTGCAAGGTGATGGGCAGCGCCTAGATGAGTGGCGGAATCAAAACCTGCTTCAGGGTTATAACACTAACCCACTTTTCAGTAGTAGTCTTGTTCACATCACTTGTTTCTTTTTATAATTACTTAAGGGGTGGGGGAAGGGTGGACAACCTTATGGCTCACCCGATGTAAGTGGTTAATGAAGCTCAGACATAAAAAACATAAATGCAGCTACCATTGATTTTGACTTTATTAGTTTTGTAAGTCTCTATTTTAATCTGCCTCATCATTCAAGCCGAAATGCATTGCTGTTTCACAGTAGAAATAGGCAGATAGTGGTACTTACTCATGTGGGCTGAAAACACACCTTACCACCATTTCTTATAGTTATTATTCTAAAAAAGACATTTATAATTGTATTAAAAACTCTTTTAGTGTAATAACATAACTTCAAAATCAAAATTCATTATATTTTAAATCTTTGCTTATATTACCTACGTATGAAGGTCTATATTTTTCAGTCAACAAAATATCAATTTTTTATTTATTACATTTAGATTCTTAAGATAGCAAAAATGTGTGCAGAAATTAAAATTTGTTTATGCAATTCATACTGTATTATTTATGCATTTAAAAATCTGTTACTATTCATTTTGGTAAGGAAATTTTTGAAGTACTTCTGCTTGTTCGGGTATCAGTGGCTGTTTAGGTTTCTTCCAGTAACTTTCTTCAAAAGGTAATTGCTCTTGACCTGCTGCCCAGTGATATATTCTACATCTGACATGTACTTTCTCCTTTTTGTTTATCTGAAAAACGTTTAAGTTTTTTATTAAATCATATTATTCTAAGCTGAGAATATAAACGTCAAACATAAACTTACTGTTACTGTAACATAAAATTCTTTGTCGAGTAAATTTGGATCTGGGCCCTTGATTTGCACTGGAGGCATTTCAATAGCACTCTCAGGAACTACGAAGCCTGACTTGCGAAATGAAGCTTTGAGATGCCAGGGCTGTAGAGTCCATGGTTCAGAATTGCTCATTGTTACACGAAGTACTAATCTGTGTAAACAATCCATTGTCTGCAACAAGAAACATTTATTTGTGGTTATTATTTTGGTAAAAGTATTTAATTCTGTTTAAAGGAAACAAGTATAAATTAATGAAAATATAGAAGTATCAAGAGTAACCATAATCATTTGACAGTTGTCAGACACTAACCCTTTTAACAAATGGAGAGCTGTGAGTATTTTCTTCTAGAGGACGTTTTTCATAGGTTTTATATTTTTCCAAATTTTCTGGATTGGCATACACAGCAAGACCTGGCAATATGAAGTTTTCATATGCTTTGTTCAAATGTAGTGTTAAAACATCTCCAGTTGTTCCAACTCCTGAAACCCCATTGCGTAATTTACACAATATGTTAGGAATGTATTTCTGTAGACAACATTTTACCTTTATGCCAGATTCAAACTTGACATATTCCCATTGCAATGGGTGCCAGATAAAAGGACAAAAGTATTATAAAATTATTAGTATCATAGATCTTAAAAAACAAACCTTCAACAAATTGATTTAAAACAATTCTTATGTCTGGTTTCTTTTTAACACTAGTATCTTCTACTAAGTCATAAACGAAGTGTCTGCCTTTCATTTTAGGCACTTTACCACCTTTCTTGTGAAGTGGTGGTGGCCATCTGCGTCGCAAGATAAAAGTGTTCTGCAACATTTCATTAAAACATTTTTCAAGTTCATAGTAATAAAATATTTATGTGGTAAAGTAATTATGGTCAAAAAATATTTCCAGTAGGTAATCGAGTATTAAATGTCACTTTATTGCTTTATAATTACCCTTGTTTGTTGTGAAAACATTGTCGGCACAATAATAGCTGATTTCCTAACAGAAGCCCGCAGCCCAAACATTTTTGTTTTTTTTTCTAGCGAATGGTTAATACTTATAATATCTAATAAAATTCTGTTACATAATGGAAGAAAAGTATCTGAGGAAAAGATAAAGAATAATACTTTCCAGCCTCAGTTCTCTATCTATTATTTTTAAATTCTAATAAAATTTTAGGTTAACTGCTTGACAAGAGAATTAATATTTTATTATCTATGGATTTTTTTAAGGGATTTTATGACCTGGTAACTTAGACCTTTAAGTCATGTCTTATTTTTAATTTATTTTCTTATTTATATGAAAAATGATGAAATGAAATGAAGATGATTAATTTGAGACATTAATCAACTGTTATGAAATCAAATGAAATGAGATGAGATGATATGGGATGAAATATAATCTCAATAAAATGGTGGTCATTAACTGAGACTTTTTCAATGGACTTTTCGGAGGATCCCGAGAAGTTACGTTCAGCGGCTTTGTTTCATTTTCCCACATTTGTGCACTTTCACAGATATTAAACAGTTAATAAACCACCGTTATTACACATTTAAACCTGAAGAAACACTAAATAGACAAAATAAAACAAATCACACAACTTCACTCCTTGCGTTCCCGCCAAAAAGTCTATTATCTATGGATAATTCGCTAGAAACATAGACTAGGTTTCATACATTTCAGTGGCTAGAAAGCTTTACTCCTGGTGTCAAACAAAGACCAGAGATATTATTTTGTTTTATTCCTTCGGCAGGTAAAGAAAGCATAGGTCATAATCTTTTAAAAAAGTTTTCTCTCATACAGAAACCGAATCAATTTTTTACTTTATTTTCAAAGTAGTTCTTTTGTAACTACTTTACTTAATGAATTTGCACAAGTTGATGAAATCAACAACATAGGAAAAACCGAGGAGTGAATTAGTGTGATTTTATTTTGTTGGTGTTTCTTCGGGTTTCAATGTGTACTAATAGCGGTGGTTTATTAACTGTTTAGTATCTGTGAAAGTGCACAAATGTAGGAAAATGAAACAAAGCCGTTGAACGTAACTTCTCGGGATCCTCCGAAAAGTCCATTGAAAAAGTCTCAGTTAATGACCACCATTATCTGAGATTATATTTCATCCCATATTATCTCATCTTAATTTATTTCTTTTCATTTCATTTCATTATATTATTATTCATATCTAAAAGTTTTCATTAATATTAAAATAAGAGTTGACCTAAAGGTCCTAGTTACTAGACCATAAAATCCCTTAAAAAAAGTTAATACCATAGATAATACACTTATGTTCAAAAGAGAAGCTAAAAGCTCAAAAAGCGATAAACTAAAGCAAATTGCGTCCAAATACGAAATAAAACGTAGCGACTAAATACTTTTCCAACTCAAACTACTACTATAGCTGTTCCGCTTAGATTGTAGTGTTTGATCGATATATCTCGTTCTACCAGATTTCTAAACTTGAAACATGGAAGATGAAACAAGCTCCGATAATCAGGTTAGTATACAGTGTGAGGTTAAGATCTAGAATTGTTATTTAATTTTTTGCTTAACTTAATGCGTAACATATAAATATACTTACAGAAAGGATCTGAAAATCCCATGGATACAGACGAANCGCTTAGATTGTAGTGTTTGATCGATATATCTCGTTCTACCAGATTTCTAAACTTGAAACATGGAAGATGAAACAAGCTCCGATAATCAGGTTAGTATACAGTGTGAGGTTAAGATCTAGAATTGTTATTTAATTTTTTGCTTAACTTAATGCGTAACATATAAATATACTTACAGAAAGGATCTGAAAATCCCATGGATACAGACGAAGGTCCTTTGATAAATGAGAACTCCAACGGACTTTCTCATTTGTTAACAGAGGGCGAATTTAATAGTGTCGATGCTGCTGTTGATGAGTCGTCGACATCTAATCAATGTTTCTTGAACGCCGTGGAATTATCAGCTGGAAGCGCTGGTGACTACCTCGAAAACAACGGCCCTCGCTTCAGTACAGATTCTTTTGACATTGGTGATAATGCTGTAACTTTTCCCAATGATTCTCTAAATAGCGCATTGACTGAAGATAATTCTATTCAAAGTGACTCTGCATCCCACAAAGCAGTTTTAGACACAGACAGTAGGCAGTCTGAAAGTCAACATGCAACAGATTCCAATGTAGGAGAGATAAATGAAAACTCTGGCAATGACTCTAACTTCGCCACTGAGCATGTAAATTTAAATGTGGATAAATCAGAGCAATTGGAAATTGTTGAGCCATGTAGCAGTCCAGTAAAAGATCCAGTGATTAAGCAGGATGAAGGCAAAGAGTTTAAAAACCAAAGAGAAGTAGATGATATCAAAGAACAATCACAAGACTCAGCAAGTAAGGTAAATGGTAGACTTCAACAATAAATCACTTAAAAACATTTGTGTTTGTGATTATAGTACAAAATACATGTGATTTATAATAATAAATTAAACATATATCAGTAATGTGATCAACAATATAAGAATTGTTATTTATATAGTGTGAATGTTGTTGATTAATTACAGTGCCTTTATTTTATGGTAATTACAAAAAATTTAGCACAAACCACTTTAATATTATTGTTCATTTACTGGATTGCTGCTAATTGTTATGTTTAAAAAATTATATACATTAACACATATTCAATTTCAACATATTGACGCTTGAAAGGCAAACGTGACTAAGCGACAATGCGTGAACTTTACAGTAGACTAATTTAAAGTTGAAATACCTGAAAACAAAATTTATTTTAACGAATCTAGCTGTAGTAGAATCTAGCTAGTAGCTGCAGGATTGAAATTATTTTAATAGACCTAGAAATATATATTTTTTGCGCATCGAATATGGTTATTACCTATCATTTATGTACTAAGCAGTTAATGTCGCTTAGTCACGTTTGCCTTTCAAGCATCGATATACTTGTGTCCCTTTTGCACTTTGAGGTTACAAAACATGCAATAAACCAAATTATTCATTGTAATTTTTTCCTATATCAGATTGGTGGTGCTGAAGAAACAGAAGTAGTATCAGAGGATGAACTTCCTGAAGTGCAAAAGCCGAGCATCAAAGATGCTGAGAATGTATCTGATGATGAGTTGCCGGGGCCGAAACCTGCAGAACTGCCTGCTGATACAGAGGTACAGAATTGTAATTTTTTTGTATGTTATTAATCAAATAACATAGCTTAATTGTGACTAATGAACTATTCAATTACCAATTGATTTCTTGCTTAATTTAAAGAGAGATGGGTAATAAATAATATAGGATATATTGATATGGATTAATTTGCTGCAAGCAAATAAGTAATTGAAATATTGTTAATATAGCATAATTAAATAACATTATTATATTTTCTGAACATTGCAAGTCGCAAAAAATTTTGTGATGCATTATCACTGCATTTTTAACCCTCTTATCATAGCCGCTTCTAATTACATATCAGACCCAGGCAACAGGGCAACAAAGTCATTGCTACCACTTGAACATGTCCTATCAGATTCTCCTAAGACACTCAGTGCTTTTTAGTTGAGTTTCGGCACCATTTTGTAGAATTTGTCGAGTGCCATGAATAGATAGACATGCCATCTAGTCCATAGACACAATCCACTTAGTTTTTTGTGAGGTATTCTTAGTGAGTCACGACTTCCCTCTGGTGGTAGATTAAACAAAGCACTGTTCTGTTAAGTGTGCTAGCAAATTCTCTCAGGTGCAGGCTCTCTGTGAGCTCACCTATCTGTCTGTGCATCATGGTAGGAATAGCTGCGACGATACCAAGGATGAGACAGGAAAGAAAGAACAGTATGATTAATTTATGTACAAAATATTGTTTTGATATATTATAGGTTGTATCAGAAGATGAACTACCTGCATCCAAGAAAGAGTCTAGAAAACGAAAACCAGATGAAGAGAGAAGTAATTATGATCCAGGATCACCAACATCAGAAGGTGAATCTTCCACAAAAAAACAAGCTATTACCAAGGTACGGAAAATAATGGTTTTGTTAAAACTTTACATTATTTGATCTTTTTTTTGCATTTTGCAACTATTTTGGTGTGTTCATATAACATAATTTTGGAGATCATAGCTATAACAGTTGTGAACAAGTTTTTATTTAATTTAGATTAAACAGAAAAAATGGTTCTGTTTTCTCAGTATCCAACAAAAACAAATGAATAATTAGCTAAAATACTGCAGAACGGCGAAAGCAAGCCCATACCTGCCGAAAAGAGACCTTCAGTTGATGAAAAACCTAAAAAGAAAGTTTTACCGGAATTGGAAAAGTACTGGAAAGTTGTGAACGATGATCCAACTGACTTCACTGGGTGGACCTACCTATTACAATATGTCGATCAAGAGGTAAGTACATTTATTGATTATTATATAGTAAAATATACAGATGTAAGTTCGGATGAAAAATGAAATGAAGTAGTGTGCTACTTTTAGAGATACTAAATATGAATAGACATGTCTTCTTCATGAACTATATGAACATCATGTATAGTGTTAAGGCACATTAGATTCTATATATCACAATAAGGCAGCCAGCCCCTATGTGAGATTATTTTATATCTTTTGTCACATAATTTAAATAGGAAATGTAACTGACAGAAATAGACAACACATTTATTCATATTTATAATACATAATAATATAATACAATTTACTTTTTACACTCAAGGTGCGAGTATGCAGACATTGCTATAGGAATAATATAAACTTTAACAAATTCAGATCAATAAGTAGCAATTTATAAAAGAATGTATGCATGCTATTTTGCTATTTTTTCAAAGGAAATACCCAATGGCAAAAATTATTTAGCCTAATTTAATATTATATTTATGATGAAAAGCAATTGCTAATCTCATTGCTTTATGAAGTAATGAGAACTGAACTCAAAATATGTTGAGAAGCAAGGGCCAACTGAAATTATTCATACATTTCGAATCAAACGAAAGTGGTGAGTGGATAAAATTGACTAGTTTAATAATTTATTCGTAGAGCGATGTTGAAGCTGCACGTGAAGCCTATGACGCCTTTTTATCCCACTATCCTTATTGCTATGGATATTGGAGAAAGTTTGCAGATTATGAAAAACGTAAAGGAAGTAAAAAGAAGTGCTTAGAGGTGAGTTTTTTTTTTGCCCGTAAATAACATATTAAATTGTTTAAGTCACTTGGTGTGTTGGTAAGGCTTCGACACCAAAATAATGAGTTTTATGTCAATATCTTAAACTCTTGGATTTTTGTAATATTTGGTCAAATATGGTATTTTGCAATTATTTTTTTTCCCAACAGTGCAACGAGGTCTACGATGTTCGTATACGAAAGACGTCAGGTCACACCGGAGAGTTGTATAACCGTCACATAGATATTGTTTTAATTATACTTACGATAAGGTGTATTGTTTGTATTCTAGTGCTTAAGTTTAATACAACTTGTACATGCATGATGTATTGTAATACATACTTTATTGTATATATAACTAAGTACATAATGATTTATGGATAATTAAGATGAAACTAATCCATGAAAGCACACTAGCGTGGATCACAGCGGTTCTCCATATTTAGCCATTTCGAAGATCACGGCGAAGACAGCGAGCCCGGCAGCGTCCATTACGAACAGGTGTAATATGCCCGAACAAACATTTTATTTTAAATAGATAAAGCGAGATGTTGCGTTACATTGGTGTATTTATTGCTTCGAACAAATAGGCTCGTACATACTCGACCTCTCGCTTCCTCTATTTTGAAAAATTGAATGAAAAATATTATGATATAATGCTATTGAATATTCCCTTGCTATCATAGTATTGTTGTGTCCACGACAATGCTTGGACGCTCGTGGAAATTGTTTTCAAATTCAATCTTGATTTTCAGGTTTTGGAAAGGGGACTTAAAGCTATACCTTTATCCGTAGACCTCTGGATACATTACCTCAATCATATAAAAGCGACTAAAACCGAAGATCATGCGTACATCAGATCTCAGTATGAACGAGCCATAGGTGAGTGGTGATTCTCCCGCTTGACATTCTAAATATGTGTGAATAACAGTTACCATGAAATTCAAACGTGACCCGTGATTACTAATGAATCGTAACGCCAGAGCAAGTGCTTTAATGTGTACTAATTACTTTCATCCCTCGAGTGATTCGCACGTTTTTTTTTATTCAACTGAAGTGTCAGTATGAGTCATAGTAAATATGTAACCTTTAAAAGCAGTGCTGTACTAATATATTTATTTACAGATGCATGTGGACTAGAATTTCGCTCGGATCGTCTTTGGGAGTCTTACATCAAATGGGAAGCGGAAAATGGTTCCGCTCTCAATGTCACGAATATCTACGATCGTCTTTTAGCAACACCCACCTTAGGGTACACGTCACACTTCGACAAGTAGGTCATTTTGTAAATTGAAAATGTATCTTTGGTATTCTTGAAAGGACAGTCTTTAAGATTATTGAAGAAGACAAGTACTAGCTTTAGTATTATCTTTCGATTGCTTATTTTTTAGTCACATTAATAAAAATTGTTATTTATTTAATATCATAAATTCACACGAATTGACAATCAATAGGACATAGCCACCGGATCCTGTGGATGCCACTATGAGGACCATGAGGCATAAGGTCGAATAAACTGCATATAAACAAAAAAGAATGTGATTAATTAAACTTTGCATTATACTATATTTTTACATAAATCGTCTTCTCGCATTAAAACTGTATAATCTCAAAACTTTATAATTTTACAGAAGAGTGTTTTAAAGGCTTAACATTTGATATTTTTATAATAATATTAATCATCTTTGCAACATTTATTTTTTTATTTTTTAACAGTTACATTATCTGCCTTTTAAAGTAAGATAAAATTATGTATTAATTTCGTTAATAGTAGTCAAAATATAGGTAAACTAAAAATAAATAGAAACTAACTAAACTACGCTCTTTTGACAGTATTTATGAGAAAAATACTGGTGATACCAAATGATTTCGCATATTTTTGGAATTTGTACACTTTTAATGCGAAAAGACGAAATGTCGTCCTTTAGACTAGATTTAAATATAGTTCCTAGCGGTAAGCAGTGCATTGTCCCCTGACTTTGCCGATATCTCATGAATAGTTGTTTTACATGTGCGTCTCGGTTCCAGTTTCCAGGAGCACGTGATGTCGGAGCCGGTGACCGGCGTGGTGAGCCACGCGGAGCTGGTGCGGCTGCGGGGCGAGGTGCGGGACGCGGCCGGCGCGCAGCCCAGCCTCGACCTGCCGCCCGGGGAGGACGAGCCCGTCGACCATGTCGTAACTATCGCATTGTATCTCACCGCCGCCCACTGCTGCCCACTGCTGCCCACGCGGAGCCGGTGGGCTGCTCGGAACAACTGTTACATAGAATTAAGATTTCGACCTTATGTCCTCGTGATTAGGTACATAATTGAATATGCAATTTCGAAAAGGGCACATCTCTGAAAATGTAATGTTCAGTAAATGAAAAAAGCTGATTATTTTCTAAAGCAGTGTAAAATTTGAAATATAAACTTTCGAGATATATTTTAGTGTTCATTAGCAATTGGAAATTACCGGAATTATTATAAAATGGGTGTAGGTAAGCTTCAAAACTACATGAATATGAAAAAACGTATTTGACAAAATATGCGACATGTGCCCTTTTCGAAATTGCATATTCATTAAGAATCAGATGAGTCACAAGCCCCTCTGCTCATCTATATCAATAAACATTACATAAACGTGCACATATTGAAGGAAGCGCGACAGTATTATGGTGATGAAAACAATCGTAAATAAGAGAAAGATTGATTAACTTAGCAAAGCAATGATGTTGAAAATTAAAATGGATTCGTATGGATTTGGTCAGATTTGTTACCGACCTACTACTAGTTTAGTGCCTTCGCGTACCAACCACCGGATCCTATCCGATACCGACGACTGACCCCATATAGTCGTCCAACCAAGACCTTCAGAAAGCAATACTGTGAGGTCTTGAGAGACTATAAGGCGAGACAAACCCGTCTACTAGTATGAATTAAATCTGTTCTGTAACAAAAATTAAAAAACAAATAAAAAATTAGCCCTTACAATTAACATATACATAAACAATATGTTCATTAGGCATCCGATGAAGAGGCGCAAGCCATCAAGGAACGGATTGTTGCAGCTCGAAGAAAAATTCATAAAACGACCGGCGAAGAAGTAACTGCGAGGTGGACTTTCGAAGAAGGAGTGAGTGTAATCTTTATATAACTTATATTGCATATAAATTAATAAATAAATTAAAAAAATAGCTATGGACGTGTAAAGCAAGAGACTTCGTTGCATCGGATTACATAGGATTAACGTTTTAATATTGATGTCTATTTTCTATTATTCAACAGATAAAAGAAACAATTTAAATATCGAGCCTCAATGTTCAAACTTATCTCTATGCATTAGTAAAGTGATTTAATAGTGTTAGTTTGAGGATTAATTAAACATACTGATTATAGGCGTTGAATTTTAAACATAATTATTATATAGTATTTTTCATCAGCCTGCAGACGCGCGTCCGTTGATGGGCACAGATCTCTCTCTAGACTCGCCACAAAGGGTCAATACGAACCTACAGGCAGACAGGCATCCATCGCATATATCACTTACTATACTGCACAACTTATTCATCTTTCATGTATTAAATTTAGATCAAGCGGCCTTATTTCCACGTGAAGCCCCTGGAACGTTGCCAGCTAAAGAACTGGAAGGCGTACCTCGAATGGGAGAAGCACCACGGTTCGTTCAAGCGAGCCCTCGTGCTCCACGAGAGATGCCTCATTGCATGTGCCTTATATGAAGAATTCTGGATGAAGGTATCGAGCTCTTTACGCTATGTTTATGTTTTGAGTTTTGATAAATACTCCCAACACACTATTAATTATGTTTACGAAGTTAATACTCAAGGGGACCTGTGCCCGGTTTTCCCCTCTTACTAACTAAAGTAAGTAGTTGCTTTAGTTAGTAAGAGGGGAAAACCGGGTAGTACAGTACAGTAGTAGTATCACATTATAATCTCGATCTCTTGGCAAATGGCGCCGTCGAGACTTTTTATAGGGAAAGCGAGGAGTGAAGTTGTGTGATTTTTTTATTTTGTCTATTTAGTGTTTCCTCAGGTTTAAATGTGTCATAACGGTGGTTTATGAACTGTTTAATATCTGTGAAATGGCACAAATTATGTGAGAAAATGAAACAAAGCCGCTCGCTGGACGTAACTTCTCCGGATCCTCCAAAAAGTCCACTGAAGAAATCTCAGTAAATGACAATAATGTCAGCAAAATGATGAAGAATAATATGATATGGGATGAAGTATAAACTTCATCCCATATCATCTCATTTCATTTAATTTCATCCCAGTTGATTAATGTCTCAAATTAATCATTTTCATTTCATTTCACTCCATATTATCATTTGTCATAAAAATAAAAATATAAATTCAAATAAGACATGACCGAAAGGTTTTAGTTAATAAAATCCTTAAAAAAAATGGCGCCGCCGACTAGTAGAGCAAGTACTTTTTTTTCTGTGTTGCTACGATAGCAATGCCTCCACCCATCTTGAGACATGAGTTTTGGAGTCATAATTCTTACGATAAAATTCACAAGACACCATAAACATAATTTTTGTGATTTTGATTTTTATTACACTATGCTGTTCATTCATTGTGGAAGTCATTCATAAGCGTTTGTTAAGTACGTATTTCATTGGAAAAATTAGTACCTGTATGCACTATTCGATTATCGGTACAGTCACATCGTTCAATACGAACCGTACCGGGCGTCTTAACCTCTAGGCCGACGATGACTTATTTAAGTTAACAAACAATAATAGTAACAAAACGCAAACGACATTATTAGATAATTGTTTACAATCACTAAATATTTTTAAATATGATTTCTGTAGCTTATAAAGTTTCTGGAAGAACGTGCTGAACAAGATCCTGAAGTGATAGCAATAGAACGGGAAGTACTAGAGCGAGCCTGCACAGTGCATCACCTCGACAAGCCAGAGCTCCACCTACACTGGGCACACTTCGAAGAGGTGCAGGGCAATACACTGAAAGCTGCCGAGATACTTGATCGTATCGAGAAAACCTGTCCCAATCTCGTACAAATACAGTATAGGTATGTTTATCCTTTATTACAACATTATTTTATTTGATTGCTCTTTTATAATTGCAAAATAAATAACTGTCTAGTAATACTTTATAATTACGAAAATATATTAATGTTACAATTTAGTACAATATGATTTGTAATGGTGATGATGATACCATATAATTATGCATTTTTTTTTTAATGCTTAGATGGACGGACGAGCTCACAGCCCACCTGGTGTTATGTGGTTACTGGAGCCCATAGACATCCACAATGTAGATGCGCCACCCACCTTGAGATAGTTCTAAGGTCTCAAGTATAGTTACAACGGCTGCCCCACCCTTCAAACCGAAACGCATTACTGCTTCACGGCAGAAATAGGCAGGGCGGTGGTACCTACCCGTGCGGACTGACAAGAGGTCCTACCACCAGTAATAATTTAATTCAGTTTTTATTATTATTAAAATAAAATATACAATTTAATTAAAATTTTGCTTTACTGCCAAAACAGATAGTTGCATCTTATAAGTGCAAATTTAATCATGAACTCTCATCTTGACTATAAATTCATTCACTGTGGCTTTTCCGACCCATACTAATTACTTTTAATGATTAAACATCATAATACTCGATTATTACGAAAACAATAATTGGATAACAATATAAGTAAAGTAATTTATACGAACAGGCGAGTGAACCTCGAGCGACGACGCGGCGACTACGAGAAGTGCTCTCAGCTATACGAAACGTACATCAGCACTTCGAAGAACAAGTCGCTGGCGTCTGCGCTCGCCATCAAGTACGCGCGGTTCCTGCAGCACGTGCGCCGCCAGCCCGCCGCCGCCCGCGCCGCGCTGGACGACGCCGTCGCCAAGGACCCGCTCAACCCGCGCCTGCACCTGCAGAGACTTGACCTCGCCATCAACACTCCCGGCGTCACCTACGAAGAGTTGGATGGTGAATTATACAATACTAACGCCCGCAATTTTATGTACCCTTTAAAGTATTAAATGATATAAAATTAAAAATTTTCAATATAAGCATATAGCATAATATAATATATAATAATAACATAATAGGCATATAGCATGGCTTTATTTTCAGTTCAGTCACAAACCGTTATTAACTGTTTCTTCAAAAAGGATGTATGTATTTAAAATTTACTTCAATACCCTTGTAAACTATTCAAGGAATATTATCAGTAAATTGAACAAATCTCGAGCTACATCAGCTTGGGATGAGTTTTATGTACTATACATAATATGATTGTTGATGTTGTATGACACGCAGAGCTGGCACAGTCGTACTCGAGACAGGAGGGCGCGGACACGGAGGTGAGCGCGCACATGGCGTGGCGCCGCCGCGAGCTCGCGGAGGAGCTGGGCAGCGCCGCGCACGCCCGCGCCGCACACGCGCACGCGCGCGCTCTCGCCAAACATCTCCGCAAGCGCGCCCGCAAAGACAAGCATGACCCGCCGCCGCCGCCAGCGTACGTATCTCCACTTAACCAATAATACTAAATCAGTGAACACAGGCTCATGGCACCACTCACCGACAAGGCGTCCCCTCCCAATTTCTACCATGAAGAGTAATTCGTTTCAGTTGATAGTCTTTGTACTGTAAAAACTGAAAACTTAGAACTCATGTCTCACGATGAGCGTTGGCATTTTCGTTGTCTATAGGCTCCGGTGATCACTTAACACTGAGTGGGCAGTGGGCTCGTTCAACCATCTAAGCAATGAAAAAAGCATGTCAGAAAGTTATGAGCCGATTTGAATTTAAGTAAAAAGTAATTATTTTATTGTAATAAATCCAACTATACACATGACGGTTGTAAATTGTTCTCGATTAAACACTTCTTATGTATTCATTAACTAAATATTCAATACACGTTTTATCACATTTCTCACTGAGGGATAAGGTGTTCTTAGTAGAATTTATAATTTAATTTTTGTAACAGAGTAACTGATTCTAAGAAAAAAGAGAGTACGGCAACCGCCAATTCTGTTCCGACGACGAATGCGAATTACTACGCGCCGACGACAAACACGCAGTCCTACGACCAGTCGTACACGCAGTCCTACCAGCCGACCTGGGGCTACCAGCAGCCCCCCGGGCCCTACCAACACCACCCCCACGCCTGGCCGCAGTATCCCAACTACTATTAGTAATTTGAAGAACATTCGTGATGGACGTACGAATCAGTACATACTTTTGATTTCAGTCACCTTTTTCTCCATGTATTAGGTTAGGTTAAGATTACGTTTACAATTAACTTTAGAATGTAGCTACAGGCTTTAGATAAGAATTATAGCTACTATATTAGTAATTAAAATAATTTGTTTGGATAAACGTATGTTCGTGAAACATAATGTAGTTGAGGTCGGATTTTTTTATAAATTAAAAACATGGATATTTGTGACTGAATTCAAAGGTCCAAAGGGATAATGAGCTCATCAGGCCGACAAAAAACTGTATCTTGACATAAAAGTAAAATAAATGTATTTTGTAAGTTTTCTAGAAATTAAATGATTGACAGTGGGTATTAATTTATTTTTCTATACTTTAAATAAAATATAGCTTTTGTTTACTAAATTATGTTTTTACTGGCAACACATACAATCAATTTGAATAAAATTTTAAATGATTTCAAAATAGTTTGCTGAACTCATACTCGCTGTATCTACGCTAAACTCTCGTATCATAAAGAGCCGCTCCCGAACAAAATCAACGTCATAGACTAATGGATAAATAAATTGATGATTAATTATAAACTGATCAACGAGGTACAAATTCAACTCAGTCTCCTAAAGTTCGCTTTCTCGTTTTGTTTTAATTTATATCTTCTCTTCTGTATCTTTCAACAACAGTCGTAAAATGTAAAGCATGTGTTTACGAGGCAGAATCAAAAGATTCATGTTTGGGGGAGTTATTTGTACGTTGCGTAATTGGGTGAACGGGCTCACGGCGTACTTCGTGTGAAGTGGTAGATAACGTCAATGCTATCACCACCTTGAGACACAAGGCTAGTCACAATTGTACTATTTAATGGCTGCCTGAACTGTACAACTCATCAAATGATAAAGCACGAATGACTGCTTCGTGGCATTCGTATTAAGCAGGATGATGGATGGTACTTTGAAGTCTTCGTGACCTTAAGGACGAGAAAAGAACTCGTATCGAGCAAAGCGACTATGTCAGTACTCAAAGCGCGCATGCAGGTACCAATTTTTCTAATGAAATACGAATTTTCGATATGCTAACGAATGACATCAACGATAGAGGAATAATATCGTATAATTCAAATCGAAATCGTGAAAATTGGTTTACGTAATAAAGGGCGGCAAGGCTAGATCGCAAGGGTAGATATAACCATCTGACTTATTTCTGTGGCGAAGTAGAATGCGTTCGAGTGTGATGGGTAGGGACTTAGACCTTATGTCTTAAGTTCGGTATTGATGTTCTGATGTGGGATCCATTAACCGTTTAACACCAGGTGGGCCTTGAATTATTTCACGCGTACATACAATAAAGAAATTTAAAAGAAATCCTACCCATACGTACTGATAATACCTTCTACCATGTATACCTATATATTATTATATAACCTACAAACGGTTAAAACTGTTAAAAAAATGTGATGCATTCCAACATATTAATTCAACATTTCTGATAAGACTTCCTATACAAGTACAACATAATAAAAGACAATTTACTAGTTTAAAACTTTATTGAAACTTATTCTAAACAATTACCTAATTTACGAAATAAAAACAGTCCGTCAGTCCGTCCAATACCGTCATGTTTGAACGACTTATGTTTTAAATACCATTTGGTACACTAAAATCTTCACATTCGTTTTAAAACTAATGCATTCTTACCACCAATGGAATAAGAAATTGAGAGATAATTAGTTCAGAGATTTCTTAAAATATATAATAGACAACAATTATAAAGAACTTTACATTTACAATTTTGAGTAATATTAAAATTATTTATTAAAATGGGACGAATTACTCATTTGTTTGGTATAGCAGTTTTTATTTTTTTGAAATTTTGTTACGAAATTAACAGAGTTAAATCTCTTAAAATTTTAAATGTTATATTTATCTTAAAACGAATACACGTGTAATAGCTTTAACAACTCTTCATTTTTGATCATTGATGTTCATCTTGAATCACGAACACGCGGCTTTAGCAGCTTTTACGGCTGAAATTATAATTTAAAAAAATTATTACACTAACCGTTATGTTAACTATGCATTAATGATAATATATATACATTCTTTAGCACTCAGAAACAGTGTTTCAACATGTTTTTAGATAATATATGACATTTTTAATACGCCTTTATTAGCTTCATAAGTATGTTAGTATTTAAGGGAAATTTTGAACATGATTTTGACCCCCTTTAAAACGTCAGATTAACTCGAAATTTGGCATACTTATCAAGGACCGATGACAATTCAATATTTTAAACAGTTAGACATATTATTTTTAATTTCAATCATTATTAGAACGTCACTTGTATTATAACAAAGTAATCCAAGTTGAACGTTGATTAAGTTACCTTCTCTCTCCTTCCGACGTAGTTTCTTGCGACGTCGATCTATTGCGGCTAGTTCCGCCTTCACCGAATGATAGGTTTTACGCAAATCTGTTAGTCGTGTTGTAAGAACGTTTATACGCGTCTGAGAATCCCATGATGGATCTGCGAGCAAAATATTAAAATACGAATTACGCTTACAGCATTTGGAAAACTTTTGAAATGCTGCTTAAAAACTATACCAGATTTTTTAAACGGACATATTGTTATTACATTGTATACGTTTTAAATAATATTAGATATCTCACGAGACTCACGAGAGGTCCTACCAGTAATTACGCAAATTATAATTTTACGGGTTTGATTTTTATTACACATTTTTATTCCTTCACCGTGGAAATCAATCGTGAACATTTGTTTAGTACGTATTTAATTAGAAATCAAGCCAGTACTGCACATATATTGGAGGTGGAACATTGTCTTTGACGATTAGTACTGTCTTTATTGCGGTGGATGCACTCTTATGACATAGTACTGCCCTATGTGACCGCCTACATTGCCATTCACAGTCTACAGATTGTCCTCGATTTAGTTATCATTCACGAATGTCATTTAATTAGTTTTTATTAGATGTCTGAGTATTATCTCGACATATTGAGAAGAAAATTCCTCCTGTGTTTTTGACTCTTACTAAATAAATGTTAGAGCTTATTATAGCTTAGCACGTACCGAGTTCGACATAGAAGTTGTACTTGTGCGGCGGGTGGTGCGCGCCGAGCTCGTCGGTGTCGCGGCGCCGCCTGCGCCCCCGCCCCGCCCCCGCGCCCGCCCCGGAGCTCTCTGACGCCTTGCGGGACCGCCCGCATGCTGACGACTCTGTATTTACATACCCATGTTTATAATGAACGGGAGCTACCTAATGGTCGAAATTACAATTGTTTTTGTTTTTGCTACCTGATCGTTAGTGGCCTAAAGGTACGCGTCCATTGGCGCCGGATGCACCGCACGCAACAGATTTTATTTTGCTTTGTATGATTTCACATAGTGCTGCGTCCACTGTCCGCGCCGCCCGCACCGAACGCCGGCATTTATGAGCAAAAAATATAAAGCAAAATAAAAACCGTTGCGTGCGGTGCGTCCGGCGCGGGTCAATGGACGCGTACCTTATGGGTCAATTTATACTTATACAATTTATACTAATTATTTTAACGTAAATAAATATAAAAATAGAACAGTTTAAATACCACAGGGTGTGGGACCGTACCGTGTGGTTTTTCAATATCCAGTGACGCATCAATCGGTCGTACTTCATCATCGTCGTCTTTGCGTTCCGACGGACTGTCGCGTTCAGACATACGACGGTCCCTGCAAATAGCAATAAATTAATTAAGTCTATATTAGTTAATTTTCTAAAACGATTTTTATCCGAGAATCGAGAAGACGTCATGACTTAAAGGATAAGACGTCCTGTGCATTCGTATGTAGCGATGCAACCGGTGTTCGAATCCCGCAGACGGGTACCAATTTTTCTAATGAAATACTTACTTAACAAATGTTCATGATTGACTTCCACGGTGAAGGAATAACATCGTGTAATAAAAATCAAAACCCACTAAAATATAATTTGCGTAATTACTGATGGTAAGACCTCTTGTGAGTCTGCACGGGTAGGTACCACCACTCCGCCTATTTCTGTCGTGAAGCAGTAATGCGTTTCGGTTTGAAGGGTGGGGCAGCCGTTGTAACTATACTGTGACCTTACAACACATATCTCAAGGTGGGTTGGCGGCATTTACGTTGTAGCTATGGGCTTCTGTAACCACATAATACCAGGTGGGCTGTGAGCTCGTCCATCCAACTAAGCAATAAAAAAAATGTTTTTCATGAGATCAATTTCGCAAAAGCTACACACACGCGTGAGCAGGTAGGTAGGTAGGTAGGTACCTGTGTGGCGACATGTCGAGGCTGCTGTCGGGCGTGGTGGGCGGGGTGTTGTCGATGAGCGCGTGTCGGCGTCCCCAGCCCGGCGCCTCGCCCGCGGCCGGACCCCCCGCCCCCGCCGCGCCGCCCCCTCCCGCTGCCACCATCGGACGGGACGGACCTTCGCCGCGACGATCCTCTAAATAATTACATCATCATCATTGGGCTTTTCTTCGTCAGGTTTGAGCCCCGTGAACTCACCTACTAGTTAAGGTTACGCTGAAATAGCCTCTCAAGGCTCAGCTTAGGTTTAAAAAAAGGGCTTTTTTGCGGGAACGCGAGGAGTGAAGTTGTGTGATTTGTTTTACTTTTTCTATATAGTGCTTCTTCAGGTTTAAAAGTGTAAAAACGGTAGTTTATTAAATGTTTAATATCTGTGAAAGTGCACAAATGTGGGAAAATGACATAAAGCCGCTGGACGTAGCTTCTCGGGATCCTTCAAAAAGCCCATCGAAAAGTCTCAGTAAATAACCATCATTTTACTGAGATTATATTTCATCCCATATCATCTCATCTCATTTCATTTAATTTCATCGCAGTTGATTAATGTTTCAAATTATCTTCATTCTTCATTTCATTTTATTTCACTCCGTATTATCATATTTCATAAAAAATAAGAATATAAGTTAAAATAAGACTTGACCTAAAGGTCTTAGTTACCAGGTCATAAAATTCCTTAAAAAAACCAAATCATCATCATTCTTCTGCCCCCAGTCACATAGGGTCGGCGCAACATGTTTTCTCCTTCCATACTCCTTTATGATATATGATAGAGGAGAATGAATATTTGAGGGCAAAAAAATTTTGATTAAAAATATTGGTAACTAGCTGACCCGGCAGACTTCGTAGTGCCTCAATCGATAAATAAAAGACCGACGGGGGACACATCAAAGGAAAAACAAAATTGCTATTTTTATTTAATTCCGAGCATTTTCATATTTATCTACCTTTTAAACCTTCTCTGGACTTCCACAAATAATTCAAGACCAAAATTAGCCAAATCGGTTCATCCGTTCTCGAGTTTTAGCGAGACTAACGAACAGCAATTCATTTTTATATATAGAGATTGAAGATAAATATGGTAATAATGGTAGGCAGCGGCTTGGCTCTGCCCCTGGCATTGTTGAAGTCCATCGGATGGGCCGTATGCTCGTCTGCCTGCAAGGGCAATAACAAAAAAACATCTAAGCAATAAAAAAATATATATAAATTTACCGACCTTTAGAAAGCGAGTGATGGTGTTGTGGCGCCGAAGCGAAGGGCATGTGCAGGCGGTGGCGGGGCGGCTGCGGCTCGGCGTCGGGCGCGGGGGAGCCGGGGATGGTCTCCTCGCACAGCAGCAGCGAAATGTTGCTGTCCTCCTCCCCCCCGCCGACAACCCCCGCTGCCCTGCCGCTGCCGCTGCCAGCCACCACTACACTTGCACCTGGGTGTTGCCATTCATATTATACATGCGAGGGTGAGAGAGAGAGAGAGAGAGTGAGAATACACTTTATTGCACACCAACACAATTTACATTCAAAAAAACAGTCAAAAAGCACGTATGTACAATAGGCGGTCTTATCGCTAAAAGCGATCTCTTCCAGACAACCGTTTAATTTACAGAAATTCTGTAAAATATAAGGTATGTTGCGGTGTACCATAGACAATACATTATTATAGAAAATATATACATATCATAAACAGATATATACCGTTTACATATAATATATACCAATATATATACTTACATACAATATATACTAATATACTTACACACACATAATAAATCAACAGTATGGAAATGATAAATGATAATGATGCAACAAACAGCACTAAACAGATAAGTAGTGTTCCTTCACCATTCTTTTAAAACAGTTTAAAGTTGGAGCACTTCTCACAGGATCCGGCAGAGCATTCCACAATCGAACCGCCTGGACGGTGAATGAATTGTCAAAGAATGATGATGAATGCACCGGCATTTTCAGTCTCAGGTTCTCCGATGATCTCAGAGAAAAATTATGCGTATCACCTAGGAACTCGAAACGTTCTTTGAGATATGTAGGGGTATGGGGGTTAAAGAGAGTACAGTATAGTAATGAATGGACATGAGTATTGCGGCGAAGGCGAATTGGTAACCACTTGAGTTTAGTGCGAAATTCAGATATATGATCATATTTCCGTAACCCAAATATGAATCTTATGCAGAAATTTTGTAGCCGCTCAAGTTTATCAAGTTGTGTTTCGGTTAGATCCGGATAGCTGGAATCGGCGTAGTCAAGAATTGGAAGAAGTAAAGACTGTGCAAGCGCAGTTTTAGTGGCAGTTGGAAGAAAATTTCGTAACCGTCTCAACGATCCAGCTGATGCAAACACCTTCCNTAGTCAAGAATTGGAAGAAGTAAAGACTGTGCAAGCGCAGTTTTAGTGGCAGTTGGAAGAAAATTTCGTAACCGTCTCAACGATCCAGCTGATGCAAACACCTTCCGGCTAACCTCTTTTATTTGTGCGTTCCATGAAAGGTTTTTATCAATTAAGATACCCAAATTTTTCACAGTATCGCTGATAGGAATTTGTGCGCCGTCAAATGAAATAGCCGGAAGCTGCGACCATGTAACTTTCGAACACATTCTTGAACTACCGACAACAATAACCTGTGTCTTTGACGGGTGCTCTGAGAAAGAGGCGGTGAGCAATTGAACTCCGCCTCTAGTTATAGTAAAGTGTAACGATTAAACATGCTATGTTGATAACCATTGAAAATGTTCTTTAATTATTAACAACAGAAGAAAACATACTGTGTAATGCAATCTATACCTCCTAGCGAGTGACTGGGTAGTTAGCGCCTCTATCTGCTGCACCGAGGGTCGTGGGTTCGATGCTCACATCGGGCAAAAATTCGTTTGATAAATACACTTTTTTATTCTTTGTTTGGGTGTTTATTATATGTATATATATAGTTGCTTCGAAATGGAATAGGAATGAGTATATCAGAGGAAGTGTGAAAGTAGCCCCGGTAATTAACAAATTAAAGAGCGGACGGTTAGCGTGGTATGGACATGTGATGCGTAGAGAGAAGATGCATGTGACTAGGAGATGTATGGGAATGGTAGTGCAAGGTAGAGGGGGAAGAGGTCGACCGACGAAGACATGGATGGGGTGCGTGAATGACGATATGAGAGAGATAGAGAAGAGTGAGTGTTGAGATGATGGCTGATAGAAGAGAATGAAAGAGAAAAATTAGCTATGCCGACTCCACCTAGTGAGAGAAGGTGGAGAAAAGGAAGAAGATATAATTGCTTCGACCGAGAAATACGGAGCACTTGGTTGAGAATAATTTAATATTTAGTTGCGTTATAACTAAGAGTATGAAACATACTATGCTTCCTCTCGTTCTTGCAAGCGTCTTCGAGCATGAGCAGGGACTCCCCGGCGCTCCACTCGCCGGCCGACTTCCCGGCGTGTAGGCTTGCCAGGGCGGCCGCACCGCTCGCCCGCGACGTCTCGCAACTGTTGCCGCCCCACTCCTCCACTTTGTCGATTATTAACCTGAATATACATTAATATGTTGATAAACTATCACGCGGAAGTTGAAGTCGAGGTGTAAGTAATGCGGCCTACACACGACCCTATAATCAGTGGCGTTATCGGGACAGCGGTGGTGGGGATAATCGTCCCTAAACTGTGAAATCGCCCGAAGCGGTTTTTTTTTTGCTTAGTTGGGTGGACGAGATCACAGCCCACCTGGTGTTAAGTGGTTACTGGAGCCCATAGACATCTACAACGTAAATGGGCCACCCACCTTGAGAAGTAAGTTCTAAGGTCTCAGTATAGTTACAACGGCTGTCCCGCCCTTCAAACCGAAACGCGGACCCACAAGAGGTTCTACCACCAGTAATTACGCAAATTATAATTTTGCGGGTTTGATTTTTATTACACGATGTTATTCCTTCACCGTGCAAGTCAATCGTGAACATTGGTCGGGTATATATTTCATTAGAAAAATTGGTACCCGCCTGAAATTCGAACACCGGCGTATCGCTCAACACGAATACTGGACGTCTTATCCTCTAGGCCACGACGACTTCAAAAGTTTAGGGTAAACAATAAAAATCGAGTTACAATTTGCCTATACACGAGGTGATTTAGGGTCATCCCCACCACTGTCCCGATATCGCAACTGATTTCAGGGTCGTGGGTAGGCTGCATAACGAGATTGATACTACCTCCGATCGGAATCGTCGGAATCGCTGGATTCGCTCCTGTCGGCTTGCGGGAACGGTGGCAGCGGCAAGGGGACGGCAGCGGCCGCCGACTGGTTGATCTGGCTCGACAGCTTTTGTATCGTGTCGCTGAGAACTTTATTGTTCTTCTGAGCGGGCACTGCTAATGGTAAGTCGGCAACACTACGCCGCCGCTCAAGTATGTTTAATGGGCTCTGTAAGCGTGGAGATAAAACCTCTTTCCTGATTTCGTCTTTGGGTCTAACTTTCTTAACGTCGGTCGCGTCTCGCTTCGCATCCGTTAAGTTCGACGGCTCGCCGAATATACACTCGCTGATTTCTGGAGTTCGGACTTTCTTGAGTTCCGACTTAACTAACGGCTTGACCGTGTCAGATTTTGATGAGATCGTTTTCAGTTCTGGTGATTGGGAAGAAACTTTTATCTCGGGTTTGTTAAATTTATTGGGTTCCGTTTTGGACGCATCCGATCTATCGTCCGTGGGTGGCGGGGACATCGAGAGCCTCTTGGCACTGTTGATGGCTTTAAGCAATTTCTCCGCTATCTTCGGTCCCTCGGACTGTAATAAGAATCCAGGCGGCGGTTCGGGGATGACATCAATCCTCGCCGGACTGTCGGGTTCCGACTTATCTTCTTCTGTATCAATCAGAGGGCTCGAGGGAGGTTCAAATTTCGATACTACAGGTTCTGGTTCCATGTTTTGTTCAATCTTCATTTGCGGAATGTTTTCTTTAGGTTCCGTTAGTGTTTTTGGAACCGTAAGCAACTTGAGTGATGATTCTTTGACCGGTTCTTGTTTGAGAACAGGATTAGCAACAGTAAGCGTCACATTCATTTGGACATTAGAAATGGATACAGGGACGGAGAGTAGATTAACTTTATGTATTTCTTTTCTTTGCTGTGGCGGTGTTTTTGGGCGTTCCGGCGCTATGATTATCTCCATCGGTACTTCTTTTTGCTTTACGGCTTCTTCTGTAACGTATTTAGTTTCTGTATTCGTTTCAATGATTGGTTCCAGTATTATTTGTGTCACTAATTCCTTTGAAGCGACACATTCTTTAACGTTTTCCGTTATTTTCTCAGTTTCCACTTGGGGAGCAGCAGGGCTTGGTTCACTTACCGCTTTTTCGTCCTTTACCATCAAGTCTTGCTCATCCTCTGAAGAATGTTCGTCATCAGCCGGACTTTCCGGCGAATCGTCGATCAGTTCTCTTAACTTAGACACTTTACTCTTCTTAGAGTAAGTCTCTTGATTTTTAGCAGGAGTGAACCCTTCGAAAGTGGGGCCCGAACTGCCATCGCCTTGGAATGAGTCGTCGTCCAAACCGAATAGACATACTTTAGGGTCTTCTTCGGGACTTTGTCTACCTGGCTCGAGAGCACGAGTGGCTCCGAAATCTCTGAACGGCGACAGCGAGGGTGATCTTAAAGTCGAAGGACGCGGTCTTAAGGGATCTTCGGAGATTTCTTCACTCAACGATTTCGATAACGTTGATGTGTATTTACTGGGGGAAATATCGTCGAATATTCGATGAGTCCTTTTTTTCTTTTCGTCGTGCAGCTCCAGTTCGAATGGTTCTGGTTCTTTGAACTCGTACACGTCCTCGGCTTGTTTATCGGGTTGCGGGGGTTCCGCGGGGGCGGCCGACATCGTAGCTGCCGGAAGCATGAGCCTAGATGTTTTGTCATGTGGATCTTGTTTCAATGATGATTCATCGTGGTCCTGTTTGACTGAATGTAGTCCTTTTAGCTCCGATCTGATTTCGTTCAGATCGAAGTCTCGTCCCTGATGGCAAGTGGTGGGCATCGGTCGTGGTTTCTTGCTTGGAGAAAGATTAGTCGGCGTAGATACTGTACGTACGGGTCTCTTGCGTGGTTTATTTGAGCCACTGCTCTCACCCGTCTTTGCTTCTTTCGGTCGTGGTAAAACTGTAAAAACGGGTAAGTAGGTAATCGATTTATTTTATATCGAAATATGAAAGTATTTCTACGATACTTCTAGAAATGTTTTGTAGATAGAAATTTAATTACAGTAAAAGCTCTTGATTCCCGTGGTCTATTTTCGGTGAATATGGAAAAGCTCGTTTACAAAGGATATTCAGTTGAATACATGCATATTGGAATCCTTTTTATCAATGTGTACGTGCTGAACTACCGATTAGATCCGCCAATAAATAAATCTTAGTCCCGAATATAGGAATTGGGTCGCATTTTTTTAATTCGCGAATATTGGAAACGTGAATGAAGAGGAACTTTTACTGTATTTAAATTAAATCCAGCAGACTCATTATGTTGTTTTTTTTTTCAATTACAAATAAAGAAGATTCGTTTATTACTTTTAGAAGGAGGGCCTTTTTCGTCTAGTTTTTTAGGTGGTCTCTTCAGATCGACGTCGCTATCCGAGTCACTGTCGGAATCAGACCGAGCTGATGACTCTGCAACATCATAACCTACATTTAATTAACTTTATTTAAAGCAATAAATAGCTTTATCCAGATTTCAACGCATACATACCTTCATTCATCTTAGCACGGACACGTCTACTCATCCCGGTACCCTGATAAAATATATATTATTTTTATTTAGTAGTAGCGGACACAGCAAACGTCCTATCTTGAAAATAAATAAATAAATGGTAGAGTTTTACCGCAGCGGCATTTAAGGGGACCAGTTGTAAATCTGAACTATCTTTTTTTTTCCTACCTGTGCTGATAGCCTTGAGAGGCTATTTCAGCTTCGCCCTAACGTGTGTAGGTGAGCTCACGGGGCTCAAACCGGAGAGTTGCTAATAATGACCCTAGCAAGAGCAGTGCTTCGCAGAAACTACCACCGGATCGGAAACGCGACCCACTAAGAAGATCCGGCGAGAAACTCAGTGGGCTGTGTCTATGGGTTAATTCGCTCGTCGAGCCCTTCGTCGCAAGCGACGGGTTCGACGAGGACGGTGACCGGTGTAAACTATCTAGAGACTCATAAAAAAAAATTTGGATTAAGTCCCGCTGTTTATGAATTCGGTGCAAAACAAATGAATAATCGAATTATATATCGATTTATTATTTGTTCGGATCTAACGAGGGGTGAAAGGTTATTTGGTTTAAGTGACATTTTTGAAACTTTACAGGAGTCATTTAAAAGTATAAAATTTGGAAAAAATATGGTTAAAAAAAAACTTCTTCAGCTTTTCGAATGGAGTAAACATAATTGAAGTTCGATTAAGAAACATCGAATTGTTGATGCTGATACCAAATAAAACGGACCTTTAATTACAAAGATAAATGTCGCGTTTTAAGCGAAATGTGGCTTAAACTAAATAGCCTTTCACCCCTCGATAATATTTTATAAAGGTTTTATTGTTATAGAAACTTGCAAGAGCAACGGGTTGTCCTATTTACTATTTAAATTTATATACACGATCTGCTAATCGGTAAACAATCCAGTTTCCTTATCTATTGACGTGGATGGCCAACGGAGCTCACGGACCTACGGGCATCAAGAGATAAATGGAGTTCATCAGATTCCAGTTCCGTCTGGGCGCAGCTGAAATAGACCCTTAGGCTACCACCGATTAGGTAGAGAAAAAATCCAATCTAGATGCCGCCACGACTCGGAGTCGTTTAGTGGGTAGAGCCCACCTGGTGTTAAGTGGTTACTGGAGCCCATAGACATCTACAACGTAAAAGCGCCACTCACCTTGAGATATAAGCTCAAAAGTCTCAAGTATAGTTACAAAGGCTGGCCCACCCTTCAAACCGAAACGTATTACTGGCAGAAATAGCCAGAGCAGTGGTGCCTACCCGCGCGGACTCACAAGAGGTTCTACCACCAATAAAAATTACGCATAAAGAGAATTGTTAGTAAACTGTGAAACAGTGAACTTTATGACCTTTTTGTTGCGCTGTTCGTGCTGTGTAACGTTGAGTGCAATCCTTTGCGGTTTGATCCACTCGTCGTAGCGAGTGTTCCAGCCGGTATAGTGTACTCTCAACATACCCTCAGACGAAATCTCTATTACCTTAGCCTCGTACGTGACCTGGATCGGGAAATAAAACAAAGTTCGATTTCATGGTATATACTAGTATATAGGGGCTGCAAATCGCCATTATTGCTATTAATTAACATGATTTACAAGTTTATTTTATATATTATTATTTATTTGTCATTAGTAACATGAAACTGTCATTCTACCATTTTTAATGTTTAGTAGACACTGTTTTAATTTTAAAATGTGCAGAAGATGTTTAATTTTTATTTTATTGCTTAAAAACATAAATGACTGTCAAAATATTCAAATATTAATAATAAATTATGTTATAGTTAAGAGATTTATACTTTGATTAAGTATTGTAATTGTTTATGCAAATCATGTTGTTGGCGCCATCTATTATTAGGTTGGATAATAAAATAATAATGTTAGTTTATATTAGTTAAAAGTAATTTATGTAATATAATTCATGTCAGAGTCATGTAAAAGTCACTAAAATATTTATTGTGAATATTAAGCTACATTTTATGAATTGTTTCGCAATAATTCGATTTGTTTGTTTAAAAGATGTTGTAGTTACTATAACCATCACAAAAATGAATAATTTTGTAAAAACCAAGACGTGCCTTTTTGTAATAAACAAGGAAAGTTAACGTTTCATAGAATTGTATTGTATTTTCATTTTAATAGATCTTATGAATGAATGAATGATGAATGAATGATTTATTTTATTTCAGATAACAAGTCCATATGTGTACATAGTATCATTGAAACATACTTAAAATTAACAACACCAATCAAAAAAAATAATGAAAAAGATACATTTATTAAAAATATTTTAAAATATATTTGTTTTTTATGTGTTTCTGGCGTATCGCCGACATATATTTAACACGTTTTGAGGTTTAAAAAGTCCCACGTGCGACTATCTCGTTGTGCGGCAGTCAATACTGCGCTCTCCCTTTTCCGGTTTGGGTTTGAGGACCTATCAGGTCTCACAAGCGCTATAAAGTCCAATCTTGCCCCGAAAAGTCCCTCAAAAATGGTTCCACAGTCAATGCGTTAACTGTCTAACCTAAATCGGTATTATATAGGTATTATATATGTAATACGTGTTCAATGTGACAAAATATTAAAGTTGGTACATATTTTTCGAAGATAGCTGTTACCGTTTACTGTTTTGGGTTCGTTTATCTATACTAATATTATAAAGGTGAAGAGTTTGTTTGTTTGTTCAAACGCGCTAATCTCAGGAACTACTGGTTCGATTTGAAAAATTATTTCAGTGTTAGATAGCCAATTTATTGAGGAATGCTATAGGCTATATAAAACCTGCGCACGCAGCGGAAGCTCTCAAAAGGGAAAAAACTCCGATTTCGAAACATTCTTTATTGGTGCTCCGCTTGTTTCTAATAACCACCACAGAACAGTTTGTGGCTTCGGATAATTAAGTTAAGTTTTAATATATTTACATTAGTCAACTCGTGGGAAGTAACATCAGGATTTCTAAGCAAAGAGCTATAAACTGATTTAAAACGAAAAGTTCGTTCAGTGCAATATTGAATTGTGAAACTGATCTCTTACAGATTATAATATTGGTAAAGGAGGTGTTACGTCTACGGGAGATACTAGTATTGCATCGACCTTAAGTAGAGAATCCCATAACGAATTTCGCGATGAGGTTAATTTTAAAGGTACTTTTGAGACAAAAAGAAAATTAAAAAAATATTAAAAAAAATTAAGTAGCAATCATCAAACAATTGTTCATGGTGTCATTTTTGAAAATTTTATTCCTTATTCTTTACATTTTTATTATTATAATATATTTACGCTTTTAACAACATAAACAATAAATAAAACGGAATTATGAACGAATTTTCTGCATCATTAAACAAAACAGTGGAAGAAATATTAGCATACAAAATTATAGATTAAGTTTAATTCGAAGTACCATACCTTAGATTCAGACTGTGTGGGTCCATAATAAACTTTCAGTTTGTCACCGACTTGAGCTTTCACGTTCGACACGCGCGTATGCATCGGCTCGTTAGTGGATGGCCTTAAAATATCAAAACAACCGNCGAATTTTCTGCATCATTAAACAAAACAGTGGAAGAAATATTAGCATACAAAATTATAGATTAAGTTTAATTCGAAGTACCATACCTTAGATTCAGACTGTGTGGGTCCATAATAAACTTTCAGTTTGTCACCGACTTGAGCTTTCACGTTCGACACGCGCGTATGCATCGGCTCGTTAGTGGATGGCCTTAAAATATCAAAACAACCGTAATTATTCACTGCTTGAACTTTAAGCACTCACTGTAAAACTGACCTCATATAGGTATTATGTTAAGTAAACAAATACAGTGAAACCTTACAATCCGTTTTTAATAAGAACTTGATGAATAACTTTAGGAATATTGTATATGAGAGATGCCTTGTATGCAAAATTCCTTTAACAATTTCAGCAAAACATGTGAAAATAAGCTCAGCACTAAAAGGATTAAAACTTGTCGCTTTTATTTAAATATAAATATAACAGTTTAAAAAAACTAGCAAAATACGTTTCTATAAAAAATCCAACTAAAAATAGAAAATAAATTTTAATAAATTTGAATTAAAAATAGTGTAATAAAAAATGATTTCATTTTTGAAAAACGTGGGGTGCTTTTCAGGATATTATGAAAATAATCCCTCTACTCATATCTGTTCATAAATATTTATAACTACTGATACCATTTTTTTTTAGTTGTATTTTCTATAAAAGCGTGTTTTGTTAGTTTTTTTAAACTACATATTATGTATTTTTCATTATTTAGTTGAATTTCAATTTTTCAATTTTTTTGTTTTAATATTGAATTGTCATCGGTCCTAAATAATTATACCAAATTTCGAATTAATCCGACTTTTGGAATGGGGTCAAAATCATGTTCAAAGATTCCGTTACATACTAACATACATACGTCTGAGGCTAATAAAAGCGTATTAAAAAAATAAGAATCATACTCCGTCGTTTTTCTTTTGCGTGGTCTTTTGCTGCTGTTGGAGGCAATGGTGTTTCCGCTGCTGGCAGAGTTCGCGCTTTGACTTCGACGGCTTTGCATTTTCTTCGTTATACCGCACCTGTTGTAGTCGGTACAATCCAGCCGTTGTAACTATACTGAGACCTTAGAACTAATATCTCAAGGTGGGTGGAGGCATTTACGTTGTAGATGTCTATGGGTAACCACTTAACACCAGGTGGGCTGTGAGCTCGTCCCCTAACTATGCAATAAAATAAAAAATAAAAACTATAAGTAAAAAATTACATTGGCGGTGTTCTTTTTGTCTTCCGTGCATAAAAAAGCCTACCAGCTCTTTTTAAATTTTTTCAATACTGTATATCGTCAAAATCGGTTTGGTGGTTTTGGCGCGAAAACCTTACAAATTATTGCAATATAATATGTTTTACTAATTAACATATATGAGAGTGTAACAGTAAATTCAAGAAATGTTACAAAGACGATAGCTTCGCAAGCTCAGATTTTAATTATTCAAGCCTATATTCTAGTCCAAGTTAATTAATGTCTTAAACTTAAAAATCTTATTACACTTCTTTAGTTGCGCCCTTCTCTTATATTACTTTTCTTCAATATAGACACACACGGGCTACCTTTTTTATATGTATTCATTGACAAGAGTAGATGAACTGACGGGCCACGCAATATTACTTAGCAGTAGTAGTAGTAATTTAGTATGGTATTCGATCACCAGTCCCATCCATATCAAAATGGAAAAATCAGTTGTACCAACAGCTACAGAAACAAAACTGTATTACTCAACCCACCCCAGTTCAGTTCAAACATTCCCACTCTATTTCAAATTTCATTACACAATATATTCATTGCGGAAATCGTTTTTAATTCTCGTTAGAAATATGAGCTGCTTGTAAAGAAATTGATGCCCTTTTGTCGTAGAAACTTCGGCACAAACTTACTAAATAAATATGGATACATATGGAGGGGTGAAAAGCTATTTGGTTTAAGCGACATTTTTGACACTTTACAGAAGATCCTTTTAAAGTAAAAAAATTGGAAAAAAATTAATAACAAAACAACTTCTTCAGCTATTCGAATGAAGTAAACTTAATTAATTAATCAATCAAAACAAATAAATTAATTAATAAATTAATGCAATTAAACATCGAACTGTTAATGCTAATACCAAATAAAACGCACATTTAATTACATAGATAAATGCCGCGTATTAAACGAAATGTCGCCTAAACCAAATAAGGCTATTCACCCCTCGATATCATTATGTAGTTAAGACATAAATTATACAATAAATATTATTATATGAAATTTCAATCTTACCTAGAAGCACGGCCGGAGCTATCACTGTCCGTTGAGACGTGAGGTCGGCGTGAGGCTCTCGAAGTGCTTGAGCCTGCGCTCTCGCCTGAATCAAATTATATAATTACCGCCGTGTTTCATTGATGTTATAATATTTCTTCGCTTCTCAGTAATCTCAATTAAACTATGTATTATGTTGCATTTTACGTTAGAAATCTATATATCTTTATATATAAAAATGAATTGCTGTTCGTTAGTCTCGCTAAAACTCGAGAACGGCTGAACCGATTTGGCTAATTTTGGTCTTGAATTATTTGTGGAAGTCCAGAGAAGGTTTAAAAGGTAGATAAATGAATGAAACTGTTCGGAATGAAATAAAAATAAAAAATTTGTTTTTCCTTTGATGTGTCCTCCGTCGGACGGATTACTTTTCTTTGTTTTAAGTTTATTTTATACAAAAGTTTAGGTCTTTTATTTATCGATTGAGGCACTACGAAGTCTGCCGGGTCAGCTAGTTATATTATAAAACACTTGCGCAGTTCATACGCGGTAGAAGTGAAACATTCACAAGTATTCTATCTCACTTTTTGGCGGAACGCGAGGAGTGAAGTTACGTGATTTGTTTTATTTTGTCTATTTAGTGTTTCTTCAGATTTAAATGTATAATAACGGTGGTTTATCAACTATTTAGTATCTGTGAAACTGCACAAATGTAGAAAATAAAACAAAGCTTCTAGACGTAACTTCTCGGGATCCTACAAAAAGTCGACTGAAAAAGTCTCAGTAAATGACCACCATTTTACTGAGATTATATTTCATTCCATATCATCTCATCTTATTTTATTTAATTTCACTCCATAATATCATTATTCATAAAAATAAGAATGTAAATTAAAATAAGACTTGACCTAAAGGTTTTAGTTACCAGGTCATAAAATCCCTTAAAAAAAGTATTCTATCTCATTCTCTCACAGGCTAAATCACATAGACAGACGGATTTTAGAGCTTCATCTTAAATAACGATGAAGCTAATGATTTTTCTACTTCAAAAAGGCGTCTCGTTTCAGTTTGCGGGTAGGTAACATTGTTGAAACTTTGAACCCGTATCTTAATTGTCTTACACTTTCTCTTTTGTGGCTGTAGATAAGCTCACGTCCGCCTTGAATTAGGCAGTTCTACTTAGGCAGTGGTCTACTTTAAGAAAGAGGTCAAAGTTTCAATCGTTTTTTTTATGACCGAGAGATTACTGGTATTCTGGAGGCCTTTCCAGTTTCAACAGGACAGGTGGGCGAGCAAAGGCTCAGCCAATAGGAGTGGGATCAAAGGAGACCTAACAACTCAAGAGCAGCTGCTTTTCGAACGAGGTTCAATTGATCGAGATAACCTCTATTCAGAAGTTGGCTGTACGATTAATTTCTACATCAATATTCTATAACGTGTAAAAAATTATAATGAGATAGTTACATACTTTTCGAGGAGAGTGGGCGTCTCTTCGGTGTCCGCTTGTCGTGGGAGTCTGGTTTAGAAGGCGGCATCGAGGAACGTCCTTTAGACTGCGAACGTGGTTTCACTAGCACTTTCTCTTCGCTCGTGGTAGTCGACGTTGATTTTTCACGTTCTTTATCTTTTTCCTTTTCCTTTTCTTTCTCCTTCTCTTTATCTTTCACTTTTTCTTTTTCTTTCCTATCTTCTTTCTCTTTCTCTATCTCTTTCTCCTTTTCTTTTTCTTTTTCCTTTTCTCTTTCTTTCTCTTTCTCCTTTTCTTTCTCCTTCTCTTTTTCTCTTTCCTTTTCTTTCTCTTTTTCTCTCTCCTTTTCCTTTTCTTTCTCTTTATCCTTTTCTTTCTCCTTCTCTTTATCTTTTTCTTTATCCTTTTCGATCCTAGATATTAAACGAAAATAATTATTTTTGTGCTACAACAACTATTTAGATACAGTAGAATTGAGCTAATTCATTAAGCATCATATCCAATAGATATCTTTGTTCCTAACAACAGTAACAAAAATGTGAAGTAACAAAAGCCATACAACGCGGCACGTGATTCACTGGTGATTATAACAATGTTTAATATCATTTAATGAAATTTAAAATTACTTTGGAGCCACGGCAACTACGAGCGGTTGATTGTCGGCGCTGTCCTCTTCGTCGCTAGCCCGAGGTTTCTCTTTCGTTTTCTCTGTTTTTTCTTCTTTCTCGCTCTTTTCACTTTTGTCCGTCTCGCTCTTGTCAGAATCTTTGTCTTTGCCGCGCTATAATTGTAAGACGTGTGTAATAATAGTAAAAGCATCCTTCAAACTGATCAAATGTTAATATTCTACTTTCGAAGGCAAGGAGAACAGCGTGTTCTTTAATTTAGTTTTTTTTTTTAGTTTAGCAGTAATTAAGAATCGATTCTGGTGGTAGGACCTCTTGTGAGTCCGCGCGGGTAGGTACCACCGCCCTGCCTATTTCTTCTGTGAAGCAGTAATGCGTTAATGCGTTTCGGTTTGAAGGGTGGGGCAGCCGTTGTAACTATACTTGAGACCTTAGAACTTATATCTCAAGGTAGGTGGCGCATTTACGTTGTAGATGTCTAACCACTTAACACCAGGTGGGCTGTGAGCTCGTCCAACCATATAAGCAATAAATAAAAAAAGAATGTGTGTGGTTTTGCGGGTTATACCTGACTGGGAGTGCCTGTCGGTGTGCTTGAAGCGGAGGACGAAGTGAGGGGCTGCTTATCTTTGTCTCGTATGAGAGATCTACCGGCGGGCGGAGTGCGTGCGCCGCGCGGGTGCGCCACTAACGTCACTCCCAGCTTTCGGTAGAAATCTTCGAAGCTGTGCAGGAATCTATAACACAGTGTTTTTGATGGTTAAGCGTCTTTTTTCTAAAAGTCGTCATCTATACCACAGCGTGAATGCTGCTGTCAATGGGCGCAAATAAATGTTTTTGTAAGTTAATAATATATATTTCGGGAGTGCTGTCTCATCTCTGATTTTTTAAAGAATTTATGGTCTAGTAACGGGACCTTTAAACAAAGTCTTATTTATTCTTGTAGTCTGTTAAATGAAAAATGACACAAAGCGAAATGAGATAAAATTGATTAATTTGGGACTTTAATCAATTGGGTTGTAAGGATCAAATAAAGTCTTAGCAAAATGTGGTTATTTACCGACTTTTCAGTGGACTTTTTGGAAATACTAGAAAAGCTACGTCCAGCGGCATTTTCCTACATTTGCACTTTGCAATAACCACCGTTATTACATATTTAAACCTGAAGAAACGTTAAATTAACAAAATAAAACAATCTCACAACTTTGCTGCTCGCGTTCTCGCCAAAGACTCGTCCCGGTTCCCGAAACTTCGTGCGATTATCGACAGTGACAGAAGTGAAAAAATAAAATTATTTTACATTATTTCTTGACTAACTTTTTATACGCCTGTTTGCAGAGATTCGTTATACTATTCGTCACCGGATGAAAGCCCATTTTGTCAGCAATAGTTTTCCATTGATTTTGATTAGTGACCCTGTTGTAGCCTCCTAGTTTTTGAACGACCTATAATAAACAAATGATTAATATTATCAAAATTTCTATAGTAAATTATTTAGTAATTAAGTAAATTATATTTACCCGAAATAGTCTATATAAATCAATATCTTTGTTGGCTATAGTCGGGTTCCGATTGAGCGGTGTTCCACGGTCATCCATAAACTTATACAGTTGAGCCACGAAATGATCTTTTTCTTCTCTTGGTTCATCATCGGAACTCTGAAAAAACCAGGGCGTGTATGAATGCGTTAAATGCGCAGTTTAGTGACAGATAGTCTTTTATAAATTAAAACAAAATATATATATTCTTTTTTTTTATTGCTTAGATGGGTGGACGAGCTCACAGCCCACCTGGTGTTAAGTGGTTACTGGAGTCCATAGACATCTACGACGTAAATGCGCCACCCACCTTGAGATATCAGTTCTAAGGTCTCAGTACAGTAGCTACTCACATCATCAGAAGTGTTTCGGGGTTCGTTGAAGAGCGTGTCTCGATCCCAGTGTGGAGGCAGCACACCTTGGTTCAAATATTGCAGAGCGGCTTCAACTCCTGCCCATTCCAGCGGTGCGCTGCCCTTACGGAACTCGCGTGCTTCTTTTTTGGGTACTGTGTAACTTTAAACAAATTGTCTGTTAATAATTAATATTGTTTGGGCTTGGTTCTTTAGTTTTTGTTTTTAAATTTAGAGAGCAATCGATATGATACTTCATAATTTGTTAGAAACTCACCGTAGGTCTGTTTCTTTGTAGTTACATGCGCTCTCAATTACGTTCAAAAATATTAATGCGATGTATCCACTGCAGATAGCGTAAACAAATATTTTTAACTGATTCCTAATCATTGAGAGGGCGTTTTTTAACATAATAGGGGTTAAAGTATGAAATTGCCGTTTTATTGTAATAGGTACTTCGAATTGACATAGAACCTTCATGGTTTGAGATTTTTGAGTGAAACTTTTTTCAAATGGTACCTAGTGAAACAGTCCCGATCCATGAATCGATCTTCACCATTATTGCTCCATGATAACGCGAGACCTCATACAGCATGAGAAACCGTTTTGATTCTATAGGAACTGCAATTAGAACCATTCGTCACCCTCCGTATCTGCCAGACCTTGCTCTAACAAACTGCCATTTTTTTCGTGATTTTGACAATTTTCTAAGTGAAAAAAGTTTTCTTTCCAGGAGGCAGTACAACATGCTTTCACACAGCTTGTAGAATCTAGATCACCAGAGTTCTATCGCAAAGGCATAAATGACCTTCCTATTAGATGGCGGCAAAGTCTAGATAATAATAGTAGATATTTTGATTAAATAAATATGTTAAACTAGCGACCCGCCCTTGCTTCGCTTCGGAAACATTAAATTTTATTATTGATAACTGAGTCGCGGTTATTGTCATACTGCGGGTAAAGCCGCGGGGCGAAGCTAGTCTAAAAAAAGTAGCCTAAGTTACTCTTTATATCATCAGCTACCTATCAGTGAAAGTACCATCAAAATCAGTCCAGCCGTTCCAGAGATTAGCGGAACAAACAGATAGACAGACAAAAATTGTAAAAAAATATATTTTGGTGTATGTACCGTATATACATATAGATTCATATGCATGTAATAAAAAGAGGCTATTTCAATATTACAAACAGACACTCCAATTTTATTTATATGTATAGATGAAAAAAAAACCAATTTCAATTTTTCTCGTCAATTTCATACTTTTACCCCTAATATAAACTTCATATATTACACCGAGTTGACATAATTTAGTATGTATACTCACTATCGTCCATCTTTGAAGGAGCGTACTAAATAATCCTCCTTGACCTTGATCTGTGCCGTGGGCGCCACGACCAGCGCTGGGAAGGCGGGCTGGTGCGGTCGGCGCCTCTCCGCGCCACTAGCCGCCTCCACGAGCACCACGCGACCCACGTGCGGTTCGCGCTCGGCACTGTCCGCCTTCACGGGACGACTTGTACCTTCGCCTTCACTATCATCTGACCTGTTTTCAGTTATGTTCTCACTTTGTTAAATTTCTTATAGTCATCACTGGTGGTAGCACCTCTTGTGAGTCCGTGCGGGTATCACCACCCTGCCTATTTCTGCCGCGAATTAGGAATGCGTTTCAATTTGAAGGGTGGGGCAGCCGCCGTAACTATACTTGAGACCTTAAAACTTATATCTGAAGGTGGGTAGTGCATTTACGTCGTAGATTTCTATGGGATCCAGTAACCACTTCACACCAGGTGGGCTGTGAGCTCGTCCACTCATCTAAGCAATAAAAAATAAATAAAAAGAAATACTCATTGTTTAAATGGTGATGATATTTGAATGGATTGTCTTTCAAGCAGCATTCAAGGAGTCCCTTAAGTGGTTAAATTAAAGTCAGTCTGGTGGGATGGAATATGGACATTTGATACACATTCATACTTACTGGGCGCGTCCTCTTCTGCCACGTCGTCCTGCTATGACTGGGGTAGAAAAGTGTTCAGGGTGTGTCAATGGCAATTGATCTAAAGTCTCGCTTTCATTGAAATGCCTTCCACTCTTCAGGCAAAGCGCTGATCGCCTCAATGTTGTGATATCACCATCATCAAACACTAAAATATGATAAACATTAAAGAGCATAGGCAATGGTTGGTGGGTATAACTTTAATAATTTTGATAAAAAAACTTTTTTTTTTTCTACAGCTGAAGAACATAGAATTCTGGTTGAGACTTATGGTGACAATGCTTTGTCGGATACGACATTCAGAGATTTATTTCGACGCTTTTGAACGATAATGATTTTGAACTTGAGGATAAAGAGCGTTCTGGCGCACCGAAAAAATTGAAAATCAGTGGAATCAGCAGGGTGTAATAAATTATGAGCTGCTCAAACCGAATGAGACTATCATGGGATTCCATTTTTTAAATAAAACTTTTATTTTGAAAAAGAAACAGCGAGAACTTATTCAACGCTCTAATACAAAGAAACTGGGCCAAGGCATGTCAAACTTTATGAACTTTGAAGAGTTGAAAAGTGACAGTAGAATGCATTAAATACCACCAATGATCAACAGAGCTTTAACTGTGCTCCTACTATTACTGATACATACATTGCTTACAAAGGCAATAAAGCCAAATTCCTGAAATATTAGTGAGAAGTGTAGAGCAAGAATCACAAGAAACTCACCAACAGTATATTGACTGCAATCCTGTATTTTAGTAATTACAGCTTCCATTGCATCTTTTTTCGGATCCTGTTTCACTTCTACAGTACTTCCAATCCTCAATGTACCTTTTATTACATCATCATTCACAGTAATTGTTCCTCCACCAGCTTTAAGTGTAACCTGATACAAGAGACTGATTTTAATAATGGCACTAGTTTAAATTTACTGCAGCAAAGTGATTCTACGTAGTATAACATTTATTAAAAATATGTAGTGGCTAAAATTCAATTTATATTTTATTAGTGTAGTGTAGATAAATGACACAAAGCAAAGAAGCAAGGCTGGATTTAGTTTTTCTTAAACATAATATGTACTTCTCTTCTGCTTGATGACTTTTAGAATATGGGTACAAAGTGTAGTCAAACTTGCATAGTAGTGGGGTTCAAGGCCTACTTTTGTCAACCAGACCACATAGACATTACGAAGTGAATACTGCCTACCACCTTGAGACAACGTAAAAAGCTCAATTCTATAGTACAACAACCATGTCACTCTTCAAACCAGAAACAACGACCAATTAACAGCAGAAATAGCAGGACTATGCCTTAAAATGATGTTATTTCAATGAAAAATTCTCTTTTTAAACCACTACTTATTTATCTAAATAAATAAATATAGGTGAGTCTTTAGAAATAATTTTAAATTACTACAACTTTATAAAGTATAACCCATTAATAAAATAATATAACTAAGGTATAATAGTCAAATAATTTCAATGTAACATAACAAAGTACTTACTTTGCATTTAATATTCCGTACAACTTTTTTTATTTTAGCCTCACAGAATGCACCCTTGTATTTTGCACTAACATCAGTCCCCACTGGCAAGTAGGGTGGATCATCACCCTGCTGTAAAAAGCATGAAATATTTTTAAGCCTTTAAATATAACATTTTTGCTCTAATCATCATCATAAATTTATAATATTTTAAAAAATTTAAATATAGGTTTGTTTAGTATGTATCTGATATATCTTGTATAATAATAATTTATACTCTAACAGAAATATTTCATTTTTGATCTATTTATTAAATAAGCTGTTTCTCACCATTGCGATTAATAGAACCAGTAGATAGACTTCTGAAAACCGATATGAATATTTCACTGAATATGGACAAATCAAATGCACTTTGAGGCTGGTTTGTGTAAATTTAGGGGTAACATTTATCTGCAATTATATGTAAGGTATGGTCATGGATGGATCTGAAGTCATTATGAGAGACAGATCTTCAGATTTAAGAGTTACGAACGTAAGAGGATGTACGTGACATGTAAAATATATATAGCAACTTACTAATGAATTTATAGCTTCAGTAAACCACAATCCAACTGGATATTTTACCAGTGGTAACCTCACTACCTTCTGGTAATTTTTGTATTACAATAATATTATTGTTTATTTTTAAGTTATCTTTGTGTAAAGATAAGTAAAACTTTTTTTGCTCGAGTGTTTTTATCACGATTTCTAGTACATATTTATTTAAATGTAATGTCGCTTAATTCAAATTTTTGTACCAAAAGGATTACTTTTACATTACCAGTATAGTCGTGGTTTATGTAGACAAAGCACTTAAGACAGTTGTGAATCAAAGTTTAAGATTTATTATCATGTAATTTGTTCATTACTGTTATTTACAATGTGTATCATATTTCCTTTTTAATCAAAATTTGTTAGGCACGTAAACGTAAACATAATGAAATCTCATTCCAATCCAATGTTTAGTTGTGTATAAGCTATGGTTTAGTTTATATTCATAGATATTTAGTTTAAACTCATACACTTTATTATCTATGATCCCTCAACTAACGGCGAATTTACATTACGAAATTAGTGGCATGAAACTAATTTCGTGACATTAGTTTTACCAACAGTTTCACGTGTAATTTAATACTTTCGTAGTGCATTAATTTCATGCATGCAAATTAGTTTCGTGCCCTGCGCGATTTTTTGGTGAAAATAATGTCATGTAACTAATTTCATAGTGTAGACGCGACGTGAAACTAATGTCGCGAAAGGGCCTGCGCTGTGCGGACGTGTGTATTGTTAGTTCGGACGCGCTTCAAGCGTTGAAAAGGCAAACCAACCATGGAGTCATAGATTTATACACTTAATATATTTGAGAGATGGAGTACAGAAAAATAAAATAGATCTTATTAATGAATATCAGCGACAATGGGACCCGAAACACCTACAGTAAAAAATCAAAATTATCTTCACTCATTCGAAAATAGTTTTTATTACTCTCAGGATCTTCATCTGCTAATTTAGAGACTAACTTCATTGCACCTAAATGCCTTCTTGTTGACCATCCTCGAATCTACCAACTTTTTTTTTCTTGATAGCCTTTTTTTAAGTTCATAGGTATATAAGCATTTCTTTAGCTACATTGAATATAGCAAAATATAGCTTTGATACTGACGGCGCCATGGTTACTGCGATACTGTGGATTTCGCGACACTCATTTTTTTACGAAATTACTTTCGCATATATCGAAACTACTTTCGTCAAACTGAGCTCAACATGCATGACACTAATTTCGTAATGTAAACTCTGCTTATGCTAATTGTCCAATTTATTCATTATATCCAATTTATTGGTTATTTTGATTCAATCATGTAATTATACTCAAAGAATGCTACTACAAAATTTCGGTTAGCTTTGAAGTATTTTTTTGTGATACCAATTGGAAGTGAATTGAAGTGGCAGTGTTATTTTAGGCCTAAAGAGGCACTATGTAAATTGTAAAGATCTGCTTAAAAGTCGAATCACCAGTTGCTGTAAACATTTTGTAAAAAGGAAAAGTTGACAAATGAACATTGAACACGTCAAAATATTTTTTTTCAGGCGAACATACGATATGATGTTTTGAAAATGTTTTTAAGAACTATTAATATATTTCGGAGTGCATAGAAATTTAATTAACGAGGCACATGAAGATATCATTTCGAAGGAGCTCCTAAAAACTATCAAAATGAAGGCAGTGTTAGCGACGGTGATCAGTCTCGCGCTAACCACTGTGGTTATCGGCAATGCATATTACCAAAAGAAACAGTTTTACCCTTCGATAGTTTATTTAACAAATTCAAATCCAAGCATGGCAGTAAGTGTAGCTATATATTAGCATAAATAAATCTTGTTATGTTTTGCTGTGGTCTAGTGTCATGGAGTTTACTGGCATTTACTTGTCCTACAAGTTTCTAGACCTTCACCTCTTTGCAAGACCTTTCGAATATTTGAGTTATTTTGTGATTAGTGTCATTGTTACTGTTTGTTGCAGGTAATGTATTTGCAAGCGTTTATTTTAGTTTTATTGGTGGGAAAAATGCTAAGGAAAATATTCTTTGGTCAACTTCGACCTGCTGAGTTTGAGGTAAGTTGATTGAATTAAGTTGTTGTTTGAAGACACATTGCCTATTTCGCCTACATATTCTATATTTTTTTCTAACGGAATATTCTAAATTACAGAATGAAATGTATTGAATCTTAAAAAACAAGTGACAATGATACCAATTTTCATTATTTGTTGCAGCATTTAATAGAAAGGTCATGGTATGCCATAACAGAGACGTGCTTAGCATTTACTGTCTTCAGAGATGATTTCAATCCAAAGTTCATTGCTCTCTTTACACTGTTGTTATTCCTGAAAGCATTCCACTGGCTTGCTGAAGATAGAGTTGATTATGTGAGTTATTTAATGAGTTATTATTATGTGTTAATTGCTGATAAGTTTTTTGCGTTTTTTAAATGTAGTAGTGATGTTAATTATTGAAACTTAATAATAGCGTTTTCAGTTCAAATTTATTTTAAGGTTTTGGTACTGCTGTTGTATTTAATGCATTTCACTTAAAGCGATCTTTTATTATTATTTGTGAGGTAGAATACTGGTGTTCATTGGAACACCATTATTTGCATTGCACCACCAGCATTTGAAATATTTTGTGCCTCAAGCTGGTTAGTAGTATTAATATTTAGGTGTCTATGGTCTCTGTTATACTGTAGTTACTGGTTACTGTGATACTGTGTTACTGGTATCAAACCCGCAAAATTATAATTTGCGTAATAACTGGTGGAAGGACGTCTTGTGAGTCTGCATGGGTAAGGTACCACCACCCCGCCTATTTCTGCCGTGAACCAGTAAAGAGTTTTGGCTTGGAGGGTGGGGCAGCTTTTGTCACTATACTGAGACCTTAGAACTTATCTCAAGGTGGGTGGCACATTTACGTTGTAGATGTCTAAGGGCTCCAGTAACCACTTGACACTAGGTAGGCTGTGAGCTAAGCAATAAAATAATAATAATTAGAAAGTTAAGTTTAGGTGGGCTGTGAATTTGCTGCTCATCTATTACAATGTAAAGCATGCAAAACAATAAATTTCTAAATATTTTTAGATGGAGAGAAGTCCTGTTATTGGATGGGTGTTTCACATAAGGATTCTAAGCTTGCTAATGTTGTTGGCACACGCAGACTTCTACTTCATTCACCATGCGTATCATGTCACTACATCAAAAGGCCCATCGGTGCAGCTGGTATTTGGTTTTGAGTACAGCATACTTATCATCATGATTGCCAATATATTGATTAAGGTAATTAATGTTTTGTTATTAAGAGATATTTATACTGTGATTAGTGCAACCCTTGAAGATTTGTATTTTAGGGTGAAGCAAAAAGTTCCCAGTCATCTCAAAAGAATATGTATATGTAATTGAATAATTTGCTTTTCTTGTATAATAGTGTGTTGATTTTAGTAGTAATGTCAAAATTTTTAACAGTATGTTCTACATGCCATCGACTCTCGTTGGGAAGCACCGTGGGAGAGCAAAGCAGCAGTTCTATTGTACACAGAACTTGCTATAAATTTCTTGAAAGTACTCCTCTATATTGGATTTGTAGCTGTCATGGTCCGCATTTATACTCTTCCGTTATTTGCATTCCGGCCCATGTATGAAACTATGAGGTATGAGATTTGTATTTTGTTATTATTATCAAATAATTGGTTTGTAAAATGATTTAAAATAATTTAATATATTGATATAATATACATATCCTATAATGGTAGCTTTCACGTCCAATGCAATAAAAAAATATTAATAGACAAATTCTCAAAAGAAGATGTTGAAGGTACATTCTATGAACAGTTGTATATTATTATACTTTTTTCATCAAAATTTCCATTATATGAAAATTGCTATCAGCTTCATTTGCATATCCATAGGACACTGATAATTTAAACAATACTTTTAATTATACTATTTATACTTAAAATGTTTAAACATATACAACTCTGTACAGGAGTTTCAAGAAAGCATACAATGATGTGGTCCTCTCCCGACGTGCAATACGCAATATGAACACACTGTATCCGGATGCGACACAAGCAGAACTCGAAGCTGCTGATAATGAATGTATTATTTGTCGAGAGGAGATGCATTCTGGTATGTATACTGAGCATAGTAAACATATTATTGATTAAAACAAGCAGCTGTGATCACAAACAATTACATACGTAATGTACACCAGAAATTTCTAACAAAGGTATGTTTTCAGAGAGCTTAGTTCAGAGAGTTTAGGCAGTGTTGTGCATGAATAATATCACCCAACCATGTACAACAAAGTAACAAACAACCGATATTTTTACTCTAGAAGACATGATTTTGTGGTAAATAACCCAGATTGAGGATAGTTTATGGCTGAGTTGTACCCTGGAGTTATTCATCACTACCATCTGAGGTTCAACAGAATCAATCTATAAAGAATTAATCTATATATATAAAAATGAATTGCTGTTCGTTAGTCTCGCTAAAACTCGAGAAAGGCTGGACCGATTTGGCTAATTTTGGTCTTGAATTATTTGTGGAAGTCCAGGGAAGGTTTAAAAGGTAGATAAATATGAAAATTCTCGGAATTAAATAAAGTTTAGGTCTTTTATTTATCGATTGAGGCACTACGAAGTCTGCCGGGTCAGCTAGTATATTTTATAAAAATTTATATTCATGCTCTGTGCCTCCGTTTAGCATTTATCAGATTGGCTTCGGACACAATTTATAATTATTTTTAGCACTAAAAGTTTTATTTTGCGATACGTAACATGTGATTAGTGAATCAAATCGGTGAATTTCGTGTATCTTGTGACAATCACAGGAAAAAGTATTCGAGATTCTTTATTTTGCAATAGTCTTTAATGAGTCCTTTTGTAATTCAAGTAGGTGGCGTTACGACATTTAAACACCTCCACATTGTAAACACGTAGAAACGCACTTGTGTAGATAAACTACAAGGTCGCTGCAATGTAACTCTGTACCGCTTCATACGTTTTCGAAAACCGAAAGTCGAGGTCACATGTCGTGTTAATGCGTTTTGATATAAAAATATCGCAGGTGTGTTAAATACTGATTTATTAATATGCTTTTAATTTGAAACGTTTTTCAAACATTTGTAAATTTTTTGTCACGTTAAGTTTGGAATGAATTTTACTAAAATCGCATAATATGTTACTCAGTTATAAAGGTCAATGTTAAAGATTATCAGACTTTAATTTTCTTAAATTGCTTGACTTTATTATTTTGTTATAATGAAGCATTCGCATGCTCTCGGTTTTATGGGACTCAAATATGATCACTAACATTCAAGTGCTAATTCCTCTAACATGTCTGACTTCTGTTATAATAGTGAAATAAATTACCCCACCTCTTTTTAATCTAATTTTATGATTTAGACATAAAAATCAGTTCAAAAGTCTCATCACAGATGTATTACTGTGACTGTTAGTAAAATATTTATTTATTATTTTATTTGTTTATTAGTTTTTGGAAGAAACAAAAAATTTTACAAACAAAATATAGTACATACATACACCTGATCTCGATAACAAACTTTTTGTAAATTTTTTTCAAGCTATAGCTTCTATTAGAGATTTATTAAATACACATAAAAGTATAATATCTCGATGCATAAAAGTGATGATTGCTTTATTGTTTGTTGCCTTCACTTTCACAAACAATGGCTTTGTATTATTTATTGTATGTTGTGTAAATATGCCATATGTCTTTTTTATTTATTGCTTAGATGGGTGGACGAGCTCACAACCCACCTGGTGTTAAGTGGTTATTGGGGCCCATAGACATCTACAATGTAAATGCCGCCACCCACCTTGAGATATGAATTCTAAGGTCTCAGTATAGTTACAACGGCTGCCCCACCCTTCAAACCGAAACGCATCACTGCTTCACGGTAGAAATAGGCGGGGTACGTACTCGTGCGGACTCACGCGAAGTACTACCACCAGTATAATGTATATGTGTAATATAATGTATACCACTAGTATTTAATTTTAATGTTGCATATTATTATGTTAATATTTACTATTATGTTATGATACAGGTGCGAAGAAGCTGCCGTGCAACCACATTTTCCACGCAGCGTGCCTCCGCCTGTGGTTCCAGCGCCAGCAGACGTGTCCGACGTGTCGCCTCAACGTGCTGCGCGCGCCCGCAGCCGAGCCCGGCGCCGCGCCCCGCGCCCCCGACGCTGCTCCCCCGCCGCCCCCTGCCGCCGCGCCCGCCCCGCCGCCCTTCCCCAACATGCCGCCCCCACCACGTACGTGTTTTCGTCAATCGTCAGCCTGCGATCTTCATTAGGCAATCGTTAGCAGACCTGGACTGCATTGATGTTTCTGTCAGTTTCACTATAAAATTGTGTAAAACTTGCCATGAATTTCTTTTGAAATGTACTTTAGTCAATAATAATATAGAAAATCAGTACCTACTTACTGTTTAGAAACTTTTAACATTATGTACTTTTTTCACGAAATGTATCAAAAATCTATCCCCTATCAATATGGTATTATCAGCTTAATAGTTACCAACCTAACAGCCCAGGGTAATGAAAAATTAATGTTTTTATTGCATAGATATGTAAACGAACTCATGGTTCACCCGGTGTTAAGTGGGTACTTAAATCCTTATATTTAACGTGAAGGTCACAATGCATGTGTCATAAAGTCCCTTCAGAACAGGCCACAATAAACAGGATGGCTGTATCCGTAACTCAAAACAAAACAGACCATATGTTCATTAGATTAAAAGCTATGTTTGGTCACAGCATTGATGGCGTGGCCCCCGCCGCCGCCACCGCGACCCGCCAACCTCGCCGTACTCACTACTGCCGAGCTGCAACGTATGGAGGGTAACGAACGCCGGAACATTGAGGCTAGATTACAGGTAAACATGTACCATTATATATGTAGGATTGGTAAAAACGAAACGTATGAAAAGAGTGTGGAACGGAGCGTTAAGATGTGAGTGAGAGAAAACGGAAACAAAGGGAGAGGAGAATGACAGAGAAAAGGAAGATGGCGAAGGCGGTATAAAAAATGAGCAAGGCGTAATAAAAGTGTTAATTAATTTTTAATTATTATTATAACAGAAGATTTTGGAACAGTGTAACTTTTATTTTATCTGCTGCGATCCTTATTCTACTTGTATAATATATATGCACATAGAATTTGTAACTTTGAGTCTTCTTACAGTCGCTGAAACTTGACATGGTGTATATAGATCAGTTGGTTTTCAATTGCTAAAAAAATTCTTCTTAACTAATAAAACCCAGTACGATTTTTACGTTTTCGGTGATAATAGCATATGAACGTATGTTAGAGAGAATAAACATTTTATGTAATTATGACGGTGGTTGTCGAGTTAAGAACTCAATCTTCAGGCCACATACCATGTTTATCAGTCTATCTCGCTCACACTTATAAAGTGTCAAAATGGGTCATTTTTTTCCCTCTATCTAAGCTGGTAAACTAGGGGCTTATGCCAGTGTAACCGGGTGAATAGGTGAGCTCACGGGGCTCTAACTTGGTGACGTTGCTAACACTAGCCCTAGCGAGAGCAGTGCTTCGCAGAATCTATCACCGGATCGGAAACTCAGTGAGAAGATCCGGCGAGAAACTCAGTGAGTTGTTTCTGTGGGTTAATTTACTCGCCGAACCCTTCGTCGCAAGCGACGGTTTCGACGAGAACGGTGACCGGTGCTTGTGGTACCTAAAAGCACCGATAGTGCACCGGGAATGCATAATATTATTTCGACAGACCGATTTGCTTCAAAAAATGATTGTACTGTTTTGTAAAAGAACGTTAATTTTTATTAAGTTTTCAAGAATTTTTATCGCCTTACCAAAACGTCGTAAACAAGTATTTATCAACATGCCTAATAAGTGTACCAGGTGACTGTGAGTCACACGCGAATATAGGTAGTAATATCGATAAGACCAGAGGCGAGTTTATGCGAGTTTAATAAGAACACGTAACCCTAATTTTAAATTAAAATTGTATCCCTCGATATTAACAATTTAAAAAGATAAATCATTCATATTTAATTCGTTATACTGTTTAAGTCTTCTAAGGAAACGTTTGCAGTTCATCACGTATTTTTATTATTTTTATAGTTGTACAAATTTTTTTTCTCGATGCGATAGTTAATTGTTGGTCACGCATATTGTTTATGCTTAAAATGGATGTATCTCCATCGGTGTCTCTACAGGTCTAATATCAAACAGTTCATCGCTTTCACGAAATATTGGTTAATAAAGTACCTATAGCGATTGAGTATATGCTATCTTGAAACTTCACGACCTACAGTAAAAAAACCTCAAGTATATTAACATCCGTGTAAACATTTTGTATTTATTTCATTCACTATACATAAGTCAATTAAAACAGTGTGCTTAGTGCTAGTTTTTTAACATTCTTGATAGCGTAAAAGTTAGCTCATATTTGTATGGAATGGTAACGTTTGCCTACGTTTGCCGCTAGGGGCGCTGTTTCAACTGCATACAAAATTGGGTTAACTTTTACGCTATCGAGAACGTTAAAAAACTCGCACTAAGCACACAGACCGTTTTCACTATTCTGAATATTGTATTCATTACTACCTGACCCGGCAGACTTCGTAGTGCCTCAATCGATAAATAAAAGACCTAAACTTTTGTATAAAATAAACTTAAAACAAACAAAAGGAATCCGTCCGACGAAGGACACATCAAAGGGAAAACAAAATTGTTAATTTTATTTAATTCCTAGCATTTTCATATTTATCTTTACCTTTTAAACCTTTTCTGGACTTCCACAAATAATTCAAGACCAAAATTTGCCAAATCCGTCCAGCCATTCTCGAGTTTTAGCGAGACTAACGAACAGCAATTTATTTTTATATATATAGATTTGTTACATAGCTATTACGCAACTGGTACATTTAACAGCTAGAGATGTTTTACCGAGCCAACTATTGTATTGGTTGCAGCTGCTACGCGAGATCCAGGCCATGCTGGACGCTTCTGTTCTCCTCATGCAGCAGTACTCTACAGTCGTCGCTAACTCTGCTCAGAATAACGTTAGTGTTGCCACACAAACCGAAACGTAAGTGAACCATTGATTCAATACTATTGCGATATTGGCCTTAGTGTTCACGGGATGGTGCCAGGGCTGCGGTGAAGATCTTGTACTTCGAATACCAAGAGAGCCTAACCACATTTAATGTATACTCGTATTATTGTAAATCCAAGATTAACTGACAATTGTCATATTATAATAGGGTACACCTAATATTTTTTTATTGTTTAGATGTGTGACAAGCTCACGTCCCACCTGGTGCCAAGTGGTTGCCGGAGCCCATAGACATCTATAACGCAAATGTGTCACCCACCTTAAGACATAAGTTCTAGGGTCTCAGTATAGTTATAACGGCTGCCCCGCGCTTCAAACCGAAACACATAACTGATTCACGGCAGAAATAGGCAGGGTGATGGTACCTACCCGTGCGGACTCACGAGACGTCCTACCACCAGTAATTACGCAAGTTATAATTTTGCGGGTTTTATTTTTATTACACAATGTTATTCCTTCACCGTGGAAGTTAATCATGAACATTTGTTGAATACGTATTTCATTAGAAAAATTAGTACCAGCTTGGGATTCGAACTCCGTGCATCGCTCAACGGTGCATCGCTCAACACGAATGCACCGAACGTCTTATCCCTTAGGCCACGACGACTTCAATACAATGCAAATTCAAATATTTCAGTCAACCCGACCCTGTCTCTGAAGTTAAAGTAAAAACTGAACCTGATGTAGTCCCCAGTACATCTGAGTACAGGTCGCCATCTCCGGTGCCGTCGACCAGCAAACAGGAAATCAAACCTGAGGAGTTGTCCGACGCAACTGATTCCGATAGGTATGTTATAGCAGACAGTTACCATCAATGTATCCTAGATATTAATTACTTAATTAATACTTAAATACGGTCGATTAAATGATGTGGTAATAAGCTTAAAACATTTGTTGTAACATGATTGTAAAAAAAATTCAGGATAATAATGATTTAAAACAGTTTTCAAATTTCTTTGGTTTAGAGCTTAGAAATATTACTAATGTCATTATTAATCATAAGGTTCACATACTTTTGTTATTGGACAGATATTGAATAGAATTAGGTCATGCAAGCATCATGATTGGCCGAGCCTTTGCCACCTGCCCTGGTTAAACTGAAAAGGCTACCGGGCCACCAGTAATCTTTCATAAAAAAATTCTATCATCATGATTGTACTAGTAGTTATCGGTAAACTCTTGTTTACTGATATAGTTGGTGGGATATAAATGTCATTTCATTATCAGTTCCTTGACTGCTTCAAATCAAATCTTAAGCTATATACTTTGGCTATTTGTGCTTACACTTTGGTATTGGTGGTTTAAACTTTTGTAAATAACAAAAGTTAGGGATTAATTTAATTTCAAATAATTTAATATGTAAGAAAACATTGTTTCTTAAACAAACATTTTTTTTTTTCAGAGTCAAGACTGACGCTGACACCGAGGAGTTGAGAAGACGTCGACTGCAAAAGTTTACCTTGGATAAATGAAGCATATTTTGTATTATTATGTTTGAGACTATCATTGATTTTCATTATTACATTATTTATGTACAAAGTGTCTTGATATGTGTAAGCATTGTGTATTCTTGATCGGTTATGATTATGGAGTCGTATTTATGTTCTGTAAATATAATGAATACATAAATACATTACATACTATTTTTCTTGGTAACCCTATCAATGCTTAATGTTGCCAAAATAAATCAAAGTGAAACAATTATTTATTTTCTTTAAACTAGTCTATTTATTAAATATTACAGAATTAACTATTATAAAACGCATTTATATATCCGTAGACTTTGTTGTTATAATTTTCAAGGACCGGCATGCCACTAAAGTATCTGCTTGAATCATAGAGTTTCATGTTGTTTTTGCAGTACCATACATTTTTTATGCCTTCATTACCATCAACATTCAAAGTGTTAAGTTGTAATACTCCGAAATGATATAGTTGTCCATCCGTTTGAATACAATTGACGAATATCGGCTCTGGCAGGTCTTTGACATCCTCCTGAAAAGTTAAAATACTATTTGAATCTTGTTTTATTAAGTAACACTAAACTTGTGTCACCTAATTGAGAATGGTTTAACATGACTCATAAATAAATTATTATTCAAATTAAACTTCAAAATGTTTATAATATGCTGTGAATACTTTGAATGGTTCGGAAAGAGACTAAAAGGTAATATCTGTAATGTGGGCGTTAAGTGTTCAAAGCACAACCTTGACATACTGGATTTAATGTTAATATAACTCTGATAAAATAATTAATTTTGGGGAATGGAAGAAATTAGCGAGAAATTAGTGAAATGTGATAACTAGTGAAGGCCTGGCCTGCCGCCTGCTGCTACATTAGGAACAAAATTTTTATTGAAATGGTTGTTTTGGTTGTAAGTCGTCGTTAACTAAAAGAGAGATCGCTCGGTGCATTCGTATCAAGCGATGTGACTATGCCGGTGTTGGAATCCCGCAGGCAAATACGGATTTTTCTAATGAAATGCGTACTTTACAAATGTTCACGATTGACTCCCACTGTGATGGAATAACATCGTGCAATAAAAATCAAACCCGCGAAATTATCATTTACGTAATTGGTGATGATAGGACCGCACGGGTACCACCACCCTATCTATTTCTGCCGTGAAGCATTAACGAGTTTCGGTTTGATGGGTGTAGTAGCAGTGTATTATAAAAACGGAGTCCTTAGAAATCATGTCTCAAAGTGGCGGGATTTACGTTGTATATGGGCTCTGGTCATCACTTAACACCAGCTGGGTCTTGAGGTCGTTGATCCAAGCAATAAAACAATATTTGCCTCACTGATGGAAGAGGTTACAGGAAACTACAAGAAATTGAATATTCATATGTGTATTTACAATTTCTCAACAACTCTAATCACTCTAATCAACGCTATTAAGACATCTCAACTGAAAACCTTGTTGCTTATACTGTCATCTATACCGGCCGAGTCTATGGTAGATTGGAGTGACAACCCTATCTTCAACCAAAATACTATCATATTGCAGTCAAAGGAATATGAGAATGATTTGAGGTTCTACAATTAACCCTAAAGCATATTTTACAAATGGTTTTACATACCCCATGCATTTGTTTTGCATAAGAGCTGGCCACATTGAATGCATGAGTAAGAGATCGACCTAAGATCTGATTCTGCGTGACTGGTTCCCCATATATGTTTTTCACTTCAGTCCTGTTAAAATGTAACCATGTTGTATGAGGATGCTTTACTTGAACCTTTTGTTTAAAAGCTGAAAATAAAATACTTTATTTAAATGAATTAATACACAATAGACGATTATTAATTTGTATTGGTCGGTGTGGTTGGTTAGGATACGGCCACCCTGACGGTGAGTAGTCACCATTGCTCATGGACATCAGCAATGCCAACACAGCCCTAGCCTTGTTTACTGCAAAATCTGCTGTTGCTGGTATTTGTATTAATATTAAAGTATACAAAATCAACTGTAACTGAAAGCGAGAATGAATACATTTTAGGTTAGGTTTAGTACTCCATTACTAGTGGAATTATGGTATACTTCAGAACATCAATACTTACGATACTGGCTGGTATTATTGTAAAAATGATTATGTGGCATGGTGATAGTATGTTTTACAGGGTACAAGCTTGGTATTTCAACAAAAGGTATGTCTTTCTCAACTTCATGTTGAACAGGTTTAGCGCTTGTAACTAGTATGTTTGATACATCCTGGAACTGTAATAGGTCATCTTCTTTCTCAAATATTGTTGTACATTCAACATCATTTACAACATATTTGTTTTGGGTCACTTCTCTATCACTGGTTTTCTCAACAAGTTGTAGTAATTTGTTAGTTAATATTTGGCTAAAATAAATATGTTTAGATAAAAAATATTTTGTATTCTATATTACTAGTACTAGAAGAGATTAACATAGGATATTTTCACAGATTTCTTAAATATTATATGTATAATATAGATAATTTGTACAATCAATAACTATTACAATAAAATAAAAAAGAATGAACATTATTTATTTTTTTGAACCTGGAAATTATGCACTCTCATGATATTTAATATTCCTATGATATTCAAATAAGGTTGTGTCATAAAATTAGAGAACTGTTGCTATAGTTTATGTATTTTTTTGTAAACATAGGTCTTTTTTTAAACTTTCCACGTTTTTATTATTAATCAAATGTTTGCAAACTGGACTATAATTAAAATAAAATAAAACTATTTTTGACAGAAAAATCTGGCTGAAATAAAACACATATTCATAGTACAATAAAGAACTGGGAGAATATTACATGAAAGTAGAATATTCTATTTAGCAAAATTTATACAGCCCTCAGAGTTATCTAGCTTTTACTAATTTTACTTATAATTATTGTCTCAAAATTATCTTTATAATATGGCAAGCTCTAAGGTGCATGTTTACTTGAAGTTTCTAAAACATACTATGAGATTGACTATGGCATTTTTTTCTATGGGGAAATGCATGTTTCAATTCACAGCTAGCATTAACAAAATGCAGCAGTAGCTACATATAAACAGTAGATATTTGACAATGTCTAAATTATTATTGCATAACAACATTTTCAGGATAAGTTTGCATATTTTTTTATTTGTTATTTATTGCTCAGATGAACAAGCTCACAGCCCACCTGGTGTTAAGTGGCTATTAGAGGCCATAGAGATCTACAAAGTAAATGTCGCCACTCACCTTGAGATATGAGCTCTAAGGTCTTAGTATAGTTACAACGGTTGTCCCACCCTTTAAACCGAAACGCATTACTGCTTCACGGCAGAAAGAGGTGGGGTGTTGGTACCTACCCGTGTGGACTTACAAGAGGTCCTACCACCAGTAACTACGCAAATAAAATTTGCAGAAATTTAGCTTTTGGAGAAAAGTTTAGCTCAGCTTCATATTTTAAAATGTTATTATATTCAGGTAAAAATTATATGTTCATTCATCATATTGCTCAGCTCTTACATGTATTAAAAAAAAGTAAAATTTTACTTTACAATTTTATTGTTTTGTATTTTTTAGTTATCTTTACTTACTTTTATAATGCAAGTTTTTTTATTATAAATTGAAAATAATCTAAATCTAATCTAAAATTTAAACAAGAATTATGTATTTGCTCTTTTATTTTCTGTCTACCTACTGTATTTTTTTTAACTTAGGTAATTTAATAGGCATTCTTATAATCACTGTAAACTTTTATTAAACTTAAATTATACATAAAGCATACAGTTTTTTTGTACTCACTTTCGTCTGCTATCAGTGATGCCCAGTATTCGACGAAAATTATAAGCTGGTCGCTGTGGGTCTTTGATTTTCGGTAATTTTTTCTGCTCACAATCAAAGACATTAGCTGTTAATATGGCTTTTTTTACGTTTTCGTGAATAGCAGCCGGAGCTGGTAGTCGTGATAGTTCTTCGATTTTTGGAGGAAGTTTGTCTTGAGCTATTATAGTTTTAGTTAGGACCTGCGCTTGCGATAAACCTTCAAGAAGGACGTTGTCTTGGTTTAGCGTGAGACACGGTTTCTCTTTATAATTTGGATGATTCTTGTCTAAAGGTAACGGTTGTTCGTAAGGTCCTATAATTTGTATGCTGTAACAGAATTCTTTGAATGTGAAGACAGTTGATACATTAAATTAAATGCTATTTAATAATTTTTTCGATTTGCACATACTGTTCGCGTTCTTCCCGTTTTCCTTTTACGAATTCAAGAGCATCTTGAACCTCAATACCCATATCCTTCAATTTTTTTTCAACGCCCGTGTCAATTGGTATTCTTTTGCCTTGAACTAGCCAATGTTTTTTAAACATAAAATCTATATGTTGTCTTTTTAATGCCTGCGTAAGTCTCATTTTGGATTATTTTCTATAATTTTCAAGAAAGCTCAAAATATAACCTACTTGTTTTGATTTAATTCATCGACTGTATGATAGGCAAAGGGGTAATGGCCCATACTAGATTTTTTTTGTAACACATATCGAAAGCATGTTTGATGTCATGTAAAGTACTGTGATTACTGAATGAAATGAACAAAAATAATTAAAACACATAGATGGTGTTGGTTAATATGAAATTAAGTAGCCGTCAGATAGCTATGTGGAGTACTGAGGTCAATAGCAGCGAAGCTATTCGCTAGGTTACAAATAAATAGACTTTTCGATTACCACATTGCCAGGCTTTTGTTGGGAGTCCACAGAGGCGGATTATCCGTAAGGCAAACTAGGCAGCGTGTAGTTACAAGGGGCGCGCGAGCTTAAAATCTTCTTTATATAATATGAAAATGAATTGCTATTCGTTAGTCTCGCTAAAACTCGAGAACGGCTGGACCGATTTGGCTAATTTTGGTCTTGAATTATTTGTGGGAGTCCAGAGAAGGTTTAAACGGTAGATAAATATAAAAATGCTCAGAATTAAATAAATAAAAAATTTTGTTTTCTCTTTGATGTCGCCCCCATCGGACGGATACCTTTTGTTTGTTTTAATTATTTTATACGAAAATTTAGTTTTTTTATTTATCGATTGAGGCACTACGAAGTCAGCTAGTATTTAAATAAATAAAGAAAATAACATATCGACGATTTTTTCGCAGTTATAACGTCATATTCCATTCGCGCATTAGCGTAAGTACAAGGGTCCTGGTCTACTAAAACTACTGGTCTACGGTTGGATCATATAACGTCATCGTAATTGCAAAACCAACTAGTTAAAATTTATAGTATTATGATGGCCATTTATGTCCGGTACAGGTGCGCCGATAAAGTGATTGCCTAGGGCACTCTGGACCTATAATCCGCCACTGGGAGTTCAGCTATTATATTTTATAAGCTTGTGCACTTCCACAGATATAAGATTATACTGAACTATTTATAGGTACATATTATATGTTTAAATCCGAAGGAACACCTAAATTAATAAAATAAAACAATTCTTGCAGGTATTCGCATCTCACTTTCCGCCAAAAAGTCAACAGTGGCTATTTTATTATTAGTTTTAACAGTAGTGTGGTAGTTTAATTTGTATTATTGTATTATATAATCATTTCTTCTTTTTTCCCTACCTACTCGCTGGTAGGCTATAAGAGAATTTGCTAACACTACTCTAGCAAGAGCAGTGTTTCGCAAAATCTACCATCGGATTGGAATCGCGACCCACTGAGAAGATCCGACGAGAAACTCAGCAGTTATACAGTCATGCTTTAATCAACCAACTACTAAGTAGAAATACAAATCTAAGATCGATGAATTGAAAAATCGTTTTTTTAACGAAGCTGATATTATGCGTGTGCTAAATTGCGGCCACATTTTACGTTATAGCTTAAATATTCGTCTCGAATTGTTAAAATAAAACTTCCGGCATCGTTATTCAAAAAGTATTTAAAGTCTATGATCCGTACTTAGATAATATTTCGTCTGATTACTTGATATATGTACTGAAATGTATATTTTATGAAATAAATGTGAATAAATATATCGCGATTGTATTGCCAATGCTTAATCTAATTTAAAAAATGATTATAATCCATCCAATCATTGACAATGTTTCATTATCTTTTACTCAACGAACTTATTAGAAGTCGAAATTGCTAAGCATGCCCCTATGAAAAAGTTGTATTGCGTATATTTTTCCCACCACCATTACCTGGCAAGCCTACTTAAACTAGTAAGCTCAAACCGGTGTTGGCATCGATCTGCCATTATCTTATTAAATAACTATAATTTGATTGTAAATTTTACAATACAAGTGTTTTTGTCTAAGAAAAAATCAGAGCAACCAAAGACGTGTGCCAGAGGTATTGACTGTACTATTACGTTTAATGGAGAAGGCTGATTTTCGAATGATGGCAATCACATTATTCTTCTACCTTGAGCCCGTCACAGAATCTTCCTTGCCAACGAATGCCAACGAAGGAAAAAAAAATGATATAAGGAAAGATGGAGTTCTTTGCGGCAATATTCTTTGAGCCGTTCCTATATTTTTTATTTATTGTTTGTATATATTTTATTTCTTAGGCTCACAACCTACCTAGCTTTAAAGTATACCTATTTTGACTTCATATTGTGAATTCCGCCACCCACATTGGGACATGAAATCTTAATTCTCATTTAAATAGTACGCGGGTTACAAATTCTCATGGCACAAACAGGCAGGGGGGGGGGCACTCAGGTTACGCATACCCCAGGAGGCGTACGAGAGCTTAGCCCGTAGACATATGAACACTGACAGTGTGAATGCCATGATCCATTTTATTGTATAATTTGCTGTAGATTTTAATATTAAATATGGTCATATTACATTGCTTTCCCCTCAATGGCTTCACCTTTAATACCGGAAGACATGATGCTGTTTTTTTGTTGGAAATAAGTATGACGCTAGTAAATTTTCGTGCAGCCTCACTGTACGCCCTGTTACAAATAACGAGAGTTTTACCCGCTCAATACTTAGTCTGTATTTTATGGAACGAAGTTCCTTTTGCGACGATGTGGAGGGGTACCCTAACCGGGAAAAAACGTCCGTAACGTAAGATTTTTATTAGTAATGCACACAGTGTACGACTTAGCTTTGTAATAATGTACAAATTAGTAATGCACACAGTGTACGACTTAACTTTGTAATAACGTATAAAAAATAACATATTTTTTTATCTAATTGACCACGATCTCAGAACGTTCGTTTGCGCAATACACTAACTCTTATGCAAAGAACTGTGAATGAAGTGTACCACAATAAGTTCGCACGTAACCGAATGACCGTGGATTGTTGCGAAACCTCCAGTTTTATTTCCTTTATGCCTCGAATAGAACTTAAAATTAATATTTTTATAATAAGGAACTTCGTTCCTATCCGGTGTACCACGACACCACACATATTTTTTGTTCCAAATAGCTTTTCGTCTGTTTTGTAATTTTACGTATGCAAGTATTCTAGTATAGTATTGAAGTAGCGATAATTAACGGGAATGCTACGAGCTCATGAGAAAACGGTCATTACCAATGTCTATGTGTGGTCGTGACTATAAGGACTACTTTCAATTTCCCCTGGGATACCCTTTGAAGCAGTAAAAAGGTTCGATTAATTAATAAACAAAAAGGCAATTCTATTTTCGTAAATATATATATTTAAATTTATATCTTCCATCAATACATACGACGATATTTAGATAAACATCAATATTTATGCTTTAGTTACAAAATACCACTTATCACTTCTTGATGGCGTTATTTAAAAATTACATTAGGTTTTCAAAATTCCTTCTACATTGTTTTTGGAGAAGTAAGATATACTATTGAATTCTGTTTTATAAATTACAAATAGGTACACACAGATCGGGGAAGACATCGAACGGTTAATGTAAGCTTTCTAAACTCTAAGGAGCACCTTAAAAAAAGTACCAAGTTCCTTTAAATTGCACGTTACAAATGGTATGGTATTGATGGAGGAAAAAAAGAACTTTACAAAATAAAACTTATCGAAATATCTTCGGTGTATGCTAGGAGCTATAAAAATTGAAAATAATACAACTAATATAATTTCATAACTAGTAAGACATTACGTAATCCCTTACCACGAGATCAGCGACTTGTTCACGTCACCTGGTATTAATTTTTTTACTGGAAAAATTTAAAGAAATTTCGCGATGTCTAGTTTCGTTAATTTAACATATTTTATTTGATTTTTACATGATTTCAGTAATATAGAACTAGACATACGAGAAGTCCCTTTGGTAATTTTGTTTTGTTTACCAATTGGTGGGAATTTAGATTTAAAAATCTTTGGACTCAATTTTCTGTATTTAAAAAAAAAACAAATTGTTTAATGTCTCTCATTCTGACTACTGCATGCGCATTCAGCGACTCAAACATACAACACTTACAATCTATTTGTATCATATAATAAAATACCTAATTAACTTTAAAAAGTAACAAAATTAACTTATATTTACAATTATAATTAAAATAATAGCAGAATTTAACTATTTTTAGCACTAGGTTTTCATTTTCATAGTCCGACGTTATGCGTAGATATTATTCAGATTTTTGTAAAATATTGATAGGTTAGTTTAGGAAACTTGGCGTGTATTAAATAAATAAACTTTTTGTAGTCAACCCAAAACTCAAAAGCGTTTGTCATATAATAAGGCACCGTTGGTTAAAATGATGGTATTCACAAATCAANAATTTAACTATTTTTAGCACTAGGTTTTCATTTTCATAGTCCGACGTTATGCGTAGATATTATTCAGATTTTTGTAAAATATTGATAGGTTAGTTTAGGAAACTTGGCGTGTATTAAATAAATAAACTTTTTGTAGTCAACCCAAAACTCAAAAGCGTTTGTCATATAATAAGGCACCGTTGGTTAAAATGATGGTATTCACAAATCTAAGGGTTCAAAGTTTCACACGGTGATGTCGCTTATCATAAATTTGATTAGTGTGTTAATAATTTCTTTTGTGACTGCATGAGATCAAATCCAAAAATGTTACGTTACTACACTATATTAAAGTAAAAATATGGTGAGTTGTGTATCTAATGTTACTGTTGAATATAAAAGGATTTCAAAAATACCGTTTCGGATATTCTTTATATTTATTTAAAAACGTATCTTAATATGTTTGACAAAGGGTATAATTTTGAATACTATCTAGTTTATCGACGGGGGGTCGTGAGGGATCGCAGCAAGAGCGAGCCGCTACGGAGCCTTCAATCGTCGTCTTTCTTCTCCATTTTGGGTTCGTACATCGCGTGAAGCTGCTCCGGAGATATTCTGATAAAATAAAGAAAATTATTTTAATTACTGTTATAAAACCTCCACAATGCAGCAATATAAATTTTGATTTCGAGTACAGTTAATGAATTATTGAATGACTATTTCAAATACTGTGCTGTATTAGTGAAACAGTTATGGACTTTATTTTTAGTGTGGATTGGCCGACGTGTTTTCGGCCCATCATCCTGGTTTTTTTCTCTTACGGCTGCATTATTGATGTGCTGCGAAAACTTAGCTCTACAATTGTTTTTTTTTCCACCTGGTGTTAAGTGGTCACTGGAGTCCATGGACGTCTACAACGTAAATGCGTCACCCACCTTGAGATATAAGTTCTAAGGTCTCAGTATAGTTACAACGGCTACCCCACCCTGCAAACCTAAACGCATTACTGCTTCACGGTAGAAGTAGGCAGGGTGGTGGTACCTACCCGTGCAGACTCACCAGACGTCCTACCACAAGTAATTACGCCAATAATAATTTTGCGGTTTTTAATTTTTATTACACGATGTTATTCCTTCACCATGGAAGTCAATGGTGAACATTTATTAAGTACGTATTTCAATATATACAATCCATGACGTAGAATAAAAAAACTAACCCGAGCAGGCTCTGCAGATCGCACACGAAGCGGTAGACATATCGTTTTCCGGCCGTCTTGTGGATGATGTTCTTATCGTAGTAGTACCGGAGACCTCGAGATAGTTTCTCGTAGTTCATCTTGGGCTTATTCTTACGGATGCCCCAGCGTCTGGCCACCTATAACAATAACATCGTAGGCACCTATGTATTTTTGGGTACTATACCAAAAAAGAGGGACATAAAAACTAAGCTAAACTAAGACTATAGGTATCATGTTAATAAAATATAAGTTATAACTATAGATGAATACCGTAAAATGGGGGGAATCGGGATACTTTTGAAGTTCGGCATTGATTTTTGTCGTTTTTTTTTGTAGTTATAGTTATAAAACCGAGATCATAATGGTTCCGGTAGTTTAAATTTTCATTTATAGTGCATTAAGATATAGTTTATTATAGAATAATCATAAAAAGTAACAAAAAACTTTGATAATGATTAAATGAAACTATTTAATATTCTTAAACACTAAATAAAAGTCATTTTCAGTTCTACAAAGCTAAATCTCTAACAACCCAACAAAAATATTGTGACATTCCAGATTTATCCCTATTCTACCTTTAGTCCCTATTTTCAATCTAAAATCTAATATTTGACAGTCGGTGACAAAAAAATGCTTAACATAAAAGTCAAAATTTCACACTGTTAATCTTTATGGTAATGAATGGAAAAAAGATCTATACATATGGTGAAACTTACCTCATCCGGGTCGGTGAGTTTGAATTCCCATCCGTCTCCTGTCCAGGAGATGAATCCCTGACAGTTCTTGTCGGTGAGAAGCTCCAGCAAGAACTGCCACAGCTGTATAGGCCCTGAACCTGAAAACGTAGAGCACAGTTGCTTTACGACATACGGGCTATATTTGTGTACAGAAAGAAGGAAGACTTGTAATTTTACTATGAATGTTGTGAAAAGGTTCAATTAGCATATTCATTATTTAAAAACATATCGATCAATGTCGCGTCACGTAAATCGAGTATCTCTACAATTTAGAATTGAATTCGAATTCGAATAAATTCGAAATATAAGTTCCAAATTTTATACTGCACAGGTACATATATCTAGTTTGTAAATATCAAGTATTTTAAGTATTAATATATCAAGTATATTTTTTTATTGCTTAGATGGATGGACGAGCTCACAGCCCACCTGGTGTTAAGTGGTTAGTGGAACCCATATACATCTATAACGTAAATGCACCACCCACCTTGAGATATAAGTTCTAAGGTCTCAGTAGAGTTACAACGGCTGCTCCACCCTTTAAACCGAAACGCATTACTGCTTCACGGCAGAAATAGGTAGGGTGGTGGTACCTACCCGTGCGGACTCACAAGAGGTCCTATCACGAGTATAAGTATTCTCAAGTATCGATATTGTTAGTATTGGGTTACCAGTAAAACAAGGTCCGGAAGCGGGGTAGGGGAGCTTGTCCTGCGGTATGAGCGCGTGTTGCTCGGCGGGCCACTCGTTCCACTCAGCGCACGCGCCGCCGTACTCTGGCGTGTAGCTCTCGCCGTAACCTTCACCGTACCTTCCACCGGCACCTGGGAATACAATATTTACTAATAATATATTCTTTTTCTACATTAAGACTACAATAGCTACGGCATTGGTTAATTAAATGTAATCACGAATCAATTATTTCAATTTAGTATTTTTCAGAACGTAGATCTTTAAATATATAACACCTACTATACCTAGTATACCTAGTAATACCTATTAACACCTATCTTCTATCTACCTTACAGTCCACAAACGTTCACTACTGGACATAGGTCTTTTCCAAGCCTAAGCACAACGATCGGTCCCGAGTTGCCTGCATTCAGTGGATTCCCGCGACATTCAATAGATGCGACAACCCATGCTACATCTTCCGGTATGCGGTTGCCGCTTTTGAGCCTCAAAGGCCATCTGTGTGCTTAGGGCGAGTATTTTAACTTTCTCGATAGCGTAAAAGTTAACTCAATTTTGTATGCAGTTGGAACAGCGCCCCTAGTGGCAAACGTAGGCAAACGATCCCATTCCATACAAATATGAGCTAACTTTTACGCTATCGAGAACGTGAAAAAACTCGCACTAAGCACACTAAGCACACTCTACGAGTAATGTGTCTTGCCCACTGCCACTTCAACCTCGCAATCCTTTGGGCTGTATAGTTTATCATGGTTCTCCTGCGAATCTCATCATTACTGATTTCATCTCGCAGAGAGATTCCGAGCATAGCTTTGTCCATTGCTCTTTATTTGATCCTGACTCTTCTGATAAAGCCCATAGCGAACGACTACATCTCACTGCCATATGTCATCGCTAGTACCAAGCACTGGTCAAAGACTTTCGTCTTGAGAGAAGTAGCCTCTATTACTGATCATTTCAATATTTTTGAGAAAATGATTTATTACTCTAATTACACGATTCACTTTATTACTCAATTAATTCGTCTTCATTCAATTTATATTTTGGCCAAGTTCGATGCACTGTAGTTCATAAATAGCGTTAACACAAAACGAGACTAATTAATGCATGCACTATCATCTCATCACCGTAGTGTTCCCCACAAGAAACGTGATCCAAATTAATGACAAGTTGAAATGATTATCTAATTTAACGAGTTTGTGCGTTGAAATCGTACACCGCCATTAATTTAGGAATGACCAACTCCTTTTAATTGTTGTCTTCAGATCTTTTATAATGTTGACTTGTCCTGTCTCTTTTGATAGAGCGATATTTATGTAGCGACTGTTGACTTTCGTTTATTTTGTAGCTGGTTTGACTTTTGTGACAGCTTCTATCAACAAATTTGCGTTGATTTTTCTTAATCATTTTGTTAAAAGTTAAATTAAACGAAAGTGAGTATTAAATTTAAAGAAAGCTATGAATAAAATTTAAATTAATTTGAAATTAATAATTAATTTAAATTATTTAAAGAAAGCTATTAATAAAATTACTTCATCTACGAATACCTTATACAATTATGTAACTAATAAAGTGAAGCTTTTTTTTTAATTGCCCTTGTAGGCAAACGAGCATACGGCCCACCTGATGGTGAGTGGTTACCATCGCCCATGAACATCAGCAATGCCAGGGGCAGAACCAAGCTACTGTCTACCGTTAAAAGCTGAGCTTACCTCTGGGATACGGCTTCGTATATGCATGTGGTTGGTACTTCGGTTCGTGTGTGAGTAGAGGCTGCGTGTGCGCATGCGCGTGGTGGTAATATTCCTCGAGGTAGGGCTGTGCTGTGGGCGCGGGCGCCGGCGGATACTCCGGCTGGTAGTACTCGTCTAAAGGGGAGGAGGCCGCGGGCGCGGGAGGGGGTGCAGCGCCGCCGCTCGATTCCGTGTAACCATATGCATTGGTGTCACGAGGACCGCCCGTAGTATAACCTCCTGTAAATAAACGAAATTCATTTAGTATTTTGTACTGAAAGCGACACTAAAACCTTCTTTTTGGGCACGAGAATGCGATGAAAGCGATCACTTTGATAAAGGTCTTCAAAAATCTCTTGATAATACTTTTGGTTCTTAACGTTGATTGGCGGACACATTCGTAGCTCGTGAAGTAAAGTAACTTTACCCTTCCATTCTAAGCTTATTCTTTAAGACTTGCAAACGACTTTTTATGCTTGTTCTGGATAAGCACAGGAATTGAATGTAAAGTAATGAAGTGGTACTTGATGAGAACCCATCAACCGGCTACGTGGTAGAAACAGACATGATGTTACAGACCCGTATCAGGGTCACATGCTCTACAACGATGTCCGCTGGCTAAAATAGAACTATTTCGAGATATTGCACTAATCGAAATAATAATAATAATAATTTATTTATTTCTCTCTTAAAGATATAGATACAAATAGAAATTAACCTTTTAATTTATTTTGTAAGCCTTTGAAAGAGCTGAAGTCTGTACTAGGTTCAAAGACCTGTATTATTGATCTCCAGGCTCCCTCCTTCTTAAGCTAGATTAGGTTAGGTTAAGTCGTGAACAGATGCTGCGGACTAGTGTTGAGAGATCATTACGTGTTATCATTTAAGAAGGTCATTATGCACGCTCGTGTGTGTGTGTGTGTGAAATAGATGATTGTGGTTTATTCCATGACGCACATTTTTTGTAAAATCAGTGTTTGCATATAGAGTGCGAGACGGGTCGTGCGCGGGGCACCGAAGCACGACCGTTTCGGTTCACGGCGCGCCCTTTGTTCTGCGCGTGCACGGTCGGACCGTGCCCCCTCCCCTCGCCCCAACTCACCTCCCTCCCCCCTCCCGTCATTCGCTCATGACATCAGAATGTGCTTTGATCACCATCCACCATATTCGAAATATAAAATTCGAATTTTAAATTATTCAAGAAGAACTGGTCTTCTTCTTACATCTATCTCTTTCGCTACCAGAGCAGAGCTTATTGGATACGCTGTGCTTATGCATAGAGCATTAGAAGAGATAATTCTTTCAGTGTATCACGTGGTTCTAGAATGAGCTTCGACCTATGCCTATTTCTGCCGTGAAGCAGTAATGCGTTTCGGTCTGAAGGGTGGGGCAACCGTTGTAACTATAGGTACTTGAGACCTTAGAACTTATATCTCAAGGTGGGTGGCGCATTTAAGTCGTAGATGTCTATGGGCTACGGTAACCACTCAACACCAGGTAGGCTGTGAGCTCGTCCATCCATCTAAGCAATAAAAAAACCCTTCTCATTATTTCTTGATTACTGTGTCATCGCCTTCATGAAATTAAAGGAGTTCTAAGCGGTCGACAATGGTTTGCCCAGTTCCCGTCACCAAATCCCATAGTTAAGTAAGTGCGTTTTCTACAGAAGTAATATGTACTGGGTTTCCACCATACTACTACTCTGCCTATTCTATCGCGAAGTAGTCAAGCGTTCGGTCTTGAAGGATGGAACAGACGTTATACTACACAATTAAGAGTTAGCGTCTCTGGGTGGGTTGCACTCAGCAGTCACTTAACACCAGGTGATCCCTAAGTGTGAAATAATAACCATGAGAACGTTATAGAAACAACACCATAGAATAACCGTAATAAATAAATAACCATCAGATACTCGTATAAATGCACGACTAGAAAAGCTGTATTGTTCCAGAGTTTAAACTGTCTACTTGAAATCATGTTGTTTTTCTTCTTGGACGACTATTTTCAAGGTCTCTTTCTTCGCCTGGTAAGAAACTAGTAAGAACTACGTGTCCGGTTAGATAATTTTAAAAACGCGAAATTTAAAAAACAAATTCTACATGTCGACGTTTTTTTTTTAAATCTGGCTACGTTATATTTTCCCAAATATTAATTAGGTTTTTTTTTGTATATTTGGGTTTTTCAAGTTAATTAACTATATGTTCCATATCAAATAATAGAAGTCAGTGAATTATTTTAAATTAACTACATGTTGTATATATAGGATTGGTTACTACGACAAACCGGATAAAACAATTGAGCGACATAATTAAAACTCCTTTTATGGTTTATTAACGCGTTTTAGCATTTAGAATCCTTTTACGGCTTTCGTGGTGGATATTTAATTGTAAAATCTACCGTCAAATTTTTCATAAAAAAAAAGTCTCGACATTTAGGTTCCTTTGCCCACAATAGTTCTAATTACGTTTACAATTCACGGAAACTGAAGAAAATACTTAAGTAACATTTCATCAATATGAGATTGATTATGCAGCATCTGCGGCCAAGATAATAAGAACATATTGAACGGGAAAAGAACAACGGATAAATTCAAAAGAACGTAAGAGACGATACAGGGTAAGGCTGTTGGAAGACCTCAGGATTTTTTTCCTACCTATGCTGAGCCTTGAGAGGCTATATCAGCTTCTCCTTGACGTGTAGGTGAGCTCAGGGGGCTCAAACCGGGTGTCTTGCTAACACTGACCCTAGCAAGAGCAGTGCTTCGCAGAATCTACCACCGGATCGGAAACGCGACCCACTGAGAAGATCCAGCGAGAAACTCAGTGGGCTGTGTCTATGGGCTAATTCAATCGTCGAGTCCTTCGTCGCAAGCGACGGGTACGACCAGGACGGTGACCGGTGCTTGTGGTACCTAAAAGCACCGTTAATGGATCGGGAGGATCCGTAATGACGTGTTGAGGGCGACGTCGACTGTTTACCATTCGGTCTACAGGATCGGATATGCCCTAGGAATACATTCGTTGTGCAAGCATTGAAAGCAAGAAATAGAATACAAATGTTTAAGTACGTATTCATCTTTGTGGGAAGCGATTTTTGTACATCTACCTCAATTATTATGTTTTAACTACAAGTTTTTTATTTTTATTGCCTTTGTAGGCAGACGAGCATACGGCCCACCTGATGGTAAGTAGTTACCGTCGCTCATGGACTTCAGCAATGCCAAGGGCATAGCCAAGCCGCTGCCTAAAAATACATAGAGGAACTTTATTTTAAATGTTACTTAGATCTGTATTTTCTTTTAAAACATATCAAATACATAATATTTGAGAAATTTAAGCAGATAGGTGTTTCTTATTTTTTTTAAACTTCGAAATCAGATGATCAAATCGTTTTAATTCCAATTCAAATTCTTTGTTACAGTTGTGTGTTTCAAAAAGGGCAACGGTAAAAAACATCCCGATTTTTACGCACGAAGAACAAAGAATGCGTTTTACTATGCCGCAACTATTTATAATGACATTTTTACAGCTAAAACAACGACTTTCAAAGAACAAAACAGTGAACAAATCACCGCATCTGTCACTTCAGTCCATAGAAGCATTTTAATGAAGGAACAACGACTAATTACAATTCCCCAAAGTCATCAGGACATCGCGGTAATAAATCGTTTGGAATAAATTAAGATTTCAAGTAAAAAGTTCGAGTCTTGAGGTAACCTTTCTGGCCTGTACGGAGAATTACCGTTGTGACTTTTAAATAGATTTCGAAAGAACTTCTTTTGCTTTATATGTCGATATCGAAATGGATACGCTACATTTAGGATAATGTCTTTATAAATTTGACTGGAACGGTATTTCTAGACAGTTTTAATAAAGTACAACGCTATTTCGAAGCAATAGTTCTTAAATAATTGAGTCGACTATTATCAAAGCCGGCAATGTGACTTTTGGACAATTATTGGTAAATCAGAAAAACGAATTATTGACTTTGTATTCCATTGGTAGTCACAAAACTCTTCTGAACGAAATCTCAGATAAATAACAGGTTAAGTATTAACCTTTATTTAATGCAGGTTTTGAACCGTATTCTTTGAAGGAGACAATTATATTCAAATCAATCTGTATTGACATATCAATAACATTTTTTTGTCCAAATGCACAGATTGCCACCTTTGATAATAGACGACTCATATGAGGTAAGTTGCAGATGCAAATAGATTTTCCTTTGTTCCACTGAACGTGTTCGAAGCGGCATTGCACATGTAAAATCGCCTTTGTAATTCTAAAATGCTTGAACAGTATGCACGATACGTCAAAAGTAAGTTTCGAATAAAATTTGGCTTATTGTCAAACTGGCAAAGTTTTAAAGTCTCGTTTGAATGTCAAAAAAAAAACAACAGTCGACGTCAAATTAATCATTTGTGATCTAAAAATCTGTTGCTTGAGCAAAAATTAAAAAAAAAATGTAGGTACATTGTATATAATTCACATAAAAATGTTCTATTTGATGTGAATACCGCGTACTCCGGTAACTATTATTTTATCTTCGCAAATAACTCACGCCGTTCTAGAGCACTGGAGTCGAGAAATAATTTCGTTATGACAGAACTGTCAATCTTCATTTGATCCAGGGCTGAAGCGTAATTTAACGAGAGAGTAAAATCATATTATAAGATGCCAGAGTCGAGATATTATAGTCGTCGTGAGATGTTTGTTGCGTGGAGAGGCGTGGGGCGTGCAGACGGGGCGGACCGGGCCAATCGAGCGCAGCCACGCCTCGCGCGCACTCCGGGTCGAAAGGTCGCTACTCCATTGGCGCAGAACGAGCACAGATTTATTCTTCTACTCTCAATAACCAAGTTTCAACTAGACGGCGACTTCAGTTAGGGATGTCCGGAATGCAATAAAGTATCGATAAATATATCGTATCGATATTTTTTGAAATTATCAATATCGATAGCGATATTTTTATTAAAAAATATCGATGTATTGATATATCGGTATGATTTGACAGAGAATATACGTGCTAATCAATATATATCATTTTTAATAAATAAAGAACAACTATTAAGAAATTTAAAAAAACTTAATTTTTAAAATAGCAAATCGAGTGGACCAGAAACAAAAAATACATAAAATATAATTTGTTAAAAAGATGTCAGTATAAAAAAAGTATTCCTTTTTAGGATTTTTTAATCTTAAAACATATAAATGTTTATTGGTCTATATTAATATTTGGAA